ATGGCTGCCACAGGCTGCATGAGAACTACGCCAACAGCAGCCTTAGAAGCGATGCTGGAGCTAACTCCGCTTCATCTACATATACAACAAGAAGCGACTTTAGCTGCCATCAGACTCAAGACCCTAAATCTTTGGAGTAAGAATAGTGTCCCTCATACAGGCATAATTGATAGAATTCACTCAAAATTCCTATCATACAAGCCAAATACGATAGGATTCCTAAACAATTTGTTTTCGATAAGAAATACAAGATACAGTTAAATGAAAACAGCCAGCCGGAAGGATTAAGCCCAAAAGAGCTTAGAATTTTCACCGATGGTTCTAAAACAAATGAAGGTGTAGGTTCTGGAGCTTTCTCTGAAGACCTCAATATTCACATATGCACACCGCTGGGTACCTATAACACGGTCTTTCAGGCGGAATGTATGGGTATCATTCAAGCGGCCATAGCAATAGATGCTAGGAAGGTTAATGACTTCCCCATCAGAATACTGACCGACAGAAGGGCGGTACTCCAAGCCCTGAGATGCAATGTGGTGAACTCGGGACTAATATATGAATGCCATCAACGATTAAATGAGGTATGTAAAAACAACAATGTGACCCTGCAATGGATAAAGGGACACAGTGGATCCAGAGGCAACGATGCAGCAGACGAACTGGCTAGAAGAGGATCGGCTTTGGCCACTATAGGGCCGGAACCAATCATACCAATCCCCTTTGGTAACGTTTGTTCACTGGTACGTAGACACTTCACTAATCAACACGCTCAGCTTTGGAAAAATCTAGTAGACTGTAGACAAGCTAGGGATGCCCTGCCTGAAATTAACAGTCGCTTAACAAAAGTTTTAATGAGACTGAACAAGCCGCAGATTAGGATAGTAACAAGTGCTATCACAGGACACGGCACCTTTAACAAACATTTATTTACTATAGGTGTTACAGATAGTCCCCTGTGCAGGGCATGTATGGGGGAGGAAGAAACGGCGGCCCACGTGCTACTGAAATGTCCGGAGGTCGCTACATACAGGGCTAAACATCTCGGCACGCCGGGATCACTCCCCGAAGTTGCATGCAACATCAAGGGCCTGTTGAGCTTCTTCGGAGAGATCTCATGGCTCGAATAATCACATTATTCCTGCCCACACGCAAAATACGCGCATAGACGTGGAGTTGCGGAAAACAGCCCGTCGTAAACTAAACTAAACTAAACTAAACGAGGCCCTAGTTGTCAAGAGACTGATCTACATCTATAACATGGTTGCTTACAGATGATACTGATAAAACAGTTTATCTAATATATAAAATTAATTAACTTTTCTTTGTTCGTAATTTATGCGCTGCCATACCGTTTCATCAGATTGCGGTAATACTTTGTCAACTTATTGCTTGCACTTGCGTGAAGGTTATAGGTATAGTACAATTAAATTACAGTAGGTGGCGCGCGTTTCGAACCGACAAAATTATTTAAAAGTTATATATCATTCAATTTAGATATCTAATTTCATACTTTTTGTTAAGGAAAAATTTTGTTAAAACAGTAACATAATGATGACCTGACATTTTTCAAATTCGAACGAATGCTTGTATGCACTTTCATTAACAATATTTTTGTACAAGTGTTTTATTTCTTTAATAAAACTATCGGGAATTAAAATTAAAATTAAACTTGATAAAATCCGTAAAATGTGTTTCATTTATGTGTAGAGTTCGCGTAAATATAAGATATGATTATGCTTCCTTTCTTATTTAGAGACCCCAGTTGTCAGTTGGTAGACTTGACATGTGTTATTCGGATCAAACTGAATAGTCAATTGATCATTTTTGAGTTTTAGTACTCTGTGATCTATGAATCCCGATCGACAATGTCGGTCATCGGACATTACTATACTCTTTGGTTGTAGGGTCTATCAATCGTTTAATTTGGAACGTTAATAAAATGTAATTGCAATCATCAATATTTTGGTACGATCCGGGTCAAATGAACAAATCATTCACGATTGACATACGTCTATGGTAGACATAAACAGAAATACTCCCCAATACAAGTCGTGGATTTAGGATTGACATTTATAATGCATATTATATTAGTTGATCGCTCGTAATTTATTGTATCCTCCTTACAGCTCTTACTACTTACTTCCTTACTTTCTTTCATTTAATACAAATTTTAACGATGGTTAGATAGTAACATCTTTTATCGCCGCGCTTTTAATTTCCCGCAAAGCCCTTAGAGTAGACAGTTACACTTTGTAATTACATATTTTTATATGTGAAATACACTAAATACAATTGATTGTAAAACCTAGTAAAACTTTTTATTTTATTCTTTTGAAACAGAAACTTTTTTATTCCATATAGATTATAAATAATACTCGTACTTACTAAAGTCACTCTTTTATTTAATTACCACTGGTTCGAAAAAAAACCTCTTTTCTGGGAAGAACCAGCAAGAAACCCAGCGGGACTTTTTTTTAACTAACAGCTTACAATCATGTATGATACACAAATTAACAACACAACAAATTAGAAGCTGAATGACAGAGTGAGAAATTGTTTAATAAGATAAGAGTGTGGTTTGCAAGATGATGTTGTGACCAGGATTAAGAAAGGAATGCTTCGGTGGTTTGGCGATGTAGAAAGAATGAATGAGGAAAGAGTGACAAAGCAAATTTATGTTGCAGAGGTGAACGGCATAGTCGGGAAGGGTCGCCCTAGGCGAAAGTTTATCGACCAAATTGGCGATATATTAAAAATGGGCCAAATCAAGAGTACCTTTAACCGACGAGCGTGTATGCGTAGGTATATGGATGTGGAGGAAGCGAGAAAGGTGTGTCAGGATCGTACCAAATGGAAGTCCATAATCTCTGCCTACCCCTCTGGGTGACAGGCGTGAGATGTTATGGTAACAAATTAGAAATAGCTTGGTAGTGATCACCTCATTTCCAGGGGTTATTATCATCCATAAATTCTTTAATATTATAATAACAATTTTTATACAAACTTAGTTTAATAAAGTTTTTGAACGTTGAGCAGGTCAAATTTTGTATATTTTCTGGAATTTTGTTGTAAAAGCGTATACTGTATACGCTTACTTGTATACGGTATACATCGCCCCAAGAATGAATTACTGATTCGATGGAGTCGAGTAACTGGTACTACTAGCTTGTGTCTGTTCCTAGTATTTACAGAATATCACTTATTTTTGTGAAACTACTTTTATTTTTGTGTACGTACATTACATTTTCATAAATGTATTGAAAGGCCAAAGTTAATATATTAATTTCCTTAAATTTTTGTCGCAGCGACTCTTTAGGCTTTATATCATAAATTGCTCTTATGGCCCTCTTCTTTAAAACAAATATAATTTCAGTGTCAGCTGCGTGTCCCCATAGTAAAATACCATACCACATTAATCTATGGAAATAGCAAAAGTAAACTAGTCTAGCTGTTTCAACACTGGTAAGACTTCTAATCTTTGTTACAGCATATGCTGCAGAACTAAGTCTGCTTGCTAGTTTTGATATATGGGGGCTCCATCGAAGCTTTGCGTCTATTATGATTCCAAGAAAAATGGTGGTATCTACAAGACTCAGTTTCTCCCCATTTAAATTTACATTAGTATTTAATTGTTTGACATTTGGAGTCATGAATTTCATACATTTCATTTTAGTGCCATTTAAATGCAAATTATTAACATTTGAACCAATTTACTAATTTAGATAAAGTATTATTTACTTCGTCATATTTTAGTAATTAGTCGACTTAATTTGAAAATTAAAGAAGTGTCATCTGCAAATAATACTATATCATGGTTATTCCCTACTATGTAATTAGTCATTAATGTACGCAAGAAACAGAAAGGGGCCGAGAATTGAGCCTTGAGGCACTTCCATTTGTACCATCGACCCGGAATATCGCTCATACTGTTAATGACAACTATTTGCGTTCTCTTACTTAAATATGAAATAATTAGTTTAAGAGCATCACTTCTTACGCCGTAGTGTTGAAGTTTCCTGATTAATGTTTCATGGTGAACACAATCGAAGGCCTTGGATAGGTCACAAAATATACCCAAAGCATCCTGTGAATTCACCCATGCATTAAAGATATATTTAATCAGCTCAACACCGGCATACTGATGCCGGTCGCACAAGGGTCGGTTTCACAAGGGGTCGCTCGACAACTGTGTCGAGCGACCCCTTGTGAAACCAAATTGATTTTTATGAAATAATTATTTATAATAAAGAAATTTAACATTTGATCGAGAATAATTTTTTCAAAAATCTTACTAAGTGTTGGTAGTACAGAAATAGGTCTAAAATTGGCGAGGTCTAATGTACTACCAGATTTAAATAAAGGTATTACTTTACTATGCTTCATTAAATCAGGAAACACACCAGATTCGATACTAGTATTAAAAATAATAGCTAAATGAGGCGCGATTGTATCTATTATAGACGCAATAACTTTAACGGAAATCCCCCACAGATCCTCAGTTGATACTTTATGAAATATAAAATTCTTTGTACACGCATTTACATTTTGTTTAAGTAATGATTCGGCGACGGCAGGAGAAGAATTCAGTGACTTAGTGGTTAATATTGGAATATCAGTAAAATATTTCTCAAAAACCACTGCAACGTCCTGATCTGATTCAGTTAATTTGTTGTTAACACTTAACTGGTAATTGAAATTGCGAGAGTTGATCTTACCAGTTTCGCTATTAATTACACTCCATGCCATTTTAATTTTATTAGAAGCAGTCTTAATTTTGTTACTCAGATGCAAAGACTTGGCTGTGGCGTACACTCTTTTAAATATTTTTGAATATTTTTTTACATATTCCCTAAATTCGACGCTATGATTATATGATCTTTCATGGTAAAGATCATATAACTTCCTACCGTCGCCTATTCATTGAATAACTTCTGATGTGATTTTATGTCTTACAACAGTGCGTAATTTGAAATAAAGTTGAAAGGTTAACAAAAACTTACTCTTAGTGGCGCTAGTATCGACTCGTGGAACTTAGTGTATTCCCTGACCCAGCTGTTGCAATTGTAGATATAACTGGCGTGGATATTGATGTATGCCACTTCAGGCAGCACGCTGAACCATTTTTGTAAGAAGTCTGTCCTGTTTATAAAATGTATTGAATTATCCGTCAATTATAAATCCTATGATAGCAGAGTTATCTTTAACTATTACAAGTGTTGGATTATTAACCCATGTAATGGTAAGTAAAATTGTTTTTTTTTTATATGATAAGGGTGATAAACGAGCACACAGCCTGCCTGATGGTAAGTGGCCCATAGACATTTACATCTATCTGCGATTACAAATCAAAATGCAGATGCGTTGTCACCCGTGAGGACTAAGATGGACTAGTGAATAGGTGTCGTTGTTGAGAAAGACAAATACAATGCGAGAATTTACACTGTGCATATAAGGACTTCTTGAATAAATTGGTTTCAGACCTCAAGCTACCAAGACGTATATTTTATTTGGACTTTTATATTATATTCTTGCGCTATTAATAATCTCGGAACTTTACCATCCCTCGTTCAAATTGATATAAATAATTTGATTTTATTAAAAGTACAATAAGTTTTAGAAAAGATTCTGCATACAATACCTAAACCTGTTCTCGGAAGAAGCATGCGTAAGATCTACTATCAGTTCAAAAGGCTGTTGGCAAAATGGCTTCAATGTTAGGATCACGTGATAGATCAGCAGATCCGCATTCACCTCGCCGATTCTGAAAGAAACATGCAAGATATAATGAAGCAATATAGTTAAAGAAAGCTGAAAATAAAGTATGCTACAATTAATTAATTAAAAAACATTCTGCATAAATATTAAACGAAATTTTTAAGTAAATAATGTTTCTAATTTTTAACCTCATAATTAAAAATTATAAAGGCGGTAGAATGTGATTGTAATGAGTAATTAATGATCTAATATTTAGTCTCTCACTTGTATCTTCTTGAAATGAAATAAAAAACTGGGTTGCCAATCTTGCTGGTACCAGCCTGGTAAAAAATGTTCAGGGATTTGATACTTTTAAACTCTTCTTTTTCGTGCATATTATGCTTCACAATGAACTCCTCGAAATTTGTTGAGGACATGTCGATGGACGACCATCGTGCGTACGACGAAAACAGAAGACTGGATGTGCTGGAAATTTAATATTTTATTTTCATAACAAAATGTGTACATAATTCTTACAGTGCATATTTAATTACTTACGATTCAACAGGCTTATGCTCTGGAGGCCCTAAATATGCAAGTAAAGTCGCCATCTAAAAAAAACAAAAAAAAAACTTTTATATATATTCTTCAAATGACAATAATGAATTAATTAATTGAAGTAATTTGTACAGTTTGTATGTACGATTTTCTTTAATAGGAATTAAGCATTAGAAATATTTTTTACATAATAAAATTAAAAAAAAAAACATTTAGTTTGAAAGGTTATTCACACGAATGTTAAAGATTAACTAGACTTTACATTTGTTTTATTTCTCTGGGCAGAGCTTATTTTTAGAAGGTAGTAGATAAAAAAAAAGATAAGACGTTTGAAAAACGAAATTTTAATTTCTTACGTCGCGAAATAAAGATATTTTATTTATTTTTTTATTTTTTCCTCAATACTTTATTTATCCCTATGTAACTTTATCATTTTCTTTTGTGCCTGGGAATCCTGCAGTATTAGTAGGTAATACCTACACATACACAAATATCTGCTACTGTCGCAAGAAGCAATGCGTTCACTATTGTATCCCGGTTTTAAAAGATATGAAAAGCCGGATATAATTATAATTATAGACTGTGAGTCATTGCGTCTTAGTCCTCAGGGATGACGCTGGTGGGTTGTTAGCCCATTCGTCATTATAACGTTAAAAAAATAATAACCTTGTCAAATGGTCGCCTGCCGACGGCCTTGTGGTCTCTGCTGCAGGACAGGTAGTCTCCGATTCGTTCCTGATGATTCCACAGCAACCGGTGCAAAGCGACTACGTTGGCATCGCTGATAAACGACAGGTTGTGGGAAGTCTGGTCAATGCTCTCGCAGTCCGATGCTATTTGGATGAAGAATCTGGAAGGATTTTTTAAGAGCTTATTCCGCGCACTTCCCTAATAACATGTTTATGACTACATATTATAACTATTAAGGTACAATACGAGCAAAACTTAAATCTACCGTCACCGTTTTACAGGTATCATCATAAAAAAACGAATGTAATTACCATTTTGGAATAAAGTAAAGAAATATTTTCCAAATAAATTACAAGCGTTATAAATTGTTTTTCTAGTTTAGCTATGCAGTACTTCTATTTTAGTTATTTTTAACATTCATCATTAAAAATTAGTTCTCATAAATATAACTAAAGGGTAAGCTTTACAGTGGTAAAACGTAAATGACTTTTAATAAGCATTCTTGTAATATATATTGTATATATAAAAATATTCTATAATATAGGCTGATGAATTAATAACGTTAGTTATCATACATATTACACAACTACACAAATAATAATATGAAACATATTACAATAAAAAATTACAAAGAATATATCACAAAAAATTACAAAAATTATATAAATATAAATAGCATAATTCACAACTGTAGGTGCATACCACGCGAAAAATAAACAAAGCGGAAAATGATTATAAAATGACATCGACATACTTCAGAGACGCATTTAAGTTTTCCCGTACTATACTTTTTTTTGACGGTAGGAGTGGAATAAATTAGACGCTTTATTTACTGCTCTGTAAAAATTTTCGTTAAATATATAATATTAATAGTGCTGTATATAAAATTAATGTATTTGTGATATCCCAACTCCTGCCAGTTTAGTCTGATAATATAATTCAAAGTAACTAGTGAGCATATTGTTATCTTCGCACACAATAACCTAAAAGTTAAATGGAGTCCATTAAGAAATCTGTTGCGGACCTCACTGAGCACTTTAACTTGAGGATGGCTGAGTTCCAAAAGGACCTTTAGAGCGCAATTCCAGCTACGAGCCCTACTTCAAATATCAATCATCAGTTCAACACATTCCGTTCCTTTGTTCTAACTGCGCTTGAGAACTTGCAATTACAAGTAGAAATCTTGACCCGTCAGAATGATGATATGGAGATGAGATCTCGGAGAAAAATTTTGCTGGTGCATGGTGTAAATGAAGACAAGAAGGAGAACACAACCGCCTGTGCTGTGAAGGTATTATCCGACTACTTAAAAATCCCTGGTATCACATCAGACTCCATTAGCCGGTCCCACCGTCTGGGTCAAACGGGAACTGACAGGCCCCGTGCGATCCTTGTGAAATTTCGCGACATTGCGATGAAAGACAAAGTATGGCTGGCAAAGAAGAATCTTAAAGGCACTGGAATCACCTTGTCGGAATTCCTCACACAAAGTCGACATGCTGTATTCCAGGAGGCGCGTAAACGGTTCGGAGTTTCGAAGTGCTGGACGAAGGATGGCACCATATTGGTATTAGGTCCAGACCAAACACGGCACCGTGTCTGCTCCAGACTGGACCTGGATGTTATCCCGAGCTCGGAGTTGGTGGTGCAGGCCTCGTCTGCTGTGACAGTTGTTGCAAGTGCGGTAAAAGATACCAGGTCTACTCAAATTAAGTCGAAAAGAGTTGCTAAGAAGTAAATTTTTCGTGTATGTACTCTTGTGTATCTGTTTCGAATATGCCTGTATGTCTATTGGGAATTTACAGTTGAGTTATTTTTTGTGTTTTATGTTATATGTAGCATAATCAATTAATATTTAACTTTAATTTACCGAATTCCTAATTTTTTTTTTATTGTTTGTGTATGCCATAACATGATTATCATAAGACATTTCGTTAACGTCATTTGTGTAATGTAATGATGTAATCATAGATAAATATATATGTAGCAAGCTAGATGTAATCGTGCAGTTACAACCACAGATTGTAAAGCAGAATTCTCAACCATAGAGTTTATAAATCACTATTTAAAACCTGTCTTTGTTATTGCTTATTGCGTTTCGTTTATGCAATGAAAATACTATGTCTATGAGTGAAAATGATACAATAAAAGCGCTATTAACGTAACGTTATTTATAACTAGTTTTTTATAGCGTTATGCTTAATTTTGGTTATTTAATGTTATACATGCTTATTATGTTATTAATATACTACCAATAATACATTATTCTTAAAATTGGCTAAATGCTGTTTAAGTTTTCACTTTATCGTTTTTCGTCACGATTTGTTTTTTTTTTTTTGATTTTATCATTTTTTTGTTACTTTGTGTTAGTTGCTTTGAAACATACGATATATGTTTTTTTAACTAATGTAAATCTCTTTCAGACTGCTGGCGGGTTGGGGTTCCGTATATTTATTTTTCATACCTTTTGTTATTTAATAGTTTATTATATATATTTTTAGTTTATTTTATAATGTCGTTCGATAATAGTGTTGTTAATGATGATTTTGATGATTTTTTGTCTTTGCCAAGTGATGTTACATCTAGTGAGTTTAGCTTTCACAGTACAATGTCTTCTATTCCGTTAAATGATGCCCTTAATTCGTACTTCTCAGATTCTCTGATGAATTTTAATGTGATTCACTTAAATGCACAAAGTGTTCCAGCCCACTATCCTGATATGCTTGCGTCTTTTGAGTCCCGTAACATTCACGCTATTCTTGTTTCCGAATCTTGGTTGAAGCCATGCTTACCATCCACTTCATACTCATTACCGGGATTTCATCTCATTCGCAACGACCGTATTGGTAAGGGGGGTGGAGGGGTGGCGATTTACCTTCGTTCTTACATTCCCTTTACTGTTGTAAGTTTGTCAACTCAGCCTCCTCCTTCTAATGCGGTCGAGCATTTATTTATTGAAGTTACTCTGTCTCATACGAAAATTCTTCTAGGCGTTTGTTACAGTCCGTCTCTCCACATTGATTACTTCTCCTCATTTGAATGTTTATTAGAAAAATTGTCCCCGTCCTATAGTCACACCATAATTATGGGTGATTTTAATACATGTTTACTTAAAAGAGACAATCGGTGTAAGAAGCTACAATCCATTGTACAGGCGTGTAACTTACATATATTACCGCTTTCTGCTACACATAATCTTCCTGATTGTACCCCATCTTTACTTGACTTAATTATTGTTTCCTCGCCTGATTTTGTCCAGAAGCACGGCCAACATGAGGCTGATGTTTTTTCTTACCACGATCTCTTATTTCTTACATACAAAGTTCGTCCTCCTAAAGTAAAATCGAGAATCCTTCTGCAACGTAATTTTAGTGGAATGGACAAAGAACGTCTTATTGAAGATGCTCGCCTTTTGGATTGGACCGCTGTGGAAAATGCCTCTACGGTCGATACAAAGGTTGAGTTGTTTAACTCTTTTCTCATACAACTATATGACGTTCATGCACCAGTAAAACCAATAAAGATGATGCACTCACCTGCGCCATGGCTGACCGATGACCTTAAACATCTTATTATCAAAAAAGGCTTCGCGAAAAGCAAACTCAAGGCTGAAAGATCTGACAAAAATCTGCGAAACTACAAAAAAGTTAGGAATCGCTGCAATACATTGTGTAGGGATGCACAACGACGCCACATTCATAAATCAGTCGAAAACGGCGACACTGCCAAGGTTTGGAAATTTCTTCAATCACTTGGAGTTGGCAAAGCATCTTCTAGCTCATTTCAGCATAATTTTGATATTGAACTCCTTAACCAACATTTTACTTCTTCTAGTACAATAGACAGCTCAGATAAAGAACGCACTCTGAGTATTCTTTCTTCAACGCCAACTCCTAATTTCCCACCGTTTAAGTTCACTCCTTTCACTGACTGTGATGTTAAAAAGAACATATTGTCCATCTCGTCTAAAGCCGTGGGTGATGACAGTGTTAGTCGTAACATGATCTTACCAATCCTTGAATTTGTTACTCCCATTCTCACCCATATCCTGAATAAATCTATCTCCACGTCTAAATTCCCCGAAGCTTGGAAAAGCGCACAAGTAATTCCTCTCCCTAAGAAGGCCCAAGCCTCACATTTTACCGACTTTCGCCCAATTTCCATTCTTCCGTTTCTATCTAAAGTCCTAGAGAAACTAGTTTTTCAACAATTATGTCAATATCTAGATAGAAATTCCCTTTTAAATCCTGTTCAATCCGGTTTCCGGTCAGGTCATAGTACGACTACAGCTCTGGTTAAAGTTACTGACGATATTCGACGAGGTATGGATAATAAACAGCTCACTGTGTTGGTATTATTAGATTTTAGCAATGCCTTCAATACCGTAGATTTTGATATCTTGTTGAGCCTGTTACGTTCCATTAACATATCTCCATCAGTGGTTGGATGGTTTCAAAGTTATCTTAGGGGCCGCCGGCAGCGTATTCGCGTTGAAGATAAATTTTCATCTTGGTGTGAACTACCAGCTGGAGTGCCTCAAGGTGGTGTGTTGTCTCCTTTACTCTTTGCTATCTTCATTAATTCGATCTGTCACAAAATTTCTTCTCTCTATCACATGTATGCAGACGATCTTCAAGTGTATACGCAGTCAACTCTTGAGAACCTGCCTACCGCTGTTTCTGCCATCAATGCTGACCTGGCGGCTATTAGCGAATGGAGTAAATACTATGGGCTTAAGGTTAATCCTTGTAAGTCGCAGGCCATTATTGTTGGTGGTGCTGGGATGATTTCAAGAGTTGACTGGAATAACTTTCCCTCGGTGGTATTGAATGGTGTTGTAATACCTTACAGTAGCACCGTTAAAAATCTTGGTATCCACTTCGATACTACTTTCTCGTGGTCTCATCAATTGAAAGAAGTTAGCAGAAAGACTTTTGCTGCTATGGGTTTATTGCGGCGTTTACGTTCTTTCCTTCCCATTCCTACTAAAATTATGTTAGCACAATCTTTACTCCTCTCTATTCTCGATTATGCGGGCGCAAGCTATCTTGATGTAACTGAAGATCAACTAAACAAACTTGAGCGTATTCAAAATCTGGCTATTAGGTTCATATTTGGCTTGCGCAAATATGACCATGTCTCCGAATTCCGTTTAAAGCTCAAGTGGTTACCCATTCGCCTTCGCCGGAACCTACAAATTGTTTCTCTTCTGTACTGTGTATTATTCGATCCAATGACTCCTAGCTATCTAAAGGAAAACTTTAAGTTTCTTGGTCATGACAGACCGGACAGAGTTCTACGGTCAGCCGGAGAACTTATACTCGCACCACATTCATATCGAACTAAATACTTTAAAAACTCCTTCACAGTTAAGGCCATCTGCTTATGGAATGATCTTCCTTCGCAAATTCGTCGTGCGAAAACACTAGAAAAGTTTAAGACTGACGTCAAAAATTACTACCTAACAGTGCATTAACTACTGGTCATCATTTGCGACATGTATTTTTTGTATCCTCTCTGTATTTTTTTATTTAATTTTTATGTATATTTGCCTACTTAATCTTATGTATGTCTATTATATTTTGAATGTATATATTAGTGTATTATTTTTTTCATTATGTATCAGTTTAGTTTATTTAGGTATTAGTATGTAAGTTTACTATAATATACACCACCTCCCACTGTCCAATAGAACAACTTTCTCCTAATCTTAAGGTTGTCTGGAAGAGATCGCTTATTAGCGATAAGACCGCCTTATTGTACCTACCTCTTAAGTTTTACTCCTTGTAATTTGTTCTTTTTTATCGTTTTTTTTTTGTGGTGTACAATAAAGTATAAATAATAATAATAATAATAATATATATACATAGCATGACATTATGTCAACACAGTCTATCCGCGAGTAGCAAACATAACAGAAACAGGTTAGTCCTCGTATCGTAACTACAATTTTGATTAAAAATTGTATAGGAAGGTTTTAACCATTTAAATGGACAATTTACAATAAGTGGTCGTGTGTGAAGCCCACTATTGATTATTTCACGATATATATTATTTCTAAAACAAATAAGCCGACAGATAGAATAATTTATCAATGGTAGAAAAAATTATATTGTTATGCATGCAGTAAAGCTACTTTTTAAAATGAAAAAAAAAATACAACTTTAATAAATAATAATAAACACAGTCAATTATCTTTTTATACTTTTACTGAGAGGAAACACGCTACAGTTTCATTTGTTTGCCTGTATCTAAGTTCTGGCACTCAATCTATATAATATAATAAAATAACATTAAAGTTAAAATTTCCATAATACTGATCGTATCTATGAAAACATAGATACGATCGGGGAGCAGTATGATGCGACCGTATGTGTAATATTGAAATTTCAACTTTATATTAATATGTAACATAATAATTCAACAAATAAAGAAAGTGTTGGGCATTTGACCATAACACTGATAACTAAATTTCTCTTTAAAATTGAAATGTGCTTACTTGCGACCTGCTTCAAAGTGTGCTCTGAGGAAATCATTAAAGGGTAACATGTGCTGTTCTTTGGAGAATTCAACGTGGTTGGCGATGTTTTGCAAGATCTTGGACATTAACATCAAACCGCGTTTCACTTGCGCCGGCACTGGCCGACTCACAATTCCCATTTCTTGTGGTGAAACTACAAGGAAACAAATCATGTCTAAATTTTACAGTACTTTAAATCAGTAGCTAAGTTTTGTAACCGAGAATACATCCGATCTTATTACATGAACGTAACTTCGGCCGTGTAGTGGCAGTTAAGAATATCCACTACCCTCACTTGGGTGTCGTAAGAGGCGACAGTGGGAAACAAACAGGAGAAGGGCAGCAGCATCTTCCTGATAACAGCATTATTACAATAAAAAACTGCAGTTGCCAACCCGCTCGTCAAGCGTGGCAACTATGGCAAATATGAATGAAATGAAAGTTACGAAGAGACGGCCCCCAGTCCCCGGCGGCCCCGCTATTCCTGGCTATGGTGGTGACCATGGTAACGGCGGGACAGGGGGTGCTAAGAATCTCCGGTGGAGGTTCGGTTGCCACTTAAGATGACTCAACCTGGCAACATAAAACGCACGTACCCTGAGGACTCGCGAGAAGACCCTGGAGCTGGAAGAAGAGATAGAAGTTATGCTGAAATATTATAGAATTATCCAAGGTTCGAAGAGAGAGGGAGGACACGGTAATCCTCGAACCCGGCAACTTGTTCTATCACGGGGAGGGCGACCATCTGTCCCAAGGAGGTGTCGGATTTATGGTCCACAAGTCTTAACTACGTTGTAAAGATTGTGTGCCGATGTGGGTTGCGTACCTTATAATCAAAATCACCAAACGGTATTCGCTAAAGGTCATACAGATTTATAAGTGGTAGAGCCATGCTGCAGCTATATTAGTAGTATAGTTGTAGCACGAATGGGTCGGCTCGACCGGGGAAGGACCACGCTCTCACAGAATACCAGCGTAAAATAGCAGCTTAACACTGCTGTGTTTCGTATGGTGAGTATAGAGAACCGGAGACCCTTTTTACTGGAAAAGAGGCATTCCATCTTAGTCCTCACGGGTGACAACGCATCTGCATTTTGATTCGCAAACGAGGATAAATGTAGATGTCTATGGGTCACAGCAACTACTTACCATCAGGTGGACTGTGTGCTCGTTTGCCACCCTATTCCTATATAAAAAAAAGATTTACGCAACAACCTACCAACCAAAACCCATTATACGGTGTTAATGGGAGACTTCAATGCAAAACTAGGCACAAGAGGGAACGGTGAGCTGAAGATAGAAAAAATCGGAATAGGCCTACAGAACCCAAGGGGCTAGCAGCTGGCCGACTTCATGGAGAACGAGAGACTCTTTACAATGAACTCTTTCTACCAGAAAGTATCCCACAGGAAGTGGACCTGCTCGAGCTCCGACGGATCGACAAAAAAGGAGATTGAATTCATTATGACAACCAGACGACAACTGTTCAGTGACAGTTCAACGCTGTCCCCCTCGTCCTCTAATTCAATGGCTCTCCAGCACCTTAAAAACAGCAAGGTCCCAGGCGAGAATGGAATTACAGCGGAGCTTCTGAAAGCGGGTGGAAAACCGGTACTTGAAGTCCTTCAGAAGCCCTTTAATTCCGTCCTCCATGGTGGGACTACTCCGGAGGCGTGAAGCAGAAATGCGGTGGTCTTGTTCTTTAAGAAAGGCGACAACGCTCTCTTGAAGAACGATAAACCGATTTCCCTTCTGAGCCGCGTCTACGTGCTGTTTTCGAGAGTCATTACGAATCGTCTCGCACGCAGACTTGACGTCTTACAGCTTTCCGAATAAGCCGGTTTCCGAAAAGATTTAATACCATAGACCACGTAAATACCCTTTGGCAAATTGTACAGAAGACCGAAGAGTACAATCTGCCACTTTGCCTTTCGTATGTGGACTATGAGAAAGCCTTTGATTCCGTCGAAATTTGTGCGGTGCTTCAGTCCCTTCAGCGGTGCCAAGTTGACTTTCGGTATATCGAAGTGTTGAAGTGCTTGTACAGTAGCGCTACGATGGCCCTCCGAGTACAGAATCAAAGTACGAAACCTATCCAACTGCAGAGAAGTGTAAGACTGGGTAACGTTATATCCCCGAAACTCATCACCGCTGCATTGGAAGACGTTTAAAGATACTGGACTGGAACGGATACGGTATTAATATCACCTTCGATTTGCCGACGATATAGTCCTTATGGCAGAATCGCTGGAGAACCTAAGCACTATGCTTAATGACCTGAATAGTGTCTCCCAACGGATAGGTCTTAAGATGAACATAGACAAAACAAAGATCATATGTAATGTCCATGTCACACCTATGCCGGTAGTTGTTAGGAGCACTAAGCTCGAAGTTGTTGAGGAATATGTTTACCTGGGATAAATGGTCTGACAAGGTAAGTCCAATTTCGATCGAGAGGTCAATTGACGGATTCAAGTCGGCTGGGCAGCGTTCGGGAAATTACGATACATTTTATCGTTAGGTATACCTCAATATCTGAAAAAGAGATGGTACAAAAAGTGCATGTCGCCAGTGATGACTTATGGATCTGAGACGTGATCCTTCACTGTTGGTCGTATGAGGACGCTCAAGGTCGCTCAGCGAGCTATCGAGAGGGCTATGCTCGAGCTTTTACTGCGTGACAAACTTAGAAATGAGGATATCCGCAGTAGAACTAAAGTGACCGATATAGCTCAACGGATTGGTAAGCTGAAGTGTCAATGGGCCGGCCATATAGCTCGAAGAACCGACAACCGATGGGGGAAAAAGGTTCTCGAGTGGCGACCTCGTACCGTCGGACGAAGTGTAGGGCGTCCCCTCACTAGATGGGAGTGACGACCTGGTAAGACATGCTGGGAGTCGATGGATGCAGGTAGCTCAGGACCGTGCTTTGTGGCATTCCTTGGGGGAGACCTATGTTCAGCAGTGGACTTGTGAAGGGCAAGGGAACTTCGGAACAAAGTCTTTTTGTAAAGTTTTTATTTTATACGCAAGTTTTTAGTCACTAATATTTTCTGTGTTGGTGATATTAACCTCTTCTTCGATATTCCCAGTAACTAAATAAAAATTGTTGCCATGGAAGGATGTATATCGTTTAGGACTTTAGGATGATCTATGGATTTTTATCATCTATCTGTTATAATTATATATAAAAATGGCAAGATTTTTTTATTCTCTTATTTTTAATAATAATGCGATACACTCACGGTTGATACCACCACCGTATGTGGAAAAAACAAGAAAGTATAATACATTCCAAGATGTGTCTTAATTTCTCTTTTAATTGCATTGATATATTATTTCCGAAAAACAAGCTTCTTAAAGTTCGTTTCTAACTGCTTTTTATTGTGAGTTCTTTGTTGTTGTAAAATATTCTGATGTAAAACAGGGAGTTTCAATGCAAACTTATTCTTGACTAGCTGTTCCCCGCGACTTCGCCCGCGTGTGTTAGGGTTTTAAATTTGTTGCGCGGAACCCTAATTATTTTTCGAAAATATAAGTAGCCTAAGTTACTCCTTATAACATGAGCTATGTACCAGTGAGAGTCCCGTCAAAATCGGACCAGCAGTTTCGGAGATTAGCCGGAACAAACAGAGAGACAGACAGAAAATAATTTAAAAAATGTGTTTTTTTATAAGTACCGTAAATACTTTCATATGCTTTTAGTAAATAGCTGTTATTTTGACATTACAAACAGACACTTCAATTTTACACTTTTTAAATATTTGTTTCAATACACAACTAAATTACACTTATAATTATTACTGTAAACTCACCTATAGCAGGATTGATAAATCTTAAAAATAGAACAGTGCCGACTGCTCCTACGCTAGTTTGTGGAAACTGAGCGAAACGTTTACTTAACACCTGTGGAAGAAATTTACTTATTGAATGCCAATAACCTTAATGCTGACAGATAATAGCTTCGAAACAGTGTTTAAGTTTTTAAATTTTTTTGTACAATTATCTCTTGGGTGAGGTCGTTTGCAAATTCAAGCCAAAATAGAGCACACTATTCTATTGAGTTAACTTATAAGATGTATATCTATTTATTCATATAGTACAGTATAAAATTATATTACCACGTATAGTATATTACTTTTTAACTTTTTTATATTTGCGCTCTGTTATCAGTCACTTCCCTCATTAGAATAGTTTAAAATCAATTCATATAATTTTCCAAAAGTAACATAACAATACTTTGTATATAAGTATTTCAGAAACTATAAGACTACAAACACAATTGATCTAAGAAATAATATATAATATTGAAACTTTATAATTAACATTTTTCTCTTTCGCCTCGTATTTAGCTTATATTGCATATTTTATTATATATAATAATAAGTTTTATGTTATAAAAACGTTTAAATATACCTGATAAAGGCAGTGACACATGCTGCGCAGTTGCGGCGGAAACTTATCCGACGAATTGACGATACAGTCGAACACTTCTTTCGTCAGCGCGATCAGATTCGATCGATTCACGTCAATGTCTTGGTTCGTGTCCAATCTGTGTCGAATTGAAAACTTTAACTTAATTTTTTTGTTGAAAATTTGATATTGTATCTCATAAAAGTACCACAACGTACTCAGAATAGTAACACGTTTTTATGATCATAAAAGAATTTGTCATCCCATTTCATCTGGTGGATATTTTTATAGAATATAGGCGACAAACGAGCACGCAGTCCACCTGCTGGTAAGTGGATGCTGTGGTTTATAGACGTCTACATCTATCTTCAATTATGAGTCAAAATGCAGGTGCCTTGTCACATACATAATTATTAACTATTTTTTGGCCGACTACAAGGTTAACAATTCGACTATGTTTATACAGGGTATTTTTGGAACGCTCCCGAAAACTAAGACAGGCGACAGCACCAAGTATACCTTTGATCATGGGTCATAAATAAATTTGATCCTGATGAAAAAAAAACCATATTTTTACAACGTTTTATTAGCTTTATTCACGCGCCATCATGTTAGTACAGCTAAATGAAACGATAATTTCATAAAAAAAATCATGAAAATACTGAAACATAAAACCAGCAGTGGAATGACTGAATTGATATCACCTGACCTGAGCTAGATAAAGGTCAATGTACGCGCGAACACAAATTCGCGCGGCCCGCAACTAGCGGGCCATCCCCCAATATAATAATTTACAACACGTGTCTAAATACCTACTGGAAACTGAATTGATATCACCTGACTAATGGAGGTTAATGTACGCGCGAACGGTGAAAAAAGAACGCTGGCCTTGAACTTGGGCACTGAGCGATTTATCACATATTGGCCAGTATTACTGTGCCTGCATGCTATTGGTTCCCGCGCTTTGTTCGCTCCAAAAATACAGTCGCATACACAGCTTACTTTGCGACTCGCGACGATGTTTTAAAAAGGAAGGAAAAAAAAATATTTATATCTATTGTTTTATGACTAAACTAGTGAACGAAAAGGTAAATATGATAGGAGAAGGTGAATGGGGAAAATTGTGCAGTAAAGTTAAAATTGTTGAGGAAGAATACCGAAAAAATTACCATGTGATCGACCTGATGACGGAAGCTCAAGCGAAGATGAAAGTGATGATGAAGTAGCATCCAGTAACACCAACACACCATCAACATCTGGCTTCCATGTGACCCAAGACGTCATAATGGACGGCGTGTCACCCTTAGCTTAAGTTTTTTTGTTACAAACTACTTTATATTTTACGATAGAAATAACAAACAATGCTCAAGTAAACATTATCTATTTTTAATTCCCACCTCTTCCAAAGTTCTAAGTAGCTAGTAAAACACATATTATGATTCTACAATAAAACAATTAATTACTATAATATTATAAAACAATAGCCCAATACCATGTAGTACTTTAGAACGCGACTGTACCCACACTCACTCCGCTGTCGACCTGTATCTAGCTCGGTATGAAACAATGCTGCGGTCATAAGAAAAAAAGGCGCATCTAACAATTTTCGAATAAATTACCATTCGACTCATGATAAGAAGACGCATCTACTAAATTTTTTTAATATTCACTAATATCAATATTTTAGAAATTATCGTCAGAATTTTAAACGTAGCTGTTGATCACAGATGACATTTTATTAGTAGAAAAGACTTATACAAATTCAACATAAAAGAAAAGACTTATTTAACCAGTTGCTACGTCATCTTTAACAATATTTGCATCGATTACTTAAATTTAAATTATTCTTGTCTTATTATTTTATATCTTATTATTAAGAGCTCATATCTTATTATTAAGAGCTGGTGTTTCACATGTGGTCCCATATAAATTTGATCGAGGTCAGACCAATAGTTTTTGAGTTATCCTTAATTATTTATATTAAAGTCGGTTGTACAAATGTTTTAATTTTTAATTATTATCGTAGTAAGTCTTGTATGATATCCCCTTTAAAATCATTACTCAAGAGTTGCGGGTTGTTATTTTTTGTTTAGCCGAGTAGTGGCGGTCAAGAATATCCACTACCCCATATCCTCCCGTGGGTGTCGTAAAAGGCGACAAAGGGAAACAGCCAGGAGATGGGCAGCAGCATCTTCCTGATAATATCCAAATGACAATAAAAAAACTGCGGTTGCCAACCCGCTCGCCAAGCGTGGCAACTATGGCAAATACCCCCCAATGACGAGAGCAACAAAAAAACGGCCCCCAGTCCCCGGCGGCCCCGCTATTCCTGGCTACGGTGGCGACCATGGTAACGGCGGGGCAGGGGGTGCTAAGAATCACCGGTGGAGGTTCGGTTGCCACCTTAGACGACTCGACCTGGCAACGTACAACGCACGCACCCTGAGGACTGACGAGAAGATCGTGGAGCTGGAAGAAGAGATAGACAAGTTGCGCTGGCATATTATAGGATTATCTGAAGTCCGAAGAGAGGGGGAGGACACGGTAATCCTCGAATCCGGCAACTTGCTCTATCACCGGGAGGGCGACCATCTGTCCCAAGGAGGTGTCGGATTTATCGTCCACAAGTCTCTCGTGTCAAGTAAAAATCGGGAGTGTGTCGACGAGGGTTGCGTACCTTATACTCAGAATCACCAAACGGTATTCGCTGAAGGTCATACAGGTTTACGCACCAACCTCGGCACACCCCGATGAGGAGGTGGAGGAAATGTATGAGGATATCTCTAGAGCCATGCATTCCTCCAAAACCCAATATACGGTGTTAATGGGAGACTTCAATGCAAAACTAGGCACAAGAGAGAACGGTGAGCTGAAAGTAGGGAAATTTGGAATAGGGCAACGGAACCCAAGGGGCCAGCAGCTGGCCGACTTCATGGAGAAAGAGGGACTCTTTATGATGAACTCTTTCTTCCAGAAGCGGCCCCACAGGAAGTGGACCTGGTCGAGCCCCGACGGTTCCACAAAAAATGAGATTGACTTCATTATGACGACCAGACGACAACTGTTCAGTGATGTCTCCGTGATCGCGAGGGTGAAAACTGGTAGCGATCACCGAATGGTTAGAGGCACACTGAACCTAAACGTTAAGTTGGAGAGGTCTCGTCTAATGAAGTCAACGCTCCGTCCCCCTCGTGCTCTGTTTCAAAGTCCCGAAACCTTTCAGCTCGAGTTACAAAACCGTTTTCAGTGCCTAGAAGACTGCAATGAAGTGGACGATATGAATGACAAGCTCGTGGAAACTGTCCATGCGGTTGGAGCTAAGTTCTGCAAGACCCGCCGCAGAAGAACACAAAAACTCTCCGATCACACTCTTAATCTCATGGCTGTTAGACGGGAGATGAAGCTACATTCTTCAACAGACTTGACAGCATACAGGCATCTGAACAGACAGATCTCCAAATGCATGCGGCGGGACTTACGCAACTTCAATACAGCTCGTATTGAAGAAGCGATCGAGCGGAACCAAGGCTCCAAAGTCTTTGCCAGAGATCTGTCTGCCAGAAAGAGCCAACTGTCAAAGCTGAAGACAGAATGTGGCAGCATCGTTTCCGGGACACCTGAGATTTTGAGTGAGATTGAGAGGTTCTATGGGCAGCTGTACACATCATCGTTGGAGCCACACGCAAGTGTGAGTAACGATCCAAGAGCGAGTCTCATCCGACACTATTCCGAAGATATCCCGGATGTCAGTCTGAGCGAGATTAGGATGGCTCTCCAGCACCTTAAAAACGGTAAGGCCCCAGGCGAGGATGGAATTACAGCGGAGCTTCTGAAAGCGGGTGGAAGACCGGTACTTGAAGTCCTTCAGAAGCTCTTTAATTCCGTCCTCCATGGTGGCATTACACCGGAGGCGTGGAGCAGAAGTGCGGTGGTCTTGTTCTTCAAGAAAGGTGACAACGCTCTCTTGAAGAACTACAGACCGATTTCCCTTCTGAGCCGCGTCTACGTGCTGTTTTCGAGAGTCATTACGAATCGTCTCGCGCGCAGACTTGACGACTTCCAGCCTCCCGAACAAGCCGGTTTCCGAAAGGGCTTTAGCACCATAGACCACATACATACCCTTCGGCAAGTTGTACAAAAGTCCGAAGAGTACAATTTGCCACTATGTCTGGCGTATGTGGACTATGAGAAAGCCTTTGATTCCGTCGAAATTTGGGCGGTGCTGCAGTCCCTTCAGCGGTGCCAAGTTGACTGTCGGTATATCGAAGTGTTGAAGTGCTTGTACAGTAGGGCTACGATGGCTATCCGAGTACAGAACCAGAGTACGAAACCTATCCAATTGCAGAGAGGTGTAAGACAGGGTGACGTCATATCCCCGAAACTCTTCACCGCTGCATTGGAAGACGTTTTCAAGCTTCTGGACTGGAAAGGATACGGTATCAACATCAATGGCGAGTACATCACTCACCTTCGATTTGCCGACGATATAGTCCTTATGGCAGAATCGCTGGAGGACCTAAGCACTATGCTCAATGACCTCAATAGTGTTTCCCAACGGATAGGTCTTAAGATGAACATGGACAAAACTAAGATCATGTTTAATGTCCATGTCACACCTATGCCGATAGTTGTTGGGAACACTAAGCTCGAAGTTGTTGACGAGTATGTTTACCTGGGACAAATAGTCCGACTGGGTAAGTCCAACTTCGACCGAGAGGTCAATCGACGGATTCAACTCGGCTGGGCAGCGTTCGGGAAGCTACGACACATCTTCTCGTCAGACATACCTCAAAACCTTAAAACGAAATTGTACAACCAGTGCGTGTTGCCAGTGATGACTTACGGAACTGAGACGTGGTCCTTCACTGCTGGCCGTATGAGGAAGCTCAAGGTCGCTCAGCGAGCTATGGAGAGGGCTATGCTCGGAGTTTCTCTGCGTGATAAACTTAGGAATGAGGATATCCGCAGTAGAACCAGAGTGACCGACATAGCCCAACGGATTAGTAAGCTGAAGTGGCAGTGGGCCGGCCATATAGCTCGAAGAACCGACAACCGATGGGGAAGAAAGGTTCTCGAGTGGCAGCCTCGTACCGGTAGGCGAAGTGTAGGGCGTCCCCCCACGAGATGGAGTGACGACCTGGTAAGACATGCAGGAAGTCGATGGATGCAGGTGGCTCAGGACCGTGTTTTGTGGCATTCTTTGGGGGAGGCCTATGTTCAGCAGTGGACTTGTGAAGGGCTGTAATGATGATGATGATGATGATTTTTTGTGTCTCACTACCAATGCTTTTCTAATATTTACTAAGAAAAAAGTAGTAAATTACTATTAGCGTCCTTTCAACTTCAAATGACCTTTCCAAAATATGTAAAAATGTTAAATGAATGGTAGTTTTGTTTTATTTATTAGGTTGGGAAGACCCAAATAGTTATATGCGTCTTTCCTTCGATGTTTTTGTGTTGCCAGGTGTACTTTTTCAATCTAAGATGAAAAGGAAAATTCGTTTTATTTAAATAAATAAACAAATTAAAAAAAAATAAGTTCGTCCTTAAAATCTTCATGTCTCTACGTATATATTTCAATATAGATACCTTTTAATATACTTTAGACACGGGGTCTGAAAGAAAAATTCATCAATTTATTTTTTATTTCCATTTTACGTTTTTGTTAGTTACTTCCTTTTTTATTATGACGGCAGAATGCCTAACCCTGTCGCCTCACGCTTGTGACGCAGTAGGTTTCAGCCTTGACGGGGTTCGTTCGTTTTAGTTTTTGAGACAGTTCCGTGTTGATTTTGTACACGCGTGCGCGAGCGACAGTTCAATCGTTTTGTTTAATAAATTTACTTGTGATTACGTGTTGATATTAAAGTTTTTGTTACGTTTTTGGATTCTCTTTTGTTTTAATAATAATGCCTAACGCGTACGTTTATAGTGGTCAACATGTTAGGTATCCGAACCTAGGTACACGAAGTATCGCTAAATAAATTGTTAAGACGTCGGGATGGTACAAGTGTGTCATACTGTGCAGTGCACAAAGTGTTGAAGCGTAACCAATGCGCCCATACAAATTGCACAAAGTGCAAGCTTTAGTTCCCGGCGATCACGACCGCCGACGAGTTTTCTGCCGTTGGTTATTATACCAGCAACAACGTGTGCCTGGTTCCATTGAGCACATTATCTGGACGGATGAGTCGACATTTACCAGAAACGGCCTGTGGAACCGAAGAAATACACACGTGTATTCAGAGGTTAACCCGTACGCTGTTCGACAAACCGGGCACCAAACCCGATGGTCGGTTAACGTATGGGCAGGTTTATTTAAGGATCGCATACTGGGACCAGTGTTTCTGCCAGAGCGTCTGAACGGACAGCGATACCTAAACTTTATAAATGAACAGTTGGTTGACATTTTAAACGACCTATCGTTGGCTGAATATCGCCGCACATAGTTCCAACATGATGGTGCCCCTCCACATTTCGTGAGGTTCGTCCGTGAGCGCCTCAATGAGCTATTTGATGATCGCTGGATCGGCAGACTAGGACCACACGCTTGCCCACCTCGCTCACCAGATCTGACTCCGTTAGACTTCTTTTTGTGGGGTATGTGAAAGAAAGGGTTTTTAATCGTGAATGTGATAGTGCTGAAGAAATGCGCCAAAGGATCGTGGATGCTTTCGAGAAACTACGTACGGACTGTGTCGAAGACCACACGATGATGCCCCGCCTGCACCCAAATCTGCCTTGAAATTAATGGAGCACAATTTGAGCCGCATCTCATAAGACCACGGAGGATTTAGAGCAGTAAGCTGTTTCATAACTATTTTTTTTTAAATAACTTAGTACTAGACTAATCTGAATAGGTACATAACTGAATACATGAGAATAATAAACATACCTACACGATGAATAAAAACGCATGACTCCAACCTTGGTTACATTTCATTTAAGTATTTCTTCATTAGCGGGGAATCGAACCAGTTATTTGGGTTATTTAACCTGTAAATTCGGATTAAAGTGGCTACGTGGAGATAAGCACAGTGGCAAAATAGTAGGTTAAGTAGATAAGTTAGGTATTTAGACACGTGTTGTAAATTATTATATTGTGGGATGGCCCGCTAGTTGCGGGCCGCGCGAATTTGTGTTCGCGCGTACATTGACCTTTATCTAGCTCAGGTCAGGTGATATCAATTCAGTCATTCCACTGCTGGTTTTATGTTTCAGTATTTTCATGATATTTTTTATGAAATTATCGTTTCATTTAGCTGTACTAACTAATATGATGGCGCGTGAATAAAGCTAATAAAACCTTGTAAAAAGATGATTTTTTTTTCATCAGGATCGAATTTATTTGTGACCCATGATCAAAGGTATACTTGGTGTTGTCGCCTGTTTTAGTTTTCGGGAGCGTTCCAAAAACAACCTGTATAATTTTTATTTTTTGTATGTATATTATACGATAATATCTTCTTTTATCCACCAATAATTACCTATTTACTTCAGAGGTTATAAATTTTAAGCAAAATAGGGGATGAAGTTTTTAATGTAACTAATTAAGACAATATTAAGATTGTGATTATTCCTTAGCCACTCAAAAGGGTAAAAAATTACCTTTTAACGAATAATACTAAATTTTACCATAATACAATATACAGAAGAATAAAAGCCCCGAATCGAATTCAGAATGTGAAATTATTTTATTCTTTTTATTTCTTTGAAATAAACTAAAATCAATGATTGTAATTCAGTAATGATTTAATTGAATTCATGATTCATGAATTTTTCGACGTATAAGGACGGTCTATAATAAATGATAATAGAAATCGGTAAATAATGTTTTTATGACCAAGATATATATATATAAGGAAACGCTGTTATTAGAAATACTGAAAATGATAAAATATTAACCATTGATTTCCATTTTTTTATTAATATTTTTCTGCAAGGTTTTTTTTGTAATAAATATTGATTTATTACAAAAAAGTCCAATATTAATAAGATTAATTTACATACATTTACCTTTTTTGCACAAGGTGGGGCATGATATGGCATTCTCCTTTCTTAATAAATGCATTGAAATTCAACCCGTTTTAAAATTTCAACCCTTTTAAAACAGTGGTAGAGCCACGTGGCGGCTTTTGCTGTCGCACGGATGGGCCGGCTCGAACCGGGGTGGTACCACGACCTCACAGAATACAAGCACGGAGTAGAGGTTTACCTCTGCGTTTCGCTTGGTGAGTGCAGGTGGCCAGAGGCCCTTTTTTACTGGAAATGAGGCATTTCATCTTAGTCCTCACGGGTGACAACGCATCTGCATTTTGTTTTTTGTAATAGAGGATAGATGTAGGTGTCTATGGGCCGCAGCAACCACTTACCATCAGGTGGACTGTGTGCTCGTTTGTCACCCTTTTCCTATAAAAAAAATGACTAGATTTATATATCGAGTGTAACAACTTTTGGTGGTTCTCGATATTATGGAAGGGTAAGTTGAATTAAGCTTAATATTATTATTTTTTAACCAAATACATTCAATTATTTTTGTTTTCTACGCACCTTGCAGGATCTACTTCAAAGCTCAGCTCCGGTTGCTGCTCGGCTTGGTCCAATAACGCAGAAATAAGCGGCTCCAATAATGATTGTAGGTACCCGTAACCGTATATCTTGAAACAGTACGCCATTATCTTGCTACCTAACGAATTTCCTCGGAAAAGCGTTTGCATGCAGTCGGATACCTGTAATTTGTAAGTGCATTATTATTTATTCTTGCGATTATTCTTGTCTCTTAGTGGAGGCTCAGGGTGATTGTCCACCGCCACAGGGATATTAAAACGTACGAAGAATTCCTGTCGTTGCCTGATTTGCCTTGCCGAACATACAGAAATTCTCAATATTTTATAATAAATATTGTTCGCGCCAAGCGCTAGTTTCAAGGATTGACGCGAGAGGGCGCTCGGCGCGGTGCATTCATACCGGTTTGACTTTCGGTCGTGCGAAAAACGCACAAGGGCAGGCAGTCGCCTGCCAGCTGTGCTTGGAACAGCACGCTGTCAATTTTGTCGGGAACTCAGAATAATTAGGCGCGGCCAGTATACGGTCTACCATTGTGACGCGCATTCCTGCTGGAGAGCTACCCAGGGACTCATTGTGACTGACTCAGAATCTGCATAAGTGCATTCGGCAATATTAGCTAGTGCGGCCTCTGATATTCTAGAACTAAGAACTAAGCGAAACGGTAGTGACCTTTGATCCAGAAACTCCGTGTGCGTTATGTGCGTTAACCTTATACCCAGCGATAGTTAGTGGCTTCTGTAATTTAGTTAATCGTACGATAGAGTTAAGTGACTGTCATCGTGACGAAAGAGGAAAGTGACTGTGGACAACCTCGGAAGGCCCCCTCAAGTTGGAGCGGTGTCGACGCTCGGGCTGCTGCCGACGGCCAAGGTCTAGGTTCAATCACCATCAGTCACACCCAGATACACATCACATCACTTATTTCCCTTTCACTACACAACCACATGTGACCTGACTGACTCCGGAGGGACCAGTCGCCTTGGATATAGGTAAGTAAGCTCCGCCTAATTCCTCTGCCGGTCGACTGGCCGTAGTATAGAACGCTCCCCCATATATTTTAGTGTAATTAGAGAGATTCCACGTGGCCACATTGAGGCCCGACCTACGTCTGCTCGGGAAGTCTTCAGCTCATGGGCCCCTGAGGATTTGACCCTTTAAGGAAGCAGCCGTAGGCCGTTACAAATATTAAAAAGTAAAAGAACCACCAATTATTTTCGCGTAGTATAGTGGCATAGTACAGTATATGTGAAAGTTAAGCACCAAGGTAAGAGTGAAACACCCCAACATGAGGAACTAAATTACACTCTGGGGTTGGTTCACCACTAATTAATGATTGAGAAATAAATGTATCTTTATTTATTATTTATTTTATTTCTTACGATACTACATACTACATCCTATGAATAATTATTATACTTCGAAATGCAGCCTTGGTTACGTCGTCGACCAATACGACGCGGCACTCATGTAGCTCGTACGTGTTATAACAGATCGTGTTACTTTTCCTTGTATGAAGACCTTCATAAGTAAAATGTTTAGATGGGCGTATCCTTCTCTATGAAATCATTGAGAGGGATATTGCATGTTACTTCGAAAAATAAGGGTAATTGCTAAAATTAGTTCATGGTACCATATTATTGTTGTGAAAATATGAAAAAAAAAAAACAAAAATATGTTGCTGCCCCGCTTACATGTATCATAAAGGGAAGATACACATTATATCTTATATGATAACGCGTTTGTAATATTTTATTATAAAGAGGGGAAAACATTTCCTTATATATAATATTATAATATTAAGATCTATTTTTAATTTTAAAGAGTATCTTGTCTATTATTTTTGTTTAAATTGTATCTTAATATTTCAATAACCGGCCAAATGCGAGCCGGACTCGCGCATGAATGGTTCCGTATCATCGTAATACAGACCCCTTTTAATTTTTAATTTATTTTAATTTTTATCATTTGTTATTATAGCGGCACATTCTGTCAAAATTTCAACTATCTACCTATTACGGATCATGAGATACAACCCGCTATTAGGTTACCGCATTATATATTTCAAAAATAAAATGCTATTTATCTTTTTTTATTATATTGATATCCAGCAATTTGTGTGATATTTCTTAACATATAAATAAGTAAATAAAGTGTATATAAAATAAATAAATATAACCTCTACTTCTCTGTAGAATATATTCCATAGCAACGGAGCCAATAAATGCTTGGCATCAAACAACGTGACGAACACGCGCGCAAGTTCGTCCATTTGAGACGTGCTCACAACGTTCGCGAGCGCCATTGCAATTGGCAGTTCCCCCTGAAATATTTAAAAAAATATAATAAATTAGTTATATTAAAGTTTTGATAAGCATGTCACTTTCGATGTAGCTATAGCAAATAATATATAGCTAATATTATATATTTACTGTGCTGTGGTGTACAATTTCTACGATCGTAATTCCATGGAAGATTTAAAATAATTACCGTATTATAAGAGTCATTCTAGTAGGCCTATCTTCAACAGCAATGCTTGAACTAGATAATAAATAACAGATACCTTGTCCGAAATCATGGTGACAAGCTGGACTAACTGTTCAAATCGGTCGGCCAGCACTGTCTCAGCCAGTGTGTCGAATTCTGTGCCTTGTTGCAAGATTTTCGTCAACACTTCCATAAATGCCGCTCGGGTCTGTAGGTCGCAGTGGTAACCCAGATCTAGGAGGCATAAAGTTAAAAGTTACAACTTATATACGTCCCACTGCTGGGCACAGGCCTTCAGGTCCAGGTCCTTCCCCGGTCGAGTCGACCCATTCATGCTACAACTATACTACTAATATAGCTGCAGCATGGCTCTACCACGTATAAAATAGGTAAATCAAAAGAGGTAAATCAGCACTTAACATTGCAATTAACAATTTCATTTGTGCCGGTGAGGATTGAACCCGCCTTGCTCGCGTACTGTTAAATTTACAGCAAGCACTAAGTCATAGGAGACAGACACACATACACATATTTAAGTACATTCAAATGTATATGGTAATTGCTTAAATACTTAATTACAGACTATGAGGTGTTCCATCTAAGACATGTGACAAGCCTTCTTCGAAGTTTGCTGCAGGTGTCCCATGGGCTGCAGTAGCCACTTACCATCTTTAAGTTCGTAACTTCCAATTCCTATTCGTCACACACTAAAAAGTCTCTAGATACTTTAATCAGCGCATCAGTGTCGCGGCACAACCAGGCAACTACCAACAGACGACGGTGGCAATTTGACAAGTATTTTTAACTTAAGTTCAGATGCAATTCCCCTGTCATGGGCGGCGGTAGTCACTTACCATCAGATGAGCCACATGCTCGTTTGCCTACTCTCCTATAAAAAAGCTTTTAAGTTATAAGTGTATAATTTTGATATCCTCTAAATTGATGATAGAAGTAGATGTTTATGAGCCCTTACTTTCCAAATGTGGTGAATGAACAAATCCAACATGTAATACCAACTAACGCATTCTTATAAAACTCTAGAGGTAAGACTTTTAGTCTTAGATTTGTCCTGAAACACGGTCAACACTTAGTCAATACTTCATACAAAGTAAAGTAATTTAATATTAACTTAATGTTTTATTACTAGAAAAAGTAATGTATTAATAAATAACATATTACAGACCACATACGAGTAACTAATTCATTTACAAGAAGTATTGCAACTAAATACTTTATAAATGTACCATGTGCCAGGGTTTTAAACATATATCTAATTTGTTCGGAAAGTAATAATCATTTTACTTAGCGCCGATACTAGGTTTTATATTTATTCTATAAACTGAATTTATACTTACCTATGCTATGCATTAGACCAGAGTCAATGTTTGCGCTTAGCAAGTTGGACATGGCTTGAATGGTGGCATTTCTAAGAGCTTCCAATCCTGGACCTTCTGCCATTTCTACTTCGTTGCAGTCGTTGAGTAAATTCATAAATAACGTGAAGTATCTGAAATTAAAGAAAACACAAATAATTGCATTGTTTTTTTCGTTGAAAAATATTATTTTTGATCTCTTAGAACTAACAGTATCTTATAGTGAATATTTTGAATTTTTCAGTAAGGTACTACAATTTTCTGTACGATGACAAGAATTTGCAAAATTGGGTACAAGATTAAAAATAAAAATACAGACGCATTTCACCCCTGAGGACTAAAATGGCATGCCTCGTTATCAGTAAAAGGAGTCTCTGGTTCTCTACACTCACCATACGAAACACAGTAGCATAACGCTGCAATCCTATAAGAGCGTAGTTCTTTCCCTGTCGAGCCGACCTATTCGTTCTACAACCATAATATAGCTGTAGCATAGCTTTACACATAAAATATCAGTTAAACAATGTATTACAGATATTATGAAGAATTATGTGAAGTCAATTATTATTAAGGAGAATAGTCCAGCGGAGCTCGTCGGCCTATGATAATATTGGTATATGTAGGTGGTTTCCGTGATGGGATGGTTGGCGGATTGGCGGCACTCACTTGAGGAAGAGCTGGCTCTTGGCCTCCATGATGTCGCCGCGGTCGGACTCCTCGGGCTGCAGAGGCAGCCCCTTCAGCAGCGCCGCCACCGCCTCCATACACGCCTGGTCCAGCTCGCGGCACACCACCAGGTACCTGCAATGTTTCCTTTTTACCATTTCTATCACTTCATCCTAACTAACCCTTACTATTTTTAGCGACTAAAACTTGTAGGGACATGCTACGATGTGGTCGTGCTACATTCGTGCTACAACCATAAGCTACAGTTTGACTCTACTATGTACAAAACAACAATTAGAAAATAAGGCAAGTTACTTTTTTATTATTCTAAGCCAGCGCTTAACTGCAATCCCACCTCATGGTAAGTGCTAAGGGTGAAGCGCTCTGACTTAAGAAAAGTCTATTCAGGCAAATCTTTGGAGACACCTATGTTCAGCAGTGAACTTTACTTTAGCCTTCAATATAAATATGTTACTATAATAAATAGGGGCCGCGGGTTCGAATCCCGCACGGAACAAGTATTTGTTTGGCCTACGAATATTTGTTCCGGGTCTGGATGTTTGTCCTTGTGCAATTTATGTTTGTAAACTGCCTCCAAGACACAGGAGAAAATCCTAGTGTGGGGGTAACGTTTTTTTTTTAAATTAAAAAATTAAATTAAATATACCAAAATATTTTAAATTAAACTAATTTTATTGATTTTATCGCATTTTATTTAAGTTATTTTTAACTCCCGACGTGACGATACAATAGGCTCTTTCGGCGAAGGTCGGACCAAAATAAGTTAAAAGCTGAAAATAGCACGAGTTAACTTTGACAACCATGAACATGGGGGCTGCAAAAAACTTGTAGCATTGGAAATTAAAATAAAATCGGTTAAATTCTTAATATGATTTCTTATATATACGCGAATACTATACATTGAATAAAACTATTTTTACGGATTTTATCGGGTTTAATTTATTATATCGAAACGTCAGGGATTAAAAATAAGTAAATTAAACGCGATAAAATTCGAAAAAAATTGTTTTAAACCATGGTTAAATTCGTTTAATTCAAAATGCAGTGTTCGCATAAATATCATATAATCAGATAAATATTTTAAATACAATATCATAAGAATAAATAACCTTGATTTAGAAGATGCCTCGGCCCGAGCTATCTGATGACTAGTACCAAGAACCCAATCGGTCACATACTCCACCATCTTATTTCGAAATTTCATTTCCTGTAAAAAATACATTCACAAATATAATAAATAAATAAATAAATTTAAAGAAATTGGCGAAAGAATGATGTAACGAAACATTTGATGTTGAAGCTTTAATAACTATAATTATTATTGACAACCTAAATATCTTATGATATTATAAATGTACAAAAGGGAACTAAAAGATTTTTTTATAGGTTAAGGGTGACAAACGAGCACACAGTCCACCTGATGGTAAGTGATTGCCGTGGCCCATAGGCACCTACATCTATCTTCGATTACGAATCAAAATGCACATGCGTTGTCACCCGTGATCAATAAGATGGAATGCCTCGTTTCCAGTAAAAAGGGTCTCCGGTTCTCTACACTCACCATACGAGGCACAGCAGCGTTAAGCTGCTATTTTATGCTGGTATTCTGTGAGAGCGTGGTCCTTCCCCGGTCGAGCTGACCAATTCGTGCTACAACCATAATATAGCTGCAGCATGGCTCTACCACGTAAAAAAAAATACATATGTGTGCGTGTATTTGTATGTATATAACACGAACATAAGCATGTAAGTGAGTGAGTGTGAGTGTTTGTGTAACAAGTACCAACCCATAATATAATTTACAGTGAGCATGTACTATAATAATCAAACTATATTTATTGCTGAGGGGTTCACAATTATAATTTTTCAAAGCTTAAAATAGATAACTATTATATTTATATAATTTTGAAAATGTTTACCTTATTTTGCTTTTATACCAACGGATCTGCGTGGAGGTGGGTCATTAAAAACAACAACAAGAGAGAGAGGAATTTTGGGGATAGCATGAGAGAGGTCTTGAATAAATGCGGAGAAAATGAACGGATCGTGATGTTAGGGGACTTTAATGGATGGGTTGGAGTAAAGCGTGATGGGTATGAAGGAGTTCTGGGTACGTTTGGGGACGAGAGAGTGAATGACAATGGGAGAAGCCTGCTTGAAGTATGCTTGGAATGGAATCTGTGCGTGGCCAACACAATGTTTGACCACAAAAAGATCCATTTGTATACAAGAGATGAGGGTGAGTCTAGAAGTATGATTGATTTTGTAATTGTGGATGAAAGACTGAGGAAGAAAGTGCTAGACACTCGGGCATACCGCGGTGTAGGCCTCGACACAGACCACTTCCTGGTCATAGCCCGAATGCGTGGCCTCTTTAAACGGTGGCGACACCGAGTGGCCGAGCCTACGAGTGGTTTGGACAGAGTAAAAGTGGAAAATCTACAAGAAAAAGAAAAGAAAGACGAGTATGTAGAGAAACTGAAAGAAAGTTTTAAAGGGATAGAAGAGATAGGAGTGATTGAAGATTTGTGGGAGACATTTAAGAAAGGGGTCGTAAATGTTGCTATTGAGGTATGCGGGTTAGCTAAAAGAAGGAAAGGAAGAAAGAATGATAACGTGTGGATGGATAAAGATGTACAAAAGGTTGTGCAAGAAAAGAAGAAAGCGTGGTTGGATTGGTTAGCAACAAAAGCTAACCAAAAAGTTCATAAGGCAACGGATGACGAGATAAAGGAAGCAAGAACGAAGTATAAAAGATTGAAAACAGCAGCGAAAGAAATTGTGTCTAGAAAGAAAGAAGAACGAAAGGATGATTTCGATAGGAGGCTCACTGAAGATTTCCAGTCAAACATTAAGTTTTTCTGGAAAACCATCAAAACAGCCAGAGGAAAAACTTCTACCTCTGAGCTGAGTACAATCTGGAGTCAAGATGGGAGCATTATAAAAGGAGAAGAATGTGTGTTAAAGAGATGGAAAGAGTATTTTGAAAGTTTGTTTGAAAGAGAGGAAGTGCAGGTACAGCATCTGCCACCTTCCACGGAAACTAATATAAATGTTGATGAAAATGAGATAAGCATGGATGAAATAGTGAAAGCGTTGAAAAGTATGAGATTAGGTAAGGCTGCAGGGTATGACAGGATTACCGTCGAGATGCTGAGGGCTGGACAGGGCCTGGTGGCTAGTCAGCTGTACCGCCTTTTCAATCTGTGCTGGCGAAATGGGCAAGTACCGGGAGACTGGTGCAAAGCCGTAATCGTGCCATTGTATAAGGGAAAAGGGTCACGGCAGGACTGCATAAATTACCGCGGTATAAGCCTTCTCAGCGTCGTCGGTAAATTGTATGCGAAAGTGTTGATTGAAAGGATTGTGAATGAAACAGACAAGAAAGTTTGGGATGCACAAGCGGGATTTAGAAAGGGAATGGGATGTACGGATCAGGTCTTTTCCTTGCGGTGCATAGCCGAAAAGTATTTGGCTAAAAACAAGAAAGTCTACTACGCGTTCGTATGATATAGTGGTGAGGAATGAATTGTGGTCAGCACTGTCCGTGAACGGTGTGAGCAGTATCCTCATACGAGCAATGCAATCTCTTTATAGGGATTCTAGTGCTTGTGTAAGGATAAACGGGGCATACACTGAATGGTTTAATATCGAAAAAGGTGTTAGACAGGGATGTGTAGCGTCACCGTGGCTGTTTAATCTGTTCATGGACAATTGTTTGACAGATTTAAAAGAGAATGAAAGTGGGTTGAGAATGAATGAGTTACTCGTCAAATGTTTTCTTTATGCTGATGACCAAGTATTACTTGCGTCTTCGGCCGAGGAGTTGCAGGAGATGGTAACTGCTATGAGTGGAGCTTTTGTTAGAAAGGGAATGAAGATGAATGTAAGGAAGACGAAAGTGATGGTGTTTGAAAAAGATGAGGCAGTGACAGACTGCAACATTGTGATTGAAGATGAACAAATTGAACAGGTGAAAGAGTTTGTGTATCTGGGTTCAAAGTTTACAAGAGATGGAAAGTGTGAGAGTGATATCGAAAGAAGAGTGAATGCAGGAAACATGGTGAATGGAGCTTTGCACTCCTTTATGAGCAGTCGGAAGGTGTCTAACAAGGCTCGTTTGGCTGTGCATGAGGGGGTGTTGGTTCCGACACTCATGTACTGAAGTGAAACTTGGGTATGGCAGAAGAAACATGAAAGCAGAATAAATGCAGTTGAGATGAGAGCATTAAGAAGTATGATAGGAGTTAAACTAAGTGACAGGATAAGAAATAGTGAGATAAGGAAACGTTGTGGTCTGAAAGAAGATGTAGTGACAAAAATTGAGAAAGGTATGCTGAGATGGTTTGGCCATGTCGAGAGAATGAATGAAGAACGATTGACGAAAAAAGTGTATAAGGCGAGTGTGAATGAAAGTGTTGGAAGGGGTAGACCTAGGCGGACATTTCTAGACCAAATCAGGGACGTCTTGAAAAAAGGCCAGGTCAAGAGTACCCTAAACCGTAGAGCATGTATGAAGGGAATAATGAAAGTGGACGAAGCAAAACAAGTATGTAAGGATCGTAGCAAGTGGAAAGAACTGGTCTCTGCCTACCCCTACGGGAAAGAGGCGTGATTATATGTATGTATGTATGTATCAATATTAGTTTATGTAAATAAATACATAAATTACATTTGCTAAACTAATATTAACCCATATTAATATTTAAAAACAGCTTTCAAAATCGTTACTCCTATCTGATTTCTCTGAACGTACCTGTCTGAACGCGAGATCGTCCCTTCGACTCATCATCGCTTCCACAACTTGGCACAGTTTCGTCTTTATATGCACCGAAAGCACAGTCATGTCTAAATGACGCACGTACCTTCAAATCAGACAAAATTGAATGATTTATATAGTAATATTATCTTAGATTAGATTTTACGTAGTCCAACTATAATAATCATCTTAGGTTATTATATAGGTAAAAATAAAATTTCACTAATATGGAAAACTAATTAAACAAATGTTATTTACCTGACTATAGCCAACATTAGGCCCTCGATAGAAGTAGTACTAAGAGGTTCTGCAGGTTGCCCAGTCTTTTTGTTGTCTAAAATGCTCTTCATTATGAATATAGTGTGCTCCACAAACTGCGTATTAATTTCCGTTAGCATCACCTACGGTGAGTAACAAATCTGTCTATAACGGATATAATACGGATAAAACGGACATAATTTCCATTCGAATCACAACCAAAACAACAATTTGGTTCTAAATTGAAATGTAGATCCGCTTATATATACGATTTTATTATTTAACATTAAAGCAACAAAAGTATTAGCTACACTTCATCTGATAGGAAATAGCTGTTGCATGCCGCAGACACCTGCAGTCAACTTTAGAATAGAATAGAATAGAATGATTTTTATTCAATATGGATTATTACATAATACTTATTGAAAGTCATTTTATTTACCACTGATTCGGAAAATACCTCTGTCCTGGGAAGAACCAGCAAGAAACCCAGCGGGACTTTTTTTTTTAAACATAATTTCACTTAACAATAATTTTGTTTATACAATTTTAAAAGTATTTTCATAGAACCAGCATGGTGGCGATCACCTTATTCCCAGGGGTTATTTTCATTCATGTATTCCTTGATATTATAATAACCCTTTTTGTACAGTTTTTCTTTAATAAAACTTTTAAACTTGTTTATTGACAAACTTTTAACATGTTCTGGGATTTTGTTGTAAAAGCGTATACATTGCCCCATAAATGAATTACTAATTCTGTGGAGTTAAAGTTTAAACATACAGATGCGTCTTTAGCTGTCTGTATACTACTCTCTAAACGTTACATTAACCAGAACACATAAGTGTACGCTCTGCAGCTTGCTCACAGAAATAGGTAAGAAAGTAACGCTTACACAGACGACAGAAACCAAGCTCAAACCACGCTCAACTTATTCTAAGAACATACAATTGCACACATATTGCACCTAAAATCGTTTGCAACTTTATACACGGGCTTTTTAAGAAAGAAAGAAGAAAGATGTGTGCGTGAGAACATGCTTTGTTGGTCTGAAGTTATACAATAGAATAACTACATAATACGAAAAAGAACTGTGTAAAATTACGTAATACAAATTCGATATAATTAGTCATCAGAAACTTTTTTGTAACTTAAATGTTACCTTAAATGTTTTCTTTTGCAATAGTCGGGTAAACGACCTTTGAATTTGCTATAAAAACATGTTCCTATCCTATTACTCAGGCGGCCGGACTATAGTGATAAAAGATTGTTAATTAATGATAAATTAAGAAGACTGATGACTGCTAAAAATTACCTGTTGTTGTTGGTCAAAAAACTTATCAATGATGGCTTTAATTTGGTCAAATAGTATAGGGTAGAGAGCAGGTGACATCTCGTGACCCACAAGTTCTTTGACGTGAGTTTGGATTTGTTGCCCGAAGCGCTCGTTGGTGCACAGCAACAAACGCAAAAGTTGCCCTATAAACCTGCAAAATGTGATTGATTTATCATTATTATTTTACTGTGGATAATCATTAGAAAGAATAACAATTATCTGCATTATTGTATGCAAATAATTCCGAAGAGACCGAAACATGTGAAAATCTGAGGGTGCAAGATTAGGATCATATGGTTGGGAAGTGTTAATGAATGCATTAATAAGCTCTCTCAATTTTTGCAGAGTGGCCAAATACGTGTGTGGTCTGGCGTTATCATGATGAAAGATCACTCATTTTCTGTTGATCAATTAAGGTCGTTTTTTCTGTTTCTTGCTTGAATCTCATTAGTTGTTGGCAGTAGAGATCCAAATCGATGGATTTTCCCGGCGGTAAAAGCTCATAATAAACGATGCTCTTACAGTCCCACGGTTTTCGGCAATGCGTTCCACTATTGCGTGATAATCCGGGTTTCGCTACAGTCTGTGGAGCTTGATTTTTGACCCTTTGATTATGATCTTTTTCGCACGTTCTTGTCGTAGGTGGTCCACTTTTCATCATCAGTGATCAAACTTTTCAAAAATGGTTCGATTTTATTACGTTTCAATCGAGAATCCCAAATGAGTACACGATTCATTAGGTTTCTTTCAGTGAGCTGGTGTGGTACCCAAATATGGAGCTTTTTTATATAGCCAGACTTTTCCAAATGGGTCAAAACTGTTTTGTGGTCAATTCTCAATTCCTGGGCTATGTCGTAATTATTAATATGCTGTCTTGCTCCAGTTTTTCAAATATGGCATCGACTTTATCCGTGTGAGGGCCACCAAAGCGAGCTGCATCTTTGACATCAAAATTCCGGCACTGAAAACGCGTGAACCAACTTTGTGCTACTCTTACTAACACTGCATTAGGTTCATAATTGTCACAAATTTTTTTCGCGGCTTGAGTTGAGGTGAGGTGCGGGGATGATCAAATGATACGACAGCTATGCGAGACGGCCTATTTATTACTGCCCCAGTGCCCCACAACTTACAATGAATATTTATTTATATTACCTTCTTACTCCACTACAGTCTCATTTATCCCTTTTTTGTAATAAAACTTCAGAATCTAATTGCTTCGTTAGATTCACTCATTTTGGCGGACAGAAAAACAATTGGAAATGGCGGGAATGTTTACATTTTATTTGTTATTCTTAATGTGCTACATGTATTGATATTAAAACCAGCCAGATACATACAGTACAACCAAAGAGAATTTTCTTCAATTTTATGCAAAAGAAGTATAATAAAACTTTTTCCCAACTTTTTAGTATAAACTGTGCACAAAACTAAAGGCACTATAATTTAATTAGAGTAATTGCCTATGTCTAATATTTGTCGTGCCATAAAGTCTTAAAAGAATCCACTACTCCATATTATCCCATGGGTTCGTAATCCCGCCATGGGATCTGTCAAATATTTCCTCATTCCAAAGTGACCCCCGTCACACTGGTAACAAAAAAAAAAGTTGTGGAAGCACTCATTCATAATTAACGGGCCTATCACTAGTGGTCATCCATCACCGTGGATTTTGTGATCATTTGGAGTCGGCCGAATTTTCAGTCCAAAAATGAACAGAATACGAGTACGAATGTTGGCCGAAAATCGGTATAAATCGCGCGCTTTTATTGATTTTTTTTAAATAAACTAAGGGCGAAACAGTCCACCAGATAGTAAGTAGATGCTGTGGCTTATAGACATCTACATTTATCCTCAATTAAGAATCATAATGCAGATGCGTTGTCACCCCTGAGGACTGAGATGAAATGCCACGTTTCCAGTAGGTAACCCGGTCGAGCCGTCCCATTCATACTACAACCGTAATATAGCTGCAGCTTGGCTCTATCGCGTAGAAGTGAGATAATATGTTATACCACAATATTATACACGTTAATAAAAAGAGCAGTCACTTACTGTGTAACCGGACAGTACTGAACTTCTTGTGAGCTATTTGCTAAAACGTTGTATTTTCGTGTATCTGTAACAAAAAATAATACGCCATAAACCGAAAATGTAAAATATAATATAATAACTCAATATAAAAAGGCAGTACACACCATGTAAATGCGACCAGACTGTGGACGGTCGGCGCTGAAGACACACGCCTCCTAATGCGCACAGAAAGGAGGTTATGTTCGCCCACTCTTGGATTTGCATCTGAAAACAAAATTAATTTCAGTATTTTAAAATAATATGTGACATAAAGCATCATCATCATAAGTTGCATCATTAAAGCCACAAATTTACGGCTGTATATAGAGCTCCCCCATAGAATGTCCCAAATCCCGACGTTGCTGAGCTTCCAAGCATCTACGTGGTAGAGCCATGCTGCAGCTATATTATGGTTGTAGCACGAATGGGTCGACTCGACCGGGGAAGGACCACGCTCTCACAGAAAACCAGCGTAAAATAGCAGCTTAACGCTGCTGTGTTTCGTATGGTGAGTGTAGAGAACCGGAGACCCTTTTTACTGGCCAAGAGGCATTCCATCTTAGTCCTCACGGGTGACAACGCATCTGCATCTTGAGTCTTTATTGAGGATAGATGTAGATGCCTATGGGTCACAGTAACCACTTACCATCAGGTGGACTGTGTGCTCGTTTGTCACCCGATCCTATAAAAAAAAATCTATTGAGTCTGCTTGTTTCAAAAGATCGTCACTCTATTGATAGATCATCGGGCTGTTTTGTTGTGAACTGTCCTTTAATCTTTATCGGTAGTCAGTTCTTCGAGCTATTTAGCTCGTTCATTGCCTCTTCAATCTACCAAGACTATTCTTGTTTTACTGCAGATATTCGCGTTACAGGTTTACAATAAAAAACAATGCAATTCATAAAATATTACAGTGGCGGCTCATATTACTAGAGCCTTCTACTTAAATAATCTATTTGGCATTTTAATCAATATATATTGTATTCAAACTATGTCTGCAAGGTTTATATTTTGTTATTGTGGATTTATGGATTTGTGCAGATTATGAATTTTTAACTGGCCACACTGAGGGGGCATAATAGGTCACATCGTCGCCATTTTGTTGTAACACAGTCAGTCGACGCTTAACTGTCTCGTTGTTCGGGTGAGTATTTTTGATATTATTCATGCATTTTTATCAACTTTTTGTAGTGTTGGTGTGTTTTGACACTGTTCGTCCATATATAAGCAGCTTCCTTAAAATTTGTTTGTTGCTAAAAATTTCATTTTCACATAAATTTTGTTATTTTATTTGCAGGATATATTTTAATAATTGGAAAAGCTAAAAATTTGTCTCCAAGGAAATTTTCCAAAATTAAACCTTATTATTGCATACTAGGCATTCCCAAAGGAAGATTGCACCGATTGCTAATGTTTCGAGGGCATCAGTTGACCAAATAAAAAAAAAACTTGGCACAAACGTTGAGCTGACGCCGAAACGTGCGAAAAATTGTGGACGAAAGAAAATTACCATGCCACGTGATGAAAGAAAAATCAGGGATATCTGTGTTGAAAACAGGAAGGCACCTGGGAAGATTCTTAAGAAGAAGGTACAGGACGCTGGAATCAACATTTCCCTAGCAACAGACTCACTTACATTGCAAGCGAATACAACTGGCCGCCACCGCAAGCCGCTTCTGTGTGGGAGACACTTTAGGGAGTGCGCGGTCAGTCGGTTGCCGCAGCGCGGTCAGTTGCAAATTTTTACAACAGGCCGCGTGTCTTCTTCCTCTACCTAGCGTTTATCCCGGTTGCTCATCCCGCCCAGCGCGGGAGAACCCAGAGTCCGCTTCCTACACTTTGCTCGGTCTTCGGCGTCCCTCGCAACTAGCCCATTGGCGCGCATGTCCTGCACGACATCATGCCAGCGTTTCTTGGGCCGTTCTTTAATCCTGGTACCAGGTAGGGTCATGTCCAGGCATTTGTTTCCCACGTAGCTTGCCGGTCGTCGTAAGACGTGGCCGTACCAGCGTAGGCGACTTTCCTGCAACTTGTTAGCAATGTCACGGACATGGAGGCTGTCGCGGATGTATGTATTCCGTACACGGTCTTTCCGCGTGACGCCACACATCCACCGCAGTATGTTCATCTCCGTGACATGCAACAACTGCCGGTGTCGTCGCCTATACGGAGAGACGTCAGATCTGTGCTGTTGCAGGCCATATACTCCGTCTTCGCCACGTTTAGCTTCAGCCCGCCGTTCTCAAGCGCCTCCCTTCATGCTTGCACGCGTCTGGTGAGCCGTCCTTTGTTCCCATCTACCAGTGCGATATCATCAGCATACATAAGCAGCCAAGGCTGCGGTAGTTTCAGTATGCTGGCTGACAGTTCGTCAAATATCACACTGAAGAGATAGGGGCTTAAGACGGAGCCCTGATGCACGCCTACGGTTATGGGAAAGGGGGTGGTACCACCAACAGCGGTCCTGACAATCGGAGGTGCGGTACATGTCACGTACGATATCCACGTAGGTCCTTGGTACCAACTTCGACCGCAACGCCCACCAGATCATCTGGTGGTCTAGGAATAACAACAGCCGCGTGTACCGCGTGAAAAATGATGCCAAATTCAGAGATTTTAATAGAAACAGCGCAAAATTATCCAGTACTTTATGATAATTCGCTACGTGATTACAAAAGCATTAGGATTAGAAACAAAATATATGATAATATTGCTGAATATAAAAGACTTCGCCACGGTTAGTCATGTTACTGACGTCCAATCGTAGCACAGACAACTCAGCGAATGGCGCTTCAGGCCGCCGCTGCGACCGCGGCGGTGTGTTGTTGCAGCGGCTGGAGTCGCGGCTCGCGGTTAGCCGCTACCGCAAGCCGCTTCTGTGTGGGAGACGCTCAACACACACGCGTTGGCGGAAGGGGCGGAGCATGCGGCCGCGGCCAGTCGCTGTCAGAGCGCGACATGGCCGCACGGGTTTGCAGACTGACTTACATTGCAAGCGAATATAACAGGCCACCACCGCGGCCGCCACCGCAAGCCGCTTCTGTGTGGGAGACGCTTTAGATAAACTGCTCAAAATGTATCGAAAGTATGCTCAGGAGAATTCAGGCAGTTATAGAAGCAAAAGGAGGTGTCAGTAAATATTGATTTAATTTGTATTTTTATATTTATTGCACTTATTCAATACACAAGTTCCGGGCGGGGTACAAGTTACCTCTACGTCGTGTTCGCTGGCGGTGTGGTGCGGCACGCGGCGCTTGGGCACGGCGCGGTGCAGCGGCTCGGGCGGCTCGTCGGCGCGCTCGGGCCCCTTCGGGTACTTCTGCAGCAGCTTGCACAGCGAGTCCCTGCACAACACGACTACATACAATTTCTATAGGTAAACTCATTTTATCGAACAAAAATTTATTGACTCTCAAGGTGGTCCCCATAAGTCGGTAATACGAGAGTGACACTGAAAGTTCTTAAAAAATCAAAAACTGAACAAACTAGGAAGTTATTAGTTTTATTATATCTTTCCAAAATAGTGTCTAGTTACATCAAAACATCGCTATATCCGATGTACTGAGAAAAACACTTTGCCCACTCGACTTAAGGGGTCTCTTCGATGGCATTTTGAAACGCAGCCGCTACTTTCTCGGCGTCCATAAAACGGTTTCCACGAAGTTTTTCTTTTATTTTCGGAAATAAATAAAATTCGCAAGATGCGAACCCGGGGCTATGCTATGCACTCAGTAATTCCACGTCTGACGTCGCCAAGTAGTCGATTGTTTGCTTGGCGGTGTGGGTCAAGGCGTTGTCGTGGTGAAGGAGGATCCTACTGCGAGGTCGTTTCTCCCGAACTTTTTCCAAGACAAGTGGCAAACATTTGTTAGTGTAGCATTCTGCAGTAACTGTTTTTCGATCCTCTAAAACAATTGTTGCGTAACGACCTGTCCTTCCGAAGAACGAGGCCATCATCTTCTTTCCCACGCTTCGAACTCTCTTAACTTTAGTTGGCAACTCCTCGGAAGAAAACACCCAGACAGCAGACTGTCTCTTAGTTTCAGGATCATAACAAAAGATCCAGCTTTCGTCACCGTAAGTATGTCGAACACAGCATTTGAGTCACCTCCGTTAAATCTTTGAACCATTTCACGACACCAATCAACACGACGGAGTTTTTGGGCTTCTGTGAAATTATGAGGTATCCACCGGGCACAACGCTTCCTGACCAATAAATGTTCATGTAGGATTTTGTACTCTTGACTCATACCGATATCTAAGCTTGTCCGAATCTGCTGATAAGTCACTCTTTTGTCAGTCTCTATCATACGCCGCACAACACTGATGTTATCTTCAGTCGTCGCCGTAGAAGGCCGTCACTCACCCAAATCATCGGTGAGATTAGTGCAACCACGTTTAAACTCATTAAACCAGTTGTAAACAGTGGCATGAGATGGGGCTTCATCGTGAAAGGCCAATCGAAGTCTCTCATAACTTTCTTGTTGACGTAAAGGACATCAAAAGTCATAAAAAATCATTGTACGAAAATTTTCTCGCGTTAAATTCATGCTGACTTGACACAGACAATTTTCAATTTGTCGCCAAATCGTAAACAAATGACAAATTAACAAAATACATACGCAATAATATTGGCAAAGATTTCCATTTTTAAAATTTGACTTATTTTTTTATTATATCGTTTACAAGTGAGGAGTTCTAAAAACTTTTAGTGTCGCCCTCGTATATAAAATCGTAGATTGTTAAGAATGGTTTGAATATGATAGTTTTATTCAAAATAATTAATTTTATTTACATATTTGATAAATTTGTATTTTATTTATTTTAAAAATTAAAAGTTATATTAACCATCTTTAAAGCACCACCCACAGAGAAGACCGAGATAATATGATACACTTTATATTGTTACTAGTTGTGCTCTGCGGTTTTACCCCCGCCCCGCGAATTGACACCTAGCTTATAGAGGCGTTCACTACTGTTTTCTCTCGATTCTCATCGAGTTGCTAGGAATCAATCGCGCGACGAGCCAAGTGTTGCATTATTGCATTTTTTCATTATCTCTTATACTATGCCTCCAAATAATATGCTATAAAGAGCTGTTTATTTTCATAAAATTGTCTTGATGATGAAGTAACTTTCGTTCGTAAGGTAAATTAATACGCCATGCCTTATAATAACGCTCATAAAGCAATTTGTAGTTTTAAATATTTTTTATCTCAAAATACCTTATTGTGACTTGTCTATAAGAAATAGGCCTATGGTGTCGCGGAACTTTTTAGATAGAAAAAATATCTATATTTTTGTGGAATATTGTATTTACACTGACCATTACGCCAGGGCACGCGGATAAAGCAGTTCTTGAGCGCTTTTTTTTCAGACTTACTTAACAAAAAACAATATTTAAGGGTAGCTGGGAGGTGTAGCCTTATGCTAGATAGCTTATACTATTCCTCATAAATCTAACTATTATATACTAAAAGAGTTTATCTAGTCTAACCTCTTCCGGTATATTATATTAGTACTAGCTGTGCCCCGCGACTTCGCCCGCGTGGAATTTACTACGATTTCATGGATATCAATTTTTTGCGCGGAACCCTAGTTTTGTTTTTGAGTAATGTTACCATCTTATAAATATTGACAAATATTGACATTAATATTTATACGATACTAACGTCACTCAATTGTTTTGCCTTCCTGGCCCCTACCACTAACACTAACTTTATGGTATGGTATTAAAGTTCAAATTGACTTATAAGTATTATTACGAATCTTTTGTATGGGAACATAGAAGCGTTGTTTTTAGACTTTTTCAGGTATTTTTTTAAATTTTTCTCTCCGTAAGCACCATCTTCGTACTTCAAGGAATATTGTAAAAATAGAATTAGCGAAATCGGTTCAGCTGCTCTCGAGATTTGTGCTTAGCAACACATTCAGCGATTCATTTTTATATTATAGATAGACTCTGACTCATTCTCACACGCAGGCTAAATGATATATAGATGTTTACGTTTGTCTCTTTTTAGTGTCGCTTTTTCGTTTCATTGCGTTTCAAATCACAACGATACTAAAAAAGTTTCACTTCAAAAATAAACACCGATTGCACGATTCTATCAAGTGTTCCAACCAGGGCTCGGAAACGGTTTAAAAAGAGCGGTTAATTTCAATTAATTACCGGTAAATTTATCGCTCCTTCAATTACCGGTTAAAAAATTAGCCGGTTTTTATTAAACCTAAATGAGGTTACCGGTTGCTTAATGGTTTTGATACCCAAATTAACCGGTTAATTCCGTAAAACGTAAAGGCAGTTATGAATAAGACAGGTAAATTCACGTTGTGAGGTCCTTATGCGGCATCGCATGCATCAATTATCTGCCTTTAAGCGATACGTTTTTTCAGTCGCGATCAGGGTGTCTAGTGAAAGTTTGGCGTTTACGAAAAACGTGAAAGGATTAGAGAAGTTTTGAAGAAAGAAAGGCAGTTATTATGTTTGGTTTATTCGTTAAGACTGGACTTGTCTCATAAAGAAGAAAATAATTTATTCTTGTGTATAATTTATTAATGTTTATTTATGATGGGCAGAAGTATAATTCCGCCTCCAGGTTCTTCAAAATTCATTGCCAAGGCAAGGTCAGAGCACATCGGCGGAGTTGGTGAGAGGCTAGTTCGCCGTCCTTCGGTAACCCAATTCTGGTCTCTTGCCAAGGCTGTCCAAGGAAACTTCTGTCAGTCATCTCTGCAAAGAGAGGGCGACTCACTCAGTCCATGCCGCAAAAGAGAAAGCCGATCTGTTAATCTCTCTTTTTGCGTCTAACTCTACTCTCGATGACGGGGGAATACACCGCCGACCATCCCGCGGTTTGAATGCTCCATGCCAGATGTGCGGTTTAAACAGTGATCGGTTCGCAAAGCACTCCTCTCCCTGGTCGTCAACAAGTCGAGCGGGCCTGATGGAGTCCCTCCCATTGTGCTGAAGACGTGTGCTCCGAAGTTGGCACCGGTTTTAACGCGTCTTTTCCAGTACTTCTCCTAAGGCGTTATCCCAAATTCATGGAAAACAACTTTGGTCCACCCGATCCCTCAGACCCGTCAAACTACACGCTTATCGCCATCACCGCCTTGTTCTTCAAAATAATGGAATCCATTATAAACAGTTTTCGTCGGGGTTGATCAGCTGGTGATCTTCTGGTCTATCTAACTCATAGATGATTGGAGGCAGTAGAGTTCAAGGTTGTTGTTCAAGGAGTTTGGTCATAGCGAAGGCCTTCGATCGGGTCTGGCACAAAGCGCTTCTTTCGAAGCTCCCTTCCTATAGGCTTCCCGAGAAAATGTGCAATTGGATCACCAGTTTCCTTGCTGATGGGAGCGTCAAGGTCGTTGTAGACGGTGCATTCTCTGATTACAAGCCTATTAACGCTGGTGTTCTACAAGGCTGCGTGCTATCACCAACGCTGTTTCTACTGCATATTAATGATGTGTTGCAAACTGGTAACAACGACAGCACTGGTGACTCAATATACACTGGCCGTGCCAATATTTCTCGGGCAAACGTCTCCAAGTACCGGAACAAACTTGTGTCTGAAGTCAATTCTTTGCTGAACAAAGCTCGGATTGGGGGCGCCTAAATCTAGTCCAGTTCAATCCCCAGAAGACACAAGTTTGCACGTACACCGCTAAAAAGAACCCCTTTGTTGTATCTCCTCAGTTTCAAGGCACTCCCCTTGCTGCCTCAGCTAGCATAGGAATCCTCGGCGTCGACATATTGAATAGTGTGCAGTTTTAGGGCCACTTAGAAGGAAAGCCCAAATTGGCCTCTAAAAAGCTTGGCGTGCTCAGCAAAGCGGGGCAGTATTTCATGTCGGCACATCGCTTGCTACTATACAAAGCGCAAATTCGGCCTCTCATCTCCGGGCCGGGGCATGTTAGTTAGTGTCAGCTCCTTCCACTTGACCGCATCCAGCGCAGAGCGGTTTGAGTCGTCAACGTCCGAATTCTTTCTGATCGGCTCGGTTGACTGGCACTGCGTAGCGATGTTGCATCCCTTTTCATTTTCTATCGCATCTACCTCGGGTAGTGCTCTAAGGTTCGGTTTATCCTCAGTCGCCATATTTCATGAACCCCACATGACGTCAAAATTCACGATAACATCCTCACCATCTGGATGCTTGAGGGGCCACCACTGTGCTATTTACTAGGAGTTTTCTTCCTCGTACAACTCCTCTTTGGAATTGTTTACCACCGGCGATTTTCCGGACCGATACGACTTTGGGACCTTCAAGAAAAGAGCTTACTCCTTTTTAAAAGGCCGGCAACGCACCTGCAATTCCCCTGGTGTTGCGGTTGTTCATGGGCGGCAGTAGTCACTTACCATCAGGTGATCCGCATGCTCGTTTGCCCCCTTTTCTATAAGAAAACATACGACGAGGAAACCCAAAAATCTAAGTGCTTGATTGAGGGCTGTAATACGACTATCAAGGTGGTTTCTAGAACACTCATTATAACCAAATTAATCCAATAACGGTACTTGGCACGAACCGGGATTCAAACCCAGGACTAAATCATGATCCACAGTTGCGCTACTAACCACTAGACCAACGAGGCAGTCAGCAATCGAACCAGTGAAAGGCCCGTCAAAACCGGTCCAGTCATTTCGGAGATTAGCCAGAACAAACAGACATTGAGACAGACAATTTTTTTTTTTATATTATATACTTTCATAATATGTATTTAGTAAAAATCTGTTATTTTGACGTTACGAACAGACACTTTAATTTTACTTATGTTGTACTTTAATTGTACTTATGTTGTATTATATTCGTAAAGTATGAAAGTGTGTAAAAAAATTCGAAAGTCATTACTATATTATTTTGATCTTGAGGCGTCAGAAAACTTGGCTGCACTTTTAATAATTCTCTTTTATAATTCAATACAAGATCGTAGATATCAGTGTGATTTATACTGATGATCTAATTAATTGGGAGTTATTAATAATTACTTTAAAGACAGGATTTTTAGTGTATCTATTTGGTTACAGTCGACAGCAAAATATAGCCGAATTTAATCATAATGATTTCATCATCATCATCATTACAGCCCTTCACAAGTCCACTGCTGAACATAGGCCTCCCCCAAAGAATGCCACAAAGCACGGTCCTGAGCCACCTGCATCCATCGACTTCCTGCATGTCTTACCAGGTCGTCACTCCATCTCGTGGGGGGGACGCCCTACACTTCGCCTACCGGTACGAGGCTGCCACTAGAGAACCTTTCTTCCCCATGGGTTGTCAGTTCTTCGAGCTATATGGCCGGCCCATTGCCACTTCAGCTTACTAATCCGTTGGGCTATGTCGGTTACTCTGGTTCTACTGCGGATATCCTCATTCCTAAGTTTATCACGCAGAGAAACTCCGAGCATAGCCCTCTCCATAGCTCGCTGAGCGACCTTGAGCTTCTTCATCCGGCCAGCAGTGAAGGACCACGTCTCAGTTCCGTATGTCATCACTGGCAACACGCAGTGGGTGTACAGTCTCGTTTTCAAGGTTTGAGGTATACCTGACGAGAAGATGTGCCGTAATTTCCCGAACGCTGCCCAACCGAGTTGAATCCGTCGATTGACCTCTCGGTCGAAGTTGGACTTACCTAGTCGGACTATTTGTCCCAGGTAAACATACTCGTCAACAACTTCGAGCTTAGTGTTCCCAATAACTACCGGCATAGGTGTGACATGGACATTAAACATGATCTTAGTTTTGTCCATGTTCATCTTAAGACCTATCCGTTGGGAAACACTATTGAGGTCATTGAGCATAGTGCTTAGGTCCTCCAGCGATTCTGCCATAAGGACTATATCGTCGGCAAATCGAAGGTGAGTGATGTACTCGCCATTGATGTTGAAAACGAAAAAAAAGTCAATTTAAATATATAAGGTCAAATTAAACTTGATATCGAAACTTAATTTTAAAGTGAAGATAACGCATAATTAATTGAAACAAAACTTACATCTGTTATTTATAATACAATTGTTGATGAAAGATGAAAAAATATGAGGGAGTACGTTACAAGGCAGTCGCGTTGATGCAATGAATATATCGTACGTGTGTAAAAAACTTCGTGAATTAAATAGAGGGCAGCCGTACAAAGTTGGGTTGGGTAAGGGAGAGGGGAGAACATTACAAAACTTGGTTTTAACCGGTTAATTCTTACTACCCAAACCTGAATTTTTGGAAAACCGGTATTCCACAAAAACCGGTTTTGGGGTTAATGACCGAAACCCGTTAAGAATTTGAACCAGTTTCCGAGCCCTGGTTCCAACCTTAATAGCTGCATATTTCGACATCCACCAGATATGATGGGTTAACTGTTTTTCTTATGTCACCATTCGAGATTATATAATATAGTTATTATTATTGTTGCGTGCCACTATTAATGTCTTGTACATGGCATCACTAGTTACCACTAGCGCCCTCTAGTGTCGAGGAGCAGAACTAGAAGAGTCAAGATCCTTCTAGAAATTTCGAGACCGATATGTACTCGAACATACTAGATGTTTCTACAGTAGAAGGTTCTGGAAACTATCTGAGGCCCTATATAAAGCCGGTATAGACCACGACCGAGTCAGTATTGAATTGGCGATACAAGAGAATACTTGAACTGTGAACTAAAGCGATCAGTAGGTAGTACAATTGTGTTTTATTATTAGTGTGGTTTTAGATTGTGATTAGTTAAGTTTAATTAAGTTAATTAAAGTGTCAATTTTGGTAATTCAATCGGCAGTTTTTAATTGTCTCGAACCCCAAGCTCGTAACATTATTTATGACGTAGTAAAACAGTTAAAAATAGCATTGTCTTGGTAGATTTTACTTACCAACATCGAAATGTTTCTTCCCAAACAGGCTGCACACCATTTACGCAATGTTCTATTTTCCTTAGTAATGCCATTATGCGCTTCTGCAAAGCGGCAGAACCTAAAGCATAAAAATTGTTACGTATATATTTTATTTTACAGCATTGTTTAAATTCGTTTTTAATGTGTACAATTTTAACATAATATTTTACAGGATGTCAGCAATTTTCCATTGACCTATGTAGCGTTGCAAGCGATTTTAGTTTTAACTAATTATTATAATAAATTACTAATCTCTAATATGGTACAACCCTAAGTTATTATAGCCTGTGTAGGGTCATGTAATCTCAAACTAACAACACACTATATAAACAAAACACTATAGTCTCTGGTTATGGGTATAAAAGCTGGCCAGAATGCCCTGTCATTTCTTTTTCTTCGCCACTTCAAGTGATTAACAGCTACCAGACATTATCTGATCACTTCTAATTTATATTGTGCATAGTAATTTAAATACTTTTGTCAAAATAATTACAGCATATAACTTTTGAAGTTATGGTTAAACAATTCTACTAAAATTAATATCAATCCACACCATTTTGTCTTGGCTTGTTAACCGCTGCGATGTTGGAGCCTCTCTATCTTCATGCCTTGACCATACCTCCCTGAATCACCTGAGCGATTGGCAGGCTCCTACATCGCATGCAGCAGTGCCTTTCTGCACCCTTACGTGCGCACTATTGCGCGATTCCTGGGTTCTTTGACCGTAGACCTACCTGCACCAGCCCCCACAGCTCCACGCCTTCGCTATATTATACAATTATATTTATTATAATACTTACTGTGTATATTTTTATAATAGCAGCCTCTTCCCATATCCTGACTGGCTGCTTGAAAAACGCAATAAACCATTTTATAGCGCAGTGTAATTTAAGGTGTATCCAGTACGTTTTTGGTTTAATATAGTGACGATAGAATACCTACATCACTAAATATGGCACAATAAGGCTACTATAATTTAATACTACAACCAACAACTATTACTGATAGTCGAGTAAATTTTGAAAAGATGTTTTGTAAAAAATTAAATAACTGGAACGGTAAAAATTTTATGTATCAGATTGATTGAATGAGAAGACTGAAGAGATAAAATTTATTTGAATGTCCATATTCAGTGAAACTCGGTTCCCCGGCAACACCAACGTAAATATTATTTTTAGACAAATTTATCTGACTTATGCATATGTTGAGTGCAGGGACTAAGCTTAGAAGATACCTGTGGTGAGCACTGTGGAGGTGTGCGCGATCTCCTGGAAGACCGCGTAGTTTGGCAGCAGGCACTGCGTGCTGATCTCGTCGGAGCCGCAGCGGATGTCCGCCTCCTGGCACAGCAGCGCGAAGCACGACATCGCCACCAGCACCACGTCCGTGTCGATCGACCACAGGCACATGAAGAACACCACCTGCATACCAGTTCACCTTCTTTAAACATTTACATCACACCTCGGTTGCGCAGTGACTAAACGTTTGGCTGCGGCACTGCAAAAGAACTGATTCACCTAATTCTGAAACTTGTGGAGTAATAGAAGACTTACATAATTTTTTTAATGGAATGTGAGCGGAACCGAGAGAACATATAAGATAAATGTGTACAATATGGGTATTGCGCAACACATTCTACATGCCCCTACCTCGGATATTGCATTGAGTGTGGGCAGATTAATAGTAAATGTATATATTTTAAGTCTGGAATTGACATGTTAACAAACAAAAATCCCTAAATAAATATGAAAAAAGTGTACTTTGTGTGACCTAAGATTAATTGTTAAGAGTCTGGATTTATGCCCGTGTTCAATTTATAAATATGACGTTATGTTTAATACAATAAATGAAAACATGATCTTTACTAATTCAATAAAGTATTTCGTAATAGTCAATTTTGTTCAAAAACGTTCTTATAGTCACCGACAAATTAAAACAGAAAATCTTCAGAGACAGCGACGGGTGCAATGTTAAATATGAAACTTATAGCTTTTAGAAAAATTTACTTCGCAAATATTCGCGTTATAAAATAAAATGATGTGTCTTACCTAGTATGAAGAGCACCTCCCGCCCTCCCTCAATTGCGTACACTATCCCCGTCACCACTAATCCCAGCACCGCTACTCCCAACACCACTACACGAGGCATCCTCAGGTGATATAGACTCCACGGTGGCTAACCGCTAAGTGAGCGGCGAGCCAAAACAAGTGCCTTTTATACAGACCGACGACGCAACCGCTCCCTACCCAAGGAGCGAGCATCTGCGTCATGCGATAAAACATGCGACCAATCACCGCTTTACAAACGGCTGCGTAAGTCCGGCGGTGATTGGTCGCATGTTTTATCGCATGACGCAGTCGCTCGCTCCTTAAGTAGAGAGCGGTTGCGTCATCGGTCTGTATAAAAGGCACTTGTTTTGGCTCGCCGCTCACTTAGCGGTTAGCTACCGTAGAGTCTACATCACCTGAGGATGCCTCGTGTAGAGGCGAAACACGTGTCGTATTGTCGTCAGTGGTGTGTCTCGCCTAGTGTAGTGGTGTTGGGAGTAGCGGTGCTGGGATTAGTGGTGACGGGGATAGTGCACGCAATTGAGGGAGGGCGGGAGGTGCTCTTCATACTAGGTAAGACACATCATTTTATTTTATAACGCGGATATTTGCGAAGTAAATTTCTCTAAAAGCTTTTATATAATGGATTTCTGCAAAGTAGCGCCTGATTCTATTAATTATATGAAACTTTTGTCGATCATGCATAGCGATTTTAGAAAAACAGCAGTCAATTGCTAACGGGGTGATGACCTAGGTCGAACTGTAAGGATTTGTTATATTATTTAAGTAAATATCTATAATTAGCATGTCGCTAAACGGTAAATCATCAACGATCCATTGCATTTCACCATTCTTAAAAAAATCATGATTTCTTAAAAAAAAAAGAGTATCCATTGAGTTTATATAAGTTTTTATTGCGGTTGTAAGTTCAGACTACTCACCTCCAGCTTTATATGTGCTTGTTTACAGATTGGTATCTGCGAGCCCACGTTGGCATAGTCCTTGTGTTTGGCGAGGAACTCGTTGCGGCAAGTCAGCACGTCGCGCAACCATCGCAGTACCTCGCGGTAGTTGCCGATCTGACGCTGGATTAACTTTTGACTTATGTTGTATAGCACTTGAGAACTGAAAGAGAATGAGGACATATTCTATACTGTCTATAGACAGAACAAATAATGCAGACTACCGACTAATACTGCTGACATTTTTTCCCCTCCCAGGTTTGACTAATATAGAATGCCGCAAGTTATTAAGTCCACTTATTGTAAAGACTACTATTGAATAAATAAAAAAATAGTAATGCTATTTATACGTTTATAATAAAAATTTTGTTATTTTAAAAATATACATAAATGTAAACAATAGTTTTAGACATTTTCTAAATTATAAAAAATAAGCTCACCTTATATCCCAAAAGGTGTTAAGAGGTGCTTCCGGATTCCACATGTGTACTCTATCCGGCCTGTGAAGGGCCAACAGTGCGTCCATGGCTTCTTGTGAAATTTCGCCCATACCGGTGTGATGTACTAATGATACCAGGCCGTTTATAAGCTCTGTTGTCGATGATTGGATTTCAACACCAGAACGACCTGGATTCTGTTAAAAAATTAGTTGATGTTGCAGTTATTATACATAGCACAAAGTTCTATAAAAAACTTATGTGTAAAATGACGACCGTGTGGCCCTTCCAGTTCCTGAAGCTAACATTTGTTTAAAATAAAAAATTGTAGATTTTTATAATATATTATGATAATGATAAAACGAGCGAGTTTCTCTGGATTTGCGTATACTTGTAGCACGATAATATTTCTTGTGTTTTTGATTGCTCCAAATAAGGAAGCAGTTTCTGTCGACAAAATTGGGCAGAACTTGAATCTGGTAACTGTAAGCAACTTATACAGATTAAAGCTGTATTAGTCTCATTCGTTGCGTTTGCCATCCATTAAAGCTCTGAAAACCAAATGTGGCTCGTCGCATACATAAAAAATTGATTTTGGTTATTTTTGTACTATCTTTTTTTAGCGCTATAAGAAAGTATACAATACAAGATAACCATAAATATTATATACTAGCGATCCCCCCGGCTTCGCACGGGTGATTGCTGGATCTCGACAACAGCACCACTTACCGGGTCTAAATCTAAACCATCTAGGGAGCCATTCAAATACACACAAAAAATTTCATTAAAATCGGTCGAGTCGTTTTTGAGTTTTAGCGAGATTAACGTACAGCCATTGGTTTTATATATAGAGATATTTACTTATAAATACTTAAAATATAAGACTTATTTTCTTAAAAATGTATAATTCAAAATATTTCAATTGTTTGTTAAGTGCAAGCAGTTTGCACTGCATTAGCGCGGCGAAAGAGGTTTTAGAGAAGACCTGTACCCATTATTTAAAGTAATACTTACACTAAGCATAAGCATTGGGTCAGCATGTATTAACTTCACAAAGCAGAGCAATAGGTTTCTGTATGCAGGCATCTCTTCAGATTTGTTGAATTTCGATTGAACCTCCTTGGACTTGAGCGACAGTGAGATCATTCGAAGAGGCGTGTGCACTATATATCCCTGTAAAGGACAAAGACTGTAAATTCAAGTCAATATTTAGCTTTAAGCTTCTTTGCATTTCTGTTACAGCCTAACAAAAGTTCACTGCCATACAGAGGCCTCCACCGTAGATTTTTTTTTTTTTTTTTTTTTTATAGGAGAGGGGGCAAACGAGCATGCGGCTCACCTGATGGTAAGTGACTACCGCCGCCCATGAACAACCGCAACACCAGGAGAATTGCAGATGCGTTGCCGGCCTTTTAAAAAGGAGTAGGCTCTTTTCTTGAAGGTCCCTAAGTCGTATCGGTCCGGAAAAATCGCTGGTGGTAAACTATTCCACAAGGAAGTTGTGCGAGGAAGAAAACATCTTCTAAATCGCACAGTGGTGGACCGCCAATCATCCAGATGGTGTGGATGGTATCGGGAGTTCTGCCGCGATGTGCGTTCGTGAAATTTGGCGGCTGGGATTAATCCGAACAATTCCTCAGAGCACTCCCCATGGTAAATGCGAAAGAAAATGCTAAGAGATGCAACATCTCTTCGCAGTGCCAATGAGTCGAGCCGATCGGAAAGGACTCGGTCGTCGACGATTCGAGCCGCTCTGCGCTGGATGCGGTCAAGTGGAAGAAGCTGGCACTGGGGAGCCCCAGCCCAGAGATGGGAACAGTATTCCATGTGAGGCCGAACCTGCGCCTTGTAAAGTTGCAGGCGTTGAGCCGGCATGAAATACTGTCCCGCTCTGCTGAGCACGCCAAGCTTTTTAGAGGCCAATTTGGCCTTCTCTTCCAAGTGACCACGAAACTGCACGCTACTCGATATGTCGACGCCAAGGATTCCGATACTGGCTGAGGCAACAAGGGGAGTACCTTGAAACTGAGGAGATACGACAAAGGGGTTCTTTTTAGCGGTAAACGCGCAAACTTGTGTCTTCTGAGGATTAAACTGGACTAGATTTAGTCGCCCCCAATCCGAGACTTTGTCCAGCAAAGACTCGACTTCAGACACAAGTTTGTTCCGGTACTCGGTGACGTTTTCCCGAGAAATATTGGCACGGCCGGTGTATAGAACATCACCAGTGCTGTCATCTGCATAGCAATGAATGCTACCAGCTTGCAACATATCATTGATATGCAGAAGAAACAGCGTTGGTGATAGCACGCAGCCTTGTGGAACACCAGCGTTAATAGGCTTGTAGTCGGAGCATGCACCGTCTACAACGACCTTGATGCTCCGATCTGCAAGAAAGCTGGTGATCCAATTGCATAATTTCTCGGGAAGCCCATAGGAAGGGAGCTTCGAAAGAAGCGCTTTGTGCCAAACCCGATCGAAGGCCTTCGCAATGTCCAAACTAACGGCCAATGCCTCCCCCTTGGACTCTACTGCCAACGCCAATCTATGAGTTAAGTAGACCAGAAGATCACCAGCTGATCGACCCCGACGAAAACCGTACTGGCGGTCACTAATCAGCTGGTGATCCTCAAGGTACCGCATGAGGTGGCAGTTTACAACGGATTCCATTATTTTGGAGAACAAGGGGGTGATGGCGATAGGCCTGTAGTTGGACGGATCTGAGCGGTCGCCTTTTTTAGGGATCGGGTGGACAAAAGCTGTCTTCCATGATTTCGGGACTACGCCTAGGGAGTAGGAGTACCGGAAAAGACGCGTTAGAACCGGTGCCAACTCCGGAGCACACGTCCTCAGCACAATTGGGGGGATTCCGTCAGGCCCACTCGACTTGTGGATGTCAAGGGAGAGGAGTGCTCTGCGAACCGAGCGCTGTGAGAATCGCACATCCGGCATGGAGCACTCACACCGCGGGATGGTCGGCGGTGTGTTCCCCCCGTCATCAACAGTCGAGTTGGACGCAAAAAGGGAGCCTAAAAGGTCGGCCTTCTCTTTTGCGTCGTGGGCCAGTGAGTCGTCCTCCCTGTGCAGAGATGGTAGTGATGGCTTACAGAAATTCCCTTGGACAGCCTTGGCGAGAGACCAGAATGCACGGGTTCCCGAAGGAAGGTGAACTAGTTTCTCGCCAATTCTGCCTATGTGCTCTGACTTTGCCTTGGCAATAACTCTTTTGAAGGACCTGGAGGCGAAGTTATACTTCTTTTTGAGTGTGCTGGTGTTTACATCCCGAGTCACCGAAGCCGCAGCCCAGGCTTGATAACACTCCTGCTTACTGCGTAATGCAGTCTTACAGGAGCGACCAAACCAAGGCTGAGATCTGCCACCGATGGGTACCACAGATGATGGAATAAATAGTTCCATTCCCTGTAGCACTACATCAGTGACAGAGTCAGCAACAGCGCTGGGATCATCCGGCGAGAAGCAAACCCGCCCCCATGGGTAGGAAGCAAAGAAAGACCGCATTCCGTCCCAATCCGCCGACCTGTAATGCCAAACACGGCGGCAACCTGCAGAACGCAACCGCGAAGGGAGCGTGAGTGGCACCACACTCCGGATCAGACAATGGTCCGAAGAGCCAAGAGGGGCATCGACGGAAACCTGATATCCGTCCGGATGAGAGGTCAGCAGAAGGTCCAACAGGGAAGGTGTATGATCTTCAACATCTGGAATCCGCGTAGGCGATGGAACCAGTTGTGTCAGACCATATGCCAAGGCAAAGTCATAAACAGATCTCCCCGCATGATCGGTTAAACGTGAACCGAGCCATTCGGCGTGGTGGGCGTTAAAATCGCCAAGGATCACGATCTCTGCGGATGGGACCTGTTGTAGCAAGGAATCTGTAGCCATTTGGACGTGGTCGATGAGTCGGTCTGTTTCGGCATTACCTCATAGGATAATGTATGGTAGTGAAAGTTGGGTGTGGCAGAATAAGCACGAGAGTAGAATAAAGGCTAAAAGCACGAGAGTAGAAAAAAGCATGCCATGGCTGAATCTGAATGACAGGGTGAGAAATTGTGTGATAAGATATAAGTGTGGTTTGCAAGATGATGTTGTGACCAGGATTAAGAAAGGAACGCTTCGGTGGTTTGGTCATGTAGAAAGAATGAATGAGGAAAGAGCGACAAAGCAAATTTATATTGCAGATGTGAACAGTAGAGTCGTGATGCGACGTCCTAGACGAAGGTTTATCGACCAATGGCAATATATTGAAAATGGGCCAGATTAGGAGTACCCTTAACCGATGAGCGTGTATGTGTAGATATATGGATGTAAAAGAAGCGAGGGAGGTGTGTCAGGATAGTTCCAAATGGAAGTCCGTAGTCTCTGCCTACGCCCGACAGGCATGAGTGTTTATGTGTTATGTATATGTATGTTATACATATACATAACACATAATTATATTACACTTCACTTACTTGTGTTGCTTTATTCAGTGTGTCAGTGAACATGGCCCTCAGTTCAGCAGCTCTCGGATATAGCAATTCAATTTGCGGCCACCACGGTAACCTCGGTTGTTTTATTATTCTATAACAAAATAACAAAACAATTACTTTTAATGTTTTATATCCACAAAAATTAAAGTGAATATAATATATTTTAAGAAACCACTAGTAAGGTAAAATTACACACAAAATCTATTAATATTTTGCAGATTCTCATTGTGGACAGTAAATGAAGTCCAAAGGGTTCTAACAAACTCATCCGTCGTTCTAACTCGTCATTTTCCACCTGTTACAATCCGATGTAATTATCAAGTTAATAATAACGTGATAAATTACACGGATTTGAATTTATATGAAAATCAAAATGAAAGTGTTTGTGGAGCTAAACTTAGTTCTACGTGTACAATAAGTTGTGTAGTGTTTTGTTTGGTGAGTGATAAGACCGAAGACCCTTTTTACTCTATACAACACCATCCAAATTAGTCTTCAGAAGGGACGAGACCAAAATAAAATAAAGGTATCTATAGACTACAGCAACTACTGAAGTACAAGTGGACTGTGTGGTTGTTGGTTGCTTTACTTATATAAAAAAGAACATAATGTTTACAGGGTAAAAATCATCAGGAAATTAATATTTGCATATAAATATAAATTTTTTTATTCAATTTTTTTTTTGTAGATTTTAAGAAGTTATAATAATTCTAGATTAAAATGTAGTTCAAATATTAACTCTACTTACCGTAGTAACGAGTTGACGATGACGTAATGGTATGATATATGCGTGTTTAGATTGAGACAAACTTTAAGTGCGTCGTTATTGTGAGGCATAATTCGGAACAACGACACAAAGCAATCAGTCATCAGATCCAGTTCCGAGTATCCGGATATCAGATTCCCTCGTATATATGATTTTGAAGGATTGAATAGCAGGGACTAGAAAATAAAAAATTATATGAATTTATTAATCAGTTAAATACACTACTACATCAACAAGCACACGTCGTAAAAGCAAACGTACAAATACGTACTAATAAGTAACCGAAAAGTTACTGACCATCTTTCGTGTCATCCAATTTAAAACAAAGCAAAGTCAAAACTTTTTATTCCATTTAGGCTTGTTTTAAGCTCTTATACACGTCAAACTTTACACCGGTTCAGAAAACAAGACATTCTTAGAGAAAAAAGTGGCATATCATTAAGTAGAAACCGCAATTATGCTAGGGAACTATCTTAGAAAGGTGAAAGACAGCAACTGGACGCTTAAAGCCGAATATCGGGCTAAGTTGCGTACCTTGGGAGGGGCCTATATTATAATGAGGGTGATGATATATGCGCAAATATACCTTTTTGAAAATAAAAAAACAAGAATAGAATTGAATAAAATAGAATAATTTTTATTTAATATTGGTTATTAGTTATTACATAATACTTATTGAAAGTATTTATTTTTATTTACCGAGATATAGACATGGTTAAAATTACCATCGACATCACTATAATTTATTGAACTTAAGTTTTAGTCTATATGTTTTCCATAGTTACAACCGGCTAACTCAATTTTCTACAAATTAAGACAAACACTTGCTATTCTTTAATAATATTCATTGTAAAATAGCTGAATGCAAACTTTCATAAAATAATACATTGTAAGAATTTAACCTACACAAAACATTAATTACATTTTAGTATTTTGTCGCATAATATATCCTATTATGCCATTTTTATCAGAAACATCTTGCAACTCTCTCAACTCTTGTATTGCTGTTCGTACTTACTTTATACTTTAGATCTAACGACAAACGAGCACACAGTCCACCTGATGGTAAGCGGCAGCTGTGGCCCATAGACATCTACATCAATCCTCGTTTGCGAATCAAAATGCAGATGCGCTGCCACCCGTGAGGACTAAGATGAAATGCCTCTTTTCCAGTAAAAAGGGTCTCCGGTTCTATACACTCACCATACGAAACACAGCAGTGTTAAGCTGCTATTTTACGCTGGTATTCTGTGAGAGCGTGGTCCTTCCCCGGTCGAGCCGACCCATTCGTGCTACAACTATACTACTAATATAGCTGCAGCATGGCTCTACCACGTGTAAAACGTGTTATTCTGAGTCAAATACTTTGCAATAAACGAAAGAGATAAATCAGTAGGTGGGAGATCGGGTAAATATGGAGGGTTAGGTAAGACTCCCGAACAACGTCCAATATTTTTTTAGAGTCGAGACTGTGTGAGCAAATAGCGGTGCATACACTGCTGTTTTCTGATCTGAAGGCTAAGGAGCGTTAGTATAGATACAGGCTGTGAGGCATTATATCTTAATCCTCACCTATGACAACGCATATGTAGCCTTCCTTGTTTACAGTTGATTGCATGTGTTCATGGGCTGCAGAAACCAGTTACCATCAGGTGGAATAAGTTCGTTTGTCATTTCCGTGACATGAAAAAAAATAGTAGATGATGTGTTACTTATATATAAAACACAATACCTTGAGATCGTTAATGACGGACTTCACAAGAACAAATGTAACGTTCCCCGAGTCCGCAATATTTAAATATGTCGATGCCTTACATAGCTTCACGCATGTGACAACTGCCGCCTCAATCATCTGTTTGGAGTTGTTTTGCGGACCTACGCAAATAGTTGTATAATTTTAGTAAAACGCAATAATGATCATGATTTTTTGTATAGTTTCTCTCTCTATCTCTCTTTACTAAATGACAAAAGAAAAGGGGAGGTATAGAGCTAATTAATACTTAATTTAAGTAAGCGATAATCAACGATTATAAGTAAATTATAATTAAATGTAATCACTTTACTTGATAGGCGAATAGGCAACAGCAGTAACAGCAGTGCCGTACGAGTATTTTTCACCATATCTAACAATGAATGTCGTAAGAGTTGAATGGTCTATTGAATTCTTTTATAATGGTTATCACCATACTACAAATTTAGAACAAGAAAGAGAAATAAATTGAAAAATTTAATTAAAATTTAAACACATTAATAAATTCAAATATAATGTTGATCAACATCAATCAAAAAAACTTACTAAGTCCTCTTTTAACAGAATCAATAAAATGTTTTTTCTTTGTGTGCCGAGGGCTACACGGGGCACCACTGTCTGCATTTACTATTTCTTCTAGTACTTTCTGTGAATAAATACAATTAGGTTATTGATGCTACTTGGTTTAATAATTTTACCGAATTACAAAATGAAAAACAATTTAAGTTTGTGAAGAAACACAAAGTTGTGGATTAATATTTAACAAAGATTATATTCTAATTCTCATTGAATGTATTCAGCAAGATATTTATTACACCATATATTTTCCAGATTTTTAGTAACATTATATTAAAGGTTTAGATAGGGCGAACACTTGCGGACTACTTTGAAGCTTAATAATCATTGTGAATGACCTAGCCAAAGAAAATGCTAACAATGTAAGAAATTAATCCCCGGTTACATGTATGTAGGAGACGAACAAAAATAAATCTTTGCAATATGCTATTAAAAGGGTAATATAATAATAATATACTCTTCATTTTTAATCTAATTTAGTAAAAAAAAAACTTTGGCGTTGACTAGAAATGGTAGACAGAACGAAATTATAAAAGTTATAGTTATTATATAGTTATTTCTATTTCAAGATGAAGATTTCGCCTTGATCATAGTAGTGACGTGCGGCGCGGCGCGTTTGTGTGTGTAACTACGATTCGTTCGACTGAGCGCTCCCGAGGCCTACGCACATTAACACAATGTATATGTGCACGCCTAATAACAACTAAAGTCAAATCTTTACAGTGGAATAGAATAACTATAGCACAACCTTAGAACGAGACTTTACAATTTTTTCGCCCACACTGCATTAACACGTACAATTGAGCTAATAATCTTACTAATATTTTATAATCTCACAATTATTATTATTACAGTAGTCAGTACGAATCCTCAGAATTTTGTAGGGCTTTTGGTGAGGATTCATTTTTAACCAATTACACGATATTATAGTAATAGTTCTCAATATGAAGCTCAATCACCGGCTACTGAATGAACAATGAATCAATGACACAGCTAGATTGGCAATCTATAAAGTTTATTGTGCATGTGTATTGCTCACAACTTACGCCAGTTTATAATTCAGGACCGTTAATTTTTTTTAAATAATTTCTACCTTTTACAGTTGGCGCCATATAGTTAGTGTAGCTACACTCACAGGGTTTAAAACCAAAAGCATGATTTGAAGCGGCCACATTGCGACGCGCGACTTCTTGTTGTCGGAGAAGCAGTCCTGCAGCGTATCAAACAGCGTGTCGCAGCATTTGCTTAGCTCGTCGTTAGGCCGGCACTGCACTTCTGCAAACTCCTGCAAACGAAAATCTTTGTGGAAATAATATTCTACATGTAAAAATATATTTCTCAAAGACCGTTATACTGATAAGCAAAACCTATGCAGTAGTCCATCAAAAAAAAAATTCTGCAGCTGGAGTTTAAAAAAATATAGAAGTAAGGATGACAAACGAACATACAGTTCTAATTGTAAGTGCATACTGTGGCCCTTAGATATCTACATCTATCGTCGCTTAAGAATCAAAATGCGTTGCCTCCCCTAAGGACAAAGTTGGAATGCATTGTTTTCAGTCAAAAGGATTTCAGATTCTCTACACTCACCATATGAAACACAGCAGCATTAAGCTGGTATTTTACGCTGGTATTCAAACACATGCCTAGCGGTGAAGAAACATTATTGTTGTAACTGAAGTTGAAGGAACTCAGATCACAGCAGCCAACAATCAAGTCATAGTTATTACCCCTATTACACTACACTGAATCAGGGTACCAGAACCCTTAATAAGAGAGGTGTAATAAGAGTAAGGCAGTAAGTGTCCCTAATTAGGGCGTCAAAGTGGACGCAGTCCGTAGTACGCTTACCACCGTGCTGTGTAATAATACTAAGGGCAGGTAGGGCACTTATTCGATGCGTGACTAGGGTATACAAACGATACATCGATTGTTTCAAACATCGATATATCGTTCAATAACATCGTTCTTCATGAGTGATGTTTTATGAACGGTGTTTTGGTTCGCCGTCAAAATCTCAGTCACGAGCTTCCGAAATAACCAGCTATTCAAAAGTATAAAATTCCGTATGTTAAAAATTACGAAAGATGATTATCCCGAATTTAATGTCGCAGAAAAAATATTCTAAAAAAAAAGTGGAAGCGTTTACAAATATTGAAAATGGTTTGAACTTGTTTTATTCATTGTTTATTAATAATTATATTGTTTAAGCTTTAACTGGCTCAATAGCTTAAGAACAATTCTTATAAGGTAATAGTCATTTTCTAACGGAAATTGTTTTATCGGCTTACGGTACTTCATATTTAATCACAATCAGTTTTCAGAAATATTGATTTTAACAGATGAACGATTATTCGCCTGTTTGTATTTCGGCATAGTAGGTATAGTTTTGTAGATGTATTCGGAAAATAATACTGAAGGTGGCATATGGAACTACCGTAAAGAGTTAACTCATCACAACATAATAAATAAAACTAAAGATATAACTAAAGCAGAAACAGAATTTCATATGTTCATGTCATCAGCTGTCACTCCTATAAAAGGAGAGGTGTTGAAGATGTGGGAAGACCTGAAGGGATTATTTCCCAGGCTTCATAGCCTAGCTAAGATTTATTTTTCTATCGTGGCAAATTTCGGCACCCGGTGAGCAGTTATTCTCAGAGGTTGGAGCTACAATCACGCAGGAGAGACATCGCTCACTGGTCACCAGATTGTCAAAATTGTTATTTTTAAATTCAGATTTAAAGAAATAAAAGTAAAAGTAAAAAATGTTTAATTAATACTTGTTTTCTGTTAAAAATTAATAAAAAAATTGCCCCTAGTAGGGTACTACTATTTACGTGTAAGAGCCATGCTGCAGCTATATTATAGTTGTAGCACGAATGGGTCGGCTCGACCGGGGAAGGACCACGCTCCCTTTTACTGGAAACGAGGCATTCCATCTTAGTCCTCACGGGTTACAACGCAGCTGCATTTTGATTCTTAATCGAAGATAGATGTAGATGTCTATGGGCCACAGCAACCACTTACCATCAGGTGGACTGTGTGCTCGTTTGTCACCCTTATCCTATAAAAAAAAAAACTATTACATTATGCAAAACATGACGATATATCGATATTTATCACGCGACATATATTGTTACTGTTTAGAAATATCAATACTATAAATATCCATTTTTTTTCACTTGCCCATCCCTAAAAGTAAGGGCGTAAAATCATGCAGTGTAATAACTGACATCCCTAATTAGGAGCCACGCCCACCCTTAATTGAGGGCCCTGATTCAGTGTAGTGTAATAGGGGTATTAACCCTAATTAAATATTAAACACTGGTACATAAAGTAAATATTTACCTGTGGGTAGGTATCCATCCAGTTCCAAATGGCTTTTTCTAGTGAAGTAACTAACACTATGTGCGCTGACTTTCTTAACAACTTAAACTTTTGTATAGACTCTGTAAGACAAAATTGTGATAATATTTGTATTAGTATAATCTGAATTGACTGCGCCTCTGACACGATCTACTCGGTTTGGCCATTACAAAGCAACTTGAGACCCTTAATTTGTTTCATTGTAATATTTTGTTACTAAAAATAGTACTATATTATATAAATAAAAATAGTACTATAAAAATAGTACTATACTATAAAAAAAATAGTAGTATTGCCGACCCGCCTGCTAAATGTGGCAATTTTGGCAAATACGCCATAACCGCTATCTATGGAGGAGGCTTATGTTCAGGAGTGGAAATTTAAAGGCTGCAATGAATGAATGAATGAATGAAAAATTGGTGCATTTGATTTTCATGTGTTCAAAGAGTCTAATGAACTAGCGAGTGATTATTGGAACGAAGTTCTTTATCTCTATCACGACCCCTTCTGACGTAGTGTAGACGGCCTTGGCGGCTATAAGGAGTCGAGATGGAATAATATCCATCTCCCATGCAGCTTTTTCTTATCTAGCCATGAAAGAAATATTATTTTATTTTAAGGTGAAAGCGCCAGGGTAACCCACGAAATTCAAATTTTATTACGTTTTTTGCAATTTGAAGGTTAGTATCAGGTCGTAAGTTTAACAAAATACAATTCGCGACCGCAGCGAGTATGTATTTACAGAATTATAATAATTATAATCATCAATACAACCGTACAACCGTTTAAGCGTCAGTAGCCTAATGGCAGGGCGCGGGCCGCGAATCCGAAAGGTCGTGGGTTCGAATCCGCCATTCGACTACTGTCGTGAACCACTTCTAACACAAGCATTTTAAGCTTACCAGAAGTGGTTAAAGGGAATATTAGTAATGTTTAATAGCATTACTAGTATTTTTTTTTAAATAAAAAAAAACCCTCGAAGTTCGTATAATCCTATTTTATGGATATTTCCAGAAAAACTCATTCAGAGGGATTATATGAACTTAGAGGGTTGTATCCGTGATTTTAATGATAATAATTCTGTAAACACATACTCGTTACGGTCGCGAATCATATTTTGTTAACATACAACCTGACCCTGACCTGGAAATTTAAAAAAACGTAAGAAAATTTGAATTTCGCGGGCTACTCTGGAGCTTTCAGCTTAAATGACGCTTCGTTTTAATAGACGCTAGTACATAATTAATTTATTTTTATTTGTTAATCAATAGTATAATACGTTTATCAATAATAATATACTACGAAAAGGACTTCGTTCCAACCGCGTGTTCCACGACACACACGCATGTTTTTATATTATTAATTAAAATTAAAAATATTACCTGTTAGAAGTCGTATAAGCCTTAATATATCTACATTTATATGTTGTATTAATTCTATATCTGTATAATCGGGGTTTTCTTCTGAGCTAGATGCTAGTTCCTGTAAAAATGGAATAAAGCGATCAAATTTGTGTAAGACCTTAAGAAATTGGACATCCGAGTAGTAATTTGTTCTCTATCATGAGTATTATTTATTAGAATTTATGTAAATTTTTAAGCTAATGAAAACTACAATAATGTTTCGATTAGGCCGATTTCGACCAGAGAAAAAATTGACGATATAATGAAGATGGGCCGAGTTAAAAGTACCATTAACCGACGAGTGTGTATGCGTGGTTATATGTTGCTAAATAAATGAATAGATGGTTGATAATAACCCCTGGGAATGAGGTGGTCGCTTCCAACCTGTTCCTTAAATAAGTTTTGTAAATAATTTGTACGACTTTTCTTATTGTATAATTTACTTTGGAAAAAGGTCCTACTGGGTTTCTTGCTGGTTCTTTCCAGGACAGTGGATTTTATCCGAACCAGTGACAAAAGTAAAAAAATGACTTTCAATAAGAATTACATGTAATTTATATTGAATAAAAAATTATATTATATTCTATGCATGTAAATAAGCGGAGAAAGGTGTGTCCGAATCATAACAAATGGAGGTCTTTAAACTCTGTGTGAGAGTTTTTATGACAACTTCCAGCTATCAATTAGATATCTCGAAAATAATTCTACTCAAAAATAATTAACTCAAAACCAAAACAATGCCGACTCCAAGGCAAAGTCAAGACAAGTACGCAGAGTCAGGATTCAAACTCAAAGCAAATACTTATTTTCAGTAGAGTATAAGATCAGTAGAGAACGAGCCATCTTTGCTTTTACATATTGATTTCTTATATTAATGCGAACACTACACATTGAATACCACTATTAGAATACGAAAATTACTAAAATATAATGAAGTTAATATAATGCTATATCTAAATTACTAAATTGGTTTAAAGTTAACAATTTGCATTCAAATGTCACAATAACTAAATGTTCACACTTCATAACCCTAAAAACTTTTGAAAACAAGTGAAAGCAGGACGCGAAAGGCTTTCCGTTGTTATTTTATTAAATATAAATAATATGTTTATAATTTATAAATACAAATAAAAGTATGGTTAATATAATAATTATATGGTTAATATAATTTAATAAGTGATGGTTTTTTGAAAGAGAAGAAAGTAAAACTTTATGTGAAATAAGAATAGAAGGGGAGTTGATTGAGCAAGTGGATGAGTTTGTATATTTGGGATGTTTATTTAGCAGGGATGGTAGATATGATAAGGATATAGAACGACGAGTGAACGCAGGAAATAGAGTGAATGGGGCTCTACATGCTATTATGAGGAGTCAGAATGTGTCAACTAAGGCGCGTATGGCAATTCATAATGCTGTGTTAGTCCCTACTTTAATATATGGTAGTGAAAGTTGGGTCTGGCAGAAGAAGCATGAGAGTAGAATAAATGCTGTAGAAATGCGTTCCTTAAGGAGTATGCTAGGGCTGAATCTGAATGGCAGGGTGAGAAATAGTGTGATAAGAGAAAAGTGTGGTTTGCAAGATGACGTTGTGACAAGGATTAAGAAAGGAATGCTTCGGTGGTTTGCTCATGTAGAAAGAATGAACGAGGAAAGAGTGACAAAGCAAATTTATGTTGCAGAAGTGAACGGCAGGGTCGGGAAGGGACGCCCTAGACGAAGGTTTATCGACCAAATCGGCGATACATTAAAAATGGGCCAGATTAGGAGTACCCTTAACCGACGAGCGTGTATGCGTAGATATATGGATGTAAAAGAGGCGAGAGAGGTGTGTCAGGATCGCGCCAAATGGAAGTCCGTAGTCTCTGCCTACCCCTCTGGGTGACAGGCGTGAGTGTTTATGTATGTATGTATAAATAAAAGTATTACGCGTATAACAAAAAATGGTGTGAATAAAACATTCGCCCATGTGGTTCGTGGGGGTCGTAAACGCGAATGCCAATCATGTGATCCCGAATTAGAATTCTATATTGGGCCAAATTTTTCTTTTGGGTTTTCTTTAAAGAAATTCTCGTTACCCAAATTAGGCAGCTGGCTGTGTTTTAGCCTCGTGCCTCGGAGGGCACCGTCTGGTCGTGTCGTATTGCCATCCCACTGACCACTATAAAAAAGTGAAGGTATAGAGATTGCACCAGTGCCACACACCACTCAGGCGCTATAAACCTGTCCTGCGTAAATGGCTACTTTTCGTTGAGACTTGGCAATCGTGACCGAAATTCGTCCTAGACATTATACTAAAATCAAATTGTAAATTTCTTGAGTTTAACTCGGCTGAGGAAGCAAAAATATTATTTGATCTAGATTTTGAATATATCAATTATTCATGGTGATCTGAATTCAAAGTCCAATGAGATAGAGATTCAAAATATTCTATTTCAAACAATAAACAGCAAACCTGTAATCGCGCGCTAATCCTGTTGAAGACCGCATTGAAGAAATTGAGGCTTAATGCAAAAAGTACTTTGCTGGCTAGTTGTCTCAATAACGTGTTGCTCACGTTGCTCTCGTTGCGCATGTCTGTCAAGTTATGGAAACTGTATTATTTCACGTCAAAAGCTGCATAAAGCTAATGTGTGCATATATAACATGTCACAAAAACCTTATGATTCCCGTTAAGTGCGTTATCAGAATTAGTATCAAACATATAAAAATAACTTGAATTCAGAAAACTCAACTATAAAAAAATAATTAAATTAAAATAATTTTTTTATTTGCAAATTGTATGTAGTTTTACTGCCTCTGCATTGGCCGTGGAGTAAAATATTGTCAAAGACCACGCTTTACTGAAGCGCGTGTCATTTGGAGATAATAAAACCAAATAAAATTTACAAATAAAAATTTATTTTAATTTTTTTATGGTCAAATTTTCTGAAGAAGTTATTTCTATATGTTTAAATACTGATTCTACTAACATATTTCCCTTGTGTACACTACACGCTTTTATAAAAAAAATAGTATCTATGATTATAAACAATATTAAATCCTGTAAAATTAAGTTTCCTCGCTTTTTATTGTATGCCTGAACAGTACAGAGATAACACTACAATCATCTATATCTCAACGTTTTTTTACTGTTTCACCTCTTTGCAACTATTGTCATGTGCTGGCAAGACGATGGCTATGTGAGCAATTGTCTTTTCAGCACATGACAATAGTGGTTGCCTTTGTTTTTACGTTTAATTTTTGGTCTATTTTATATACAATACAACGAAACCAAACCATATTCCAAATCAAGCAGTAATCCAAAGAGCCAAGAAGGGTATAGAGATTATAGCCTCCTGGACGAGACCAATACAAACAGTGCTTGATCTTCCACATCTGAACTCCGCGTTGGCAAGATGAAGTAATGAATTATGTCAGACCATATGCTAAAACTAGAATGTACCCCTCATGATCAGTAGTACTATAACTGAGCCATTTAGCGTGGTAAGTGTTGAAATCGGTAAGGAGCACAACCTTTACGGATTGGATCTGTTGTGGCAGGAATCTGTACCCATTTAGAAATGGTCGATGAGTCTATCTTTCTTTCTTTTTTCTTATTTTATAAAACGTTACCCCCACACTAGGATTTTTGCCTGTGTGGTGGAGGCAGTTTACAAACATAAATTGCACAAGGACAAACATCCAGACCCGGAACAATTATTTGTAGGCCATACAAATACTTGTTCCGTGCGGGATTCAAACCCGCGGCCCCCAGCGCAACAACTGATTACTAAGCCACTGCGCCACGGAGCCGTCATCTGTCTCGGTATTACTGCTGTGGTACCTATAAAGGCACCCATAGATGCGAGGGTGGTTATCACTGTCTATGGTTAGGCAAAGCATGTACAGTCCATGCTTTTAAGGCTAATGAGGAGTCAAAATTAGTTATCCTTTTTGATGTATACACAAACACCGCCTCGTGGCACAAAGAAATGTTCAAATTTAAAAAATGTGTAAGACAAATAAGATGTTTCAGCCAGAGAGGGCAACTGTATCTCGGTGTGAAAGAGCAAGGCCGGGTTTGAATGACGTCCCCTTATGTTGCTGCAATCTATGGCTAAGGATCCAAACCCATAGCTTTTTATTTAGCACTGCTTTCATGTTTTGGGGTGTGAAAATTGGCCACCCCAAAACATGAAAGAGGTCATGTGACCCGTTAGCTGAAACTTCTTTTTCCTTGTTTGGAAGTACTTTAAGACTAACTGTGCTTACGTGAACTTCATACTACCTTTCTAATTAAATTATAACCAATTGATCAAACTAATCCAAAGCAAATAAAGCAACAAAATCTATCCTTTATGTAAGTCACATCACTTACCTATAAACTGGCAGACCTCCCTCAGAAGTATCTTGACATTCATCGCCTCATCATATTTAGTGGTATCTTTAGGCTGTGAGCTAAGACAGATCTCGAGGGTGTCCAACACAATGACGAGGCTATCATGGTAGCCTTTTTCTAAGTCTGTTTGGGGTCGGTTCAGACATGATGAGATTGTTGGCTGGTACTAGAATAGAATATTAATTTTACTTTTACAGGTTTTCTACAATAAACACAGCATTAGGAATTTAACAAAATAATAATCATTATCATCATTACAGCCTTTCAAAAGTCCAACTGCAGAAGAGAGTTTATATAGCACCAATTTTTAATTGTGCTTTAAATATAAATGAACTGTTTGTGGCATGAATACTCTTTTCAAGAAAAGAACCTTGTTCACACAGAATACCAGTGTGAAATAGTGTCATAATGTTGCTGTTTTTTGCATAGTAATACATAATAGTTTTTTTACATAGTAATACATTTAAACATGGTAGAGCCATGCTGCAACTATATTATGATTGTAACAACACGAATGAGCCGACTTGACCAGGAAAGGACCACACTCTCACATAATACTAGTGTAAAATAGCAGCTCATTGATGCTGTGTTTCGTATGGTGAGTGTAGAGAACCGGAGACCCATTTTACTGGAAAAGAGGCATGCCATCCTAGTTCTCAGAGGTGACAACGCATTTGCAATTTGATTCTTAATCGATGATAGATGTAATGTCTATGGGCTACAGTATCCACTTACAATCAGGTGGACTGTATGCTCGTTTGACACCCTTATTCTATAAAAAAAGTAAGTGATGGGAATCAGAGATCCCTTTCTATTTGTAATAAGACATTGTACCCAAGTCCTTAGAGGTGACAACTCAACTGCATTTGATTCTTATGAAGGATAGGTATCTAGGGGCAACTGCATCCACTTACCACCAGGTGTACTATGTGTTTGTTAGTTACCCTCACTTTTTTATAAGAAAAACTAAATTTACCAATTCATTCACACGTTGCAAAATTTTCGTGAGTCCAGCAATGACGAGGGAAAATCGGTGTCGACTGATCTGCACCAGACATGCTTTACATTGTTCCTCATTGATGCGCGAATGCAGATTCTGTGCACCAGTTTTGTAAGGAAGCTGAAATTAACATAATATAGTATATAGTACAAAATACTTAAAAATGTAAATATTATAAAAAATATTGATAAATATTCTGCTTAATAGAGTTCATAAATGAATAAAAATAAAAACCATATATCATGTAATATAATGTATAGGTAAAATGATCAGTGGTATGAAAAACTATATTTTTCTATCAGGATATTTAAAATTATCATAGTTTCCAGAATTGCACATTTTTCAGAAGATTTTTTGATACATAGTTACTAAATCCATTTCCTGTTAGATAGAATAAGGGTTAACAAATCTTAATTTTATACCAAAGCGTGAACCTCCAGTGAACAGGCAGCTTAGTAGAATCACAGTATAATAAACATACAGTAGGACGACGCCTTTGATCTCGTGGTAAATGCCGACAACGTCTAGACAGCGTATGGAGGTTAGGGTTGTCACAAATTAACAACTTTTACTAATTTAATTATTTATTTTAGATCTACATCGTCATCAACAGTATGATTACTAATATAAAAAATAAGTAACAATTTGTTCTTAATTTTTTCCTGAAAGTACTCAAAACGTTAATTGCATGCCTCACAACGTGAGGGAGTGCTCTAATCTCGATGTGTGGCCATACCTCAATTTCGCTACATGAAATCGTTCTTATACTCTTAGCTAAACATGAAATGCATATTATTATTAACGTTACAATGACTACAGATATTGAATTATTAGTTTATTTTATAATCCATATTGTATTATTAAAAACATCCACCATATTGGATATGAAAATTGATGCCGTTTTCGTAATCAGCACCTCAAGAAACCTGGAAATTGATCATCATCATCATCATTACAGCACTTCACAAGTCCACTGCTGAACATAGGCCTCCCCCAAAGAATGCCACAAAGCACGGTCCTGAGCCACCTGCATCCATCGACTTCCTGCATATCTTACCAGGTCGTCACTCCATCTAGTGGGGGGACGCCCTACACTTCGCCTGCCGGTACGAGGCTGCCACTCGAGAACCTTTCTTCCCCATCGGTTGTCGGTTCTTCGAGCTATATGGCCGGCCCATTGCCACTTCAGCTTACTAATCCGTTGGGCTATGTTGGTCACTCTGGTTCTACTGCGGATATCCTCATTTCTGAGTTTATCATGCAGAGAAACTCCGAGCATAGCCCTCTCCATAGCTCGCTGAGCGACCTTGAGCTTCCTCATCCGGCCAGCAGAAATTGATACCCATGAAATTGATACCCATATCATATTACTAAAAAAATGTCCGCCATCTTGGATATAAAAATGAATGCCATTTTCGTAATCATCACCCCAATAAACCTCGAAATTGACATCCATATCATACATATATTAAAAATGACCGCCACCTTGGATTTAAAATAAATGCTATTTTCGTAATTAGCATCCCGACAAACCTAAAAATTGACCCCTAAATCTTAATATTTTATAAAAAAACTTCCAAAAAACCGAAGACGAAGCACTATAGTATTGTTACGAGCTTGGGATTCGAGACAATTAAAAACTGCCGATTGAATTACCAAAATTAACACTTTAATTACACAACACTAATTACAATCTAAAATTACACTAATAATAAAACACAGTTCGCCGTTATTTCGCTTCGAAGTAATCTCTTGTATCGCCAATTCAATACTGCCTCGGTCGTGGTCTATACCGGCCTTATATAGGGCCTCAGATAGTTTCCAGAATCTTCTACTGTAGCGACATCTAGAATGTTCGAGTACATTTCGGTCCCGAAATTTCTGGAAGGATCTCCACTCTCCTAGTTCTGCTACTCGACACTAGAGGGCGCTAGTGTGACTAGTGTTGCCATGTACAAGACATTAATAGTGGCGCGCAATACTTTCATTTACTCGACACTAGGGGGCGCTAGTGTAACTAGTGTTGCCATGTACAAGACATTAATAGTGGCGCGTAACACTGCCCCCTCCTAAGACATGCTCGTCCCGAGCATTATTGGCCCCATAATAACGCGCCAGTCGATCCACATGGACAATCTTAGGAGTACCTCTGGCACCTTTCTGTATCCGGTAGGTTACATCATTGATCCTTGTCACAATCCGGTACGGTCCGTCCCATTTAGCTTGAAGCTTAGGAGATTTCCCTTTGCTGCGAACTGGATTGTGTAACCACACTAGTGAACCTTCATCAAAGCCCTTGTTGTTCATTTTGCGGTCATACCGTGTTTTCATCTTCTCAGACGTTTGCTGGCCCGTCTGTCTGACGTGCTCATAAATGTCATTCATTTTGTTCCGCAAGTCATTTGCATAATCGGTTATACTGCGTGGGGCATCAGGTGGTATTCCGGTGATCAGGTCTGCAGGCAGCCGCAATTCTCTCCCAAAGTTTGCGAAAGCTGGTGTCACTGATGTACTTTCGTGAACAGCGCTTCGATATGACAACAAAAACGGTTGTATGTGCCTGTCCCAGTCTCGTTGCCGTTTTTCCACAACTTTTGCTAGGTACCTCTCCAATGTCTGATTAAATCTTTCTACCATTCCATCAGATTGTGGGTGGTAAGAAGTTGTTCGTGTTTTCTGAGTACCCATAACTCGGCAAGTTTCCTGGAATATTTGAGACTCAAAATTCCTTCCTTGATCGCTGTGAATCTCTAAAGGTACACCAAAACGACAGAAGACTTCATGAACTAGTTTATCTGCAACTGTTGAAGCTTCTTGATTTGGAATGGCGAAGACTTCTGGCCACTTAGTGAAGTAATCCATCACTACCATGAAATACTTGTTACCACTTTCAGTTTCTGGAAACGGACCCGCAACGTCAATGGCTATCCTCTCCCATGGTGCACCAACATTGTACAATTTCAATGCGCCTCTACTACGAATTTGAGGTCCCTTTACAGCCGCACAACTTGTACATTTGCGGCACCAGTCCTCGACATCGTCACGACAGTGGACCCAGTAAAACCGTTCTCGGATCTTCAAGAGAGTTCGTTTAACTCCCAGGTGGCCTCCTGAACAACCACTATGGTACAGCTGTAGAATATCCGGCACTTTAGCCTTAGGGACAACCATTTGCAAATGACACCTGTCTCCCCGACCATTTTCCCATTTACGGCACAGGACTCCATCCTGAATCAGCAAGCTGTCCCATTGGGCCCAATAGCTTTTCGTGGTCGAACTCATTGCTGAGACGTCGCTCCACTTGGGCTTAGGAGCACTGGCCTTCATCCATTCCAGAATCGGCTTAATGTCCGAATCTTCCTGCTGTGCATGTTGTAGGCTGTCCTTCCACTCATTGCTAAGCTGGTCTGTCCTGAGCATTCTCACAGATACCACTTCCTTACCCTCTTGCCTAGTACAATGCTTGCAATCTTCAGGGCAAGGTCTTCTTGACAATGCATCTGCATTGCCATGAGATTTACCGCTGCGATGTTCGATCACAAAGTCGTATTCCTGCAGTAGTTCTATCCATCTCGCAACTTGTCCTTCCGGATTTTTGAACTGCAATAGCCATTTCAGTGCAGCATGGTCAGTTCGTAAGTGGAATTTCCGCCCTAGAAGATATTTGCTAAAATGCTGCAAGGACTTTACCACAGCAAGCAATTCCCGTCTTGTGACACAATAGTTCCTTTCCGGCTTTGACAACGACTTGCTGAAGTACGCTATCATAATCTCTTGATCACCACCATTCCGTTGAGACAACACACCGCCAAGTCCTATATCACTTGCGTCTGTGTCAACTATGAATTCCTTGCCCGCATCAGGGTACCCCAAAATAGGTGTTTTTCACAGGCGGTTCTTGAGCTCCTGGAATGCAATATCGCAACTTTCATCCCAGCAGAATTGTCGCTTCTCCTCGGTTAGCTTGTGCAGAGGTTTGGCTATATCTGCAAAGTTCTTCACAAATCGCCGATAATAAGAGCACAAACCCAAAAATGCTCTAACCTGTGTCTTGTCTTTTGGGACCGGCCACTCCTTGACAGCAGCAATTTTCTCTGGATCCGTGCGGATACCTTCTTCCGACACTACATACCCCAAAAAACTAACTTGCTGTTTGAATAGTGAGCACTTCTTTGGACTCAACTTGAGGTTGGCACTCTGGATCTTCATGAGCACGCGTTCCAGGTTTTGAAGGTGTTCCTCAAACGTACGGCCTACGATGATGATGTCATCCAAATAGACGAGACAGGCATCTCCAATTAGCCCGGTAAGTACAAGCTCCATCAACCTTTCAAACGTTGCTGGAGCATTGCACAATCCAAACGGCATGACTTTAAATTGCCACAGACCCTTTCCTGTGGAAAATGCAGTTTTCTCCTTGTCCTTAGGGTCAATTTCAACCTGCCAGTAGCCACTTTTCAGGTCCAGCGTACTAAACCACTTTACGCCTGTGAGCATATCCAGCGTGTCATCAATTCTAGGCAAGGGATAGCTGTCCTTCTTTGTAACGTCGTTCAGGCGGCGGTAGTCAACACAAAACCGCATGCTGCCGTCCTTCTTCTTTACCAGCACCACAGGTGAACACCATGGACTAGATGAAGGTTCAATAACACCATCCTTCACCATTCCCTCAATCATGGTTTCCACTTCCTTTTCACGTGCTACAGGCAATCTTCTTGGCCGCTGACGAATAGGCAATTCTTGTCCTGTGTTTATTTTGTGTTGAACTAAGCTAGTCTTTCCTATGTCAGCTTCGTTTGACGAGAAAACATTGGCGTACTTGAGTAACAACTTCTTCGCTTTGACCGTTTCATTCGGGGAGAGAACGCTGCGACAGTCTTCTAAAAGTGTGGTCACTCTAGTTTGTCCATCCTTGCTGGCGGTCACAGTCGATAGATATTCGCACCGACACAACCAATCCACTTCCTCACTAGTACCAACCAATGTGCCTTTTTCTATAATCTGTTCCTGATCACAAAGGTTCAGCACACGTACTCCTGAGATGTCGGCGGTTCTGACCAAGGTTCGAGCCACTTTCCATGGAAGGTCATTGTCTACCCTTTCCACGAGTACACAACGAAGAGTTTGCCCAGGATTCCGTGGAAGTCTAACCGGCACAATCGTTTCCGATCTCGGCGGAAGAACAATCTTCTTAAGGCTGTACACATTCCCTGGTAACGCCCCTTCCACGAAAAGTTCCTCTTGTCCACATTTCAAAACACCTTGCTTAACGTCGATCTCACAACAATTCTTCCTCATAAAGTCTAGGCCCAGGATGCAGTCGTCCATTATATCAGCCACGATGACATTATGCAGGTAGATCATGTTGCCTAGCTTCAACTCCATCTCCTTCTCTCCACGGACGGGTATTCGCTGACCGGTGGCTGTCACCAAATTAATGCGTTCTCGGTTGTATGCGGAGTCCCCAAGGAACCGACTTATAAGTTGGGAACTGACAACCGTGCGAGAGGCTCCAGTGTCTATGGTCAGTTTACACGGCGTTCCGTTGACTTCGCCCTTGATGATTAGGCTGTTCCCATCATGGGTTTGTGAGATCGAAATCCTTGGGGCTCTTTTAACATCAGCCAGCACCCGCCAGTTTCCCTGCTGTTGCTGGGCGGTGCTGTCAGCCACACTACCCTCTCGATATCGATCACCTTCCCTTTCTACAGTTCGTTTAGGGCAGCTGGATCGAAGATGGCCCCTTTCCCCACAGCCGTAGCACCTAGGGCTGTAGCCCTTATTGCGGTCCTGAACTGTAGCTGCTGCAACCTCCCTGACGCGGTGGGAACGATGATCCTGCCGCACGGCTTCCACCTCCAGTGCCCCATGCACTCAAGGCGTCCTTAAGCGTCTCGTGGTGCCCGAGCCTCACAGCAGCTCTGACTTCAATGTCGCGGATGCCGTCGATGAATGTCTGCACCAGGTTCCCTACAATGAGCGCAGGTACAGACTGGTACGCTTTTCGAACCAGCTTCTCCACCTCAAGGGCCCACTGCTGCAGGTTTTCGTTACTGCGTTGCACGCGATCTTTGAGCTGCGCACGAAAGACGTGTTCCAGGTGAGCATCGCCATATCTTGCCTCCAATGCCTCAAGGAGCTGCTCGTAAGTTACTTCCTTACCGAGAGCTTCCAGAACAGTTAAGGCCTGGTCGCGTAGGCCTAGGGTGAGAGCAGTCATGGCCTGACTTTTATTCCAGCCGTTCGCTTTCATGACAGCCTCGAACTGGATTTTGTAGGCCGACCAGGAAGAACTCCCGTCGAACGGCGGCACTTTGAATCCACGTAGCGAAGGTGTTGTAGCTACTACGGGAGCTGTAATTCCATCCCCAAGTTTGAGGTCGTCCAGCGTTTTCTTCACATCAGCCATCACGTTGTCAACCCGATTGTTCACTAGGTCGATTCGGGTTTCAGCTTCCGACAGGCGGTTGTCATGTTGAGCAACCCTATCCTTCACCTCCTTTATCTCTTTCCCGAAGGTAGCGTGAAGGTCCTTCCTGAGGAGCATCTGTTCTTCCATACCGCGCTGCAACTGCTCTTTCAACCGACGGGTCTGTTCCTCCTGTCGGCGAGCCTGTTCCTCCTGTCGGCGAGCCTGTTCCTCCTGTCGGCGAGCCTGATCCTGCAGCATCATCATCAGAGCACCTAAGTCAGGTGCTGCAGATGCAGGAGCTGCTGACGGGCCGGCCTCCGTGGTTAGCAGCTGCCCCTCCGACGTTCGTGGCGTTGCATTACCAATTCGTCTCTGTTGGCGTTGACTTCGGGTACGGATACCCTCCGTGTCGTCTTTAGGTAAAATCGGCATATTTGATCCCACTTCTGACACCAATTGTTACGAGCTTGGGATTCGAGACAATTAAAAACTGCCGATTGAATTACCAAAATTAACACTTTAATTACACAACACTAATTACAATCTAAAATTACACTAATAATAAAACACAGTTCGCCGTTATTTCGCTTCGAAGTAATCTCTTGTATCGCCAATTCAATACTGCCTCGGTCGTGGTCTATACCGGCCTTATATAGGGCCTCAGATAGTTTCCAGAATCTTCTACTGTAGCGACATCTAGAATGTTCGAGTACATTTCGGTCCCGAAATTTCTGGAAGGATCTCCACTCTCCTAGTTCTGCTACTCGACACTAGAGGGCGCTAGTGTGACTAGTGTTGCCATGTACAAGACATTAATAGTGGCGCGCAATACTTTCATTTACTCGACACTAGGGGGCGCTAGTGTAACTAGTGTTGCCATGTACAAGACATTAATAGTGGCGCGTAACAGTATGGTCTAAAACCTTAGCCTGTCCAACCACACAATTTAGATGAAAAAAAAAATCAAATTTGCGAAACGGTAATGCCCAGTGACTAGTACCTATTTTTTACGATGGCTATTTGGCATGACATGACAAAATATACATAATGTAAAAAATAATAACAATATTTATTTACCTTTCTTCCGTGTGCGGGATTTGGTGAAATCGCAGATCTTTATTTATGCAAGATGACGACTTGCAATCTCTCACACCACACGTCGTATGAACCGTTTTAATTATAAATATCAACACTAAATATTAAGCAAACGCACGTTAACCCTGGAAGTCGTGTCCCGAGCTACTAATATGATTGGCATAAAAAGCTCGGGCTCGTCCTTCCCGCGTCTCACCCCTCTCACCCCTCACACCCCGCACGATTGCCCTGTCTAGACGTCTTCGTCGAACGACTGTATGGATATATATTGTGGTAGAATACAGCACTACATATCATCTTGTGGGTAGTGTAAAAAGCAACTATGGCAATTATCAGAAAAATCATAAGGCTTTTGAGAGATGGAGGTATTGCCATCTCATTTACACCAGACAAAATAACTGGTTCTATAATAATTAATCTGCCCGTCAAGCTTGTTAATTAGAGCAAATCCTCCCTAAAACTGAAGAGCTCCAGTCAAGCAGTGGTCTTATAAAAGCTCATAAAGAAGAACAAGAAAAACTGTTTAGAAATATTTCCTTAAATTTGGTTAATCTATCTGTTAGAAGTCATAAAGTCTACCTGGTATTTCCCATACATGATTCTAAAGACACACTCAGGACTGAATATATTTATGTTGCACCTCTACAGCAAAAAACAAACCATAAATTTATAAAGCCAACTAAAGGCCTGTGCAGGCCTGTAAATATGAATATTAAGGAGTTTTGTAATTATCACATTTTGATCCAGGAGAATTTTGACCTATGACTGAGGGTATGCAAAGAACAAATGCAAAATGGATGCAAGGAGTGGTGTGGACCTTAACTGTTAATTTTTTATCATATTAAAATGACAATAAAACTAACAGGGCACCAGATGAAGTAGGTACTGCAGCCCATTGACACCTGCAACCAACATCAAAGGGTGGGTCCACACCGGGTACACTGGCCAAATGCTCAGCCTGTGTGGACGTGGCTCAGGGTAGTTTGGATGCATATTGCCTCTGCTGAGCGTGCCTCGGGTCCGAGCCATCAGCTGTTAGTATATGGGACACGCTCAAAGGTGCCTCAGTGTGAGCTGTTCGTTTGACGTGGACGGGGGTTTTGGCTTGCGAGGCTATTGGAGGAAAGTTTCATCATCATGAAGACAACAGCAGGCGATTCATTTTAATCCACAGGCATTTTGGGTCTTTTTTTTAAATGTGACTGTTTCCGTTTCCTTAAACAATAAGCTACTATGAGAATAGCTGCAGCAGAAATTACATAACTGTCCATTTTGGATGTTCGAAGGCTTCTAATGGCTCCGCCAGCCTCGAGGGGCTCGTCTCTTCGATTTCGGGTAAACTACTGAGGCTGCCTCGCGAGCCGCACTTCGAGGCGGCCGCGCGAGCCCATGCGCCTGGTGTGGACCCACCCAAGCAAGAAACGGCAAATGGGATGATGAATGATATCGCGGGTCAAACGCGCACCTGGTACCGTTTGCGTGTAGAGAGAAAAAATATGTTTCGCATATATTTTCATGTCATCAGTTGTCTGCAGCTAATATACAAAAAAGTCAATTCCTTGAAATTAAATGCGCATAAATATATTTAAAAACTTACAAATAAATTTCTAATTTTAGACAAAAATAAAAAATAGATATTTTAAACTGATGAATATTCAACATAAACTTTGCGTAGGCGACAATTTCTAATAGAAACAGAAATACGAAATATCAAGAAGATATCTTAAAACGTAACGATTAAAACAATGTTATGAAACAAAAACATACATACAGTAAAAATTATAGTAATAGAATTGCAATAAATTCGGTAATATTTATTTTATTATGTTCTCATGTTAATGGGTGGTACACGAATTTAAATTAAAAAATCATTACAAAGCTTACCTGCTCTTCAAATCGTGCTATTAGTGAATTCGCCCATTCTCCAGGTTTCTGCGTACCCATATTGTAAAATATGTGTTTGCTTTATATAAATAAATTATAAACAACAAGTAGTTTTGTTTTGCGCGATCCCATTTTCATCCTTGGCCTTCGATTCGATCATATATATTTATCTATGGATTCGATTACTTTTTTTTTTGGAGTTTATGGCCTGGTATCTAGACCTTTAGGCCAAGTCTTAAGTATTTTTATTCGGTTTATTGTAATTTCCCCACTCCTTCATAGTATACTGCTTCACAATATGTTGATGCGTCACATTGTGCAGTTCTTGGGAGATTTTGGCGGCAACTTGATCCAGCAGACAGCTGATAGTTGGCGATGGTATCTAAAGGTGCCTATGCAAACAAACAGCTTATCTTGAGAATCCATCACAATCAGAGCACTTGTTTCACTGTTTCCACTAATAGTTCACATGCGTAGACACTTAATACACAAAATCGCAACACTTTTACATATCAAAGTCCACTTCAAACCATTATTTAAACAATAATACAGGAGCAGCAAACCGCCGCCGGTCAATTTCCCGCCAAAACTCCCTGGTTTCGATTTCTGAAGTTTTTGGTGTTACCAACTTATAAAAACTCCTTTAATCAAAGCTTGTTCAAAGAGTATTTATTCTTGCTTGCTAATATTTATTTATCTATGATTTATTCTATAAATTAATAACTCTAGGAGTTTTGGCGGGAAATTGACCGGCGGCGGTTTGCTGCTCCTGTATTATAGTTTATATAATAGTTTGAAGTGGATTATGATATGTAAAAGTGGTGCGATTTTATGTATTAACTGTCTACGCATGTGAACTATTAGTGGAAACGGTGAAACAAGTGCTCTGATGGTGATTGATTCTCAAGATAAGCTGTTTGTCTGCATAGGCGCCTTTAGATACCATCGCCAACTGTCAGCTGTCTGCTGGCTCAAGTTTCCGTCAAAATCTCCCAAGGGCTGCACAATGTGATGCATCAACATATTGTGAAGCAGTGAACTGTGAAAGATAATTATACATTTGGGAAATTATAATAAACCGAATAAAAATACTCAAGACTTGGCCTAAAGGTCTAGATACCAGGCCATAAACTCCAAAAAAAATAATGAATAACTCTACTTGATTGAATCAATAATTAACAGTACCGATATTTATTTATTTATATTATATTACAAACCAGAATTGCATATAAACTTACAATAACTTTACTGACTAAAATTACATGAAAATAATTTGTCATATGAAGGCAAACTAGGACTCCGTGGGCGTTGTAGGCAAATTAGGATAGAAGGATTTTACCCACAGCGCCCACGGAATATAATTTTTTATATTACGTGGGAGCGTCCATCCCCTATTGGACTTTTTTTTTCTTTATAGGAGAGGGGGTAAACAAGCATGCGGCTCACCTGATGGTAAGTAACTACCGCTGCCCATGAACAACTGCAATACCAGGGGAACCAGGGGAATTGCAGATGCGTTGCCGGCTTTTTAAAAAGGAGTAGGCAGTAAAAACAATGGTAACTAAATCATTTGATCTGACTATACATTAAAATACATAGAAAAACATAGAGCAACACGGGCCACCAGTGGACCGGAGGGGAGTAGCCATAGCGTTTTCCCCAATACAGAACTGTCTGTCATTTTTTGCGGGAGGCAATCTGTGGTTGGCCCGGTCCTTACGCTAGTAATATATAATTCAATATCATATGTCATAAAATGTTCATAGCAAATTCAAAAATATTGCTATGAACATGATATTGGCTCTATCAGAACGACCAGGACAGTAAAATATCACATGAAGAATTTCCGCATAACCTGTCGTTGCCTGATTTGTTTTTGCCGAACATACAGAAATTCTCGATATTGTAGGGTAAATATTAAAAAGTAAAAGGATCGCCAATAATACCAGTCAGTCGACCTGAAGATAAAATTATGGTATTTTCGCGTAGTACGAGTATAGGGCATAAAACAGTACAGTATAAAAGTTAAGCACCAAAGTCAGAGTGAAACACCCCAAATTCAAATTCAAATTTATTTATTGCCAGAATGTAGTACATAATATTATGATGTTGTTATTTATTAATGAGACCTTACATTCTACCAAGATAATGGCATGCAATATCTACAATATACAAAAAATAATATTATTACAATTTAACGAGGTAAAATATTTAAGGAAAATAATGATGTAGTTATTTAAAAATATTTTACCGTCAAGTTCTTAAATTATAATAAATATATGTCAAAAATTTAATTAATTAATTTTCTACGGAGAGACTTGGCCTGAGGTCCAGGAGTTTGCGATGAGGGGTCTTCAAACTGTGGTAAATTGGCTTGAGGAGAATCTACTGACTCTTAATATATCTAAGTCCACCTATATGCAGTTCCATATAACCAACACCCAAACTATTAACGATATACAAATAACAGTACACTCTTGTGGTTTACAGTCGACAGATACTTGCCTTTGCCCTAAAATGACGAAATCCAAATCAATTAAATATCTCGGAGTAATTATAGACGAGAAACTAAGCTAGCTCCCACACATAGACTTAATTTCATCGCGCACTAGGATACTTATTTGAACATTTAAAAGGCTAAGGCACATCGCTGTCTTTGGTTTATTAAGAACTGTATATTACGCCTTAGCACAATCCTTTATTATTTTATTAGTCAATCAATTATAACGTTATTGTATAGTTGCCTGGGGTGGAACATGCAAAACATTTATGATATACCTAATTTAAAATTAAAAATTTTGTACAACCGAATACAATATAAGTTATTAAGAATAACTCAAAAACTATTGGTCTGACCTTGATCAAATTCATATGGGACCACACGAGAAGTATCAGCTTTCATATAAAAAAAGAATCATCTAAATGGGTCTTGAGTGACTCCAAATTGGGATGAGGCTTTGAACACGCCTTTTCCTCCAAGTGTCGCCATATCTTGTAATCTAACGGATTCAAATCTGGACTGGAGGAGGACCAGTCTTCGTGCCGGATGAAGTCGATTTCACGCGCCGCCAGCCAGTCTTGTGTGCTCTTCGCTCTATGAGCTGGCGCCGAATCTTGTTGGAATACCCAGTGCCTGTTATCGAACATGGTATGAGAAATAGGTTCCACAAGGGTCGTCAGGACTGTATTTTGATACACAACTGCATTCGTTTTTACACCTTTCTCACAAAAATGTACCTCTGTTAAGCCCCAATAAGAAACTCCCAACCATACCATTAGCGAGGATGGAAAATGACCTCGTTGGACACGCGGAATACGGTTGCTCGCTTCTTCACTACTGTGTGCGTACACCTTATCATTTTGTTTGTTGTAGCTCTCTTCTACGGTAAAAATGTTTTCATCCGAAAAAAGAATTTCTCGATATTTTTTTCCCGCGTACCGCTTCAACAAAGCGCGGCATCTCTTCAGTCTCAGGTCCATTAGACGAGCATTCAAACGATGTCCTGTTTTTCTTCGATATGCCCGAAGCCCTAAATCTTCATTTAACACCCTTTTCACCGTGGTTCTGCTTAACCCCATCTGAAGGGCCAACAGTTTCTACTTAAGTTTGGGATTTCTTTGAATTCGCGCCTTCACAGTTTTTATCACTGCTGGAGTCCTAACAGACCGAGGGCGACCACTTCTTGACCTGTCATCTACACTAGAGTCTTCATTGTATCGTTTGATGGTACGATAAACGAATCTTTTGGTTATATTCAAATTTTTCAGTATGTCGAAAATTTGAATTGGCGCGTAACCGCAACGATGCAACACAATAACTGCAACAAGGTCTTCTTTAAGCGTCCACTCCATATTTAAAAATGAGTAAAATTCTAAAAAGTATACAGTTTTATTTTCATTCGAACAATTCGAATTCAATAAACTTTTTTGTAGCCAGCATTCTAAAAGAAAAGTTTTTACTGTGTGACAATACTTATGACCTGACTAGGTATTAGTAGTATTGTTACGAGCTTGGGGTTCGAGACAATTAAAAACTGCCGATTGAATTACCAAAAATAACACTTTAATTACACAACACTAATTACAATCTAAAATCACACTAATAATAAAACACAGTTCGCCGTTATTTCGCTTCGAATGGCCAGCATAAAATATAAATTACTTTATCCGCATTAAGTTATAGTATACATTCAAATAGCTAAATAGTTACTTGAAAATGTTAAGCTTAGTTACTTAATTAATTGTTAAGATTAAAATACTGTTGTCACAACACTGTGAGAGGCCACTGATCGCTAAGATACAGACTTGTCTAGTTTGGGGATCAGAGTCTTGACATTATTATTGTACTTTTATTTAAATAAATTATTATTATTATTAATTAGATAATTGATTATACATAAATGTATAGTATCAAAAAAAATATTAAATGTTAAAAAAAAAAACTAATAAGTTTTTCTATATTTCACCATATGGAGAATCATATAGGGTTGTTTCATCACTAATTAATGAAATAGTATTATTAGGAAATAAACGTATTTTTTTTTTAATTACTATACTACATAATACATACTACATTCTATGATTAATTATTATACTTCGAAATTCAGCCCTGGTTACGTCGTTGACCAATGCAACGTGGCACTCATGTAGATTTAGACGTTTGAGTTACGCGGTTGGCCCAGTTTTTAAGCTAGTAATATATATGTCAAAGAATACCACGCATTCTGAATTTAAAAGATAAAAAGGGATTTATATTTGAGAAGACTTTTTTTAGCAATATTTTTTCACCACTCGGCTACCTATATTACTTGTTCTGAACCTTCTCTGCAAATATGGAAATTAACTCCTTTACAAATTAATCCTATATATGAAAGGTTTTGTTTTTGTAACACGTCGATTCAGATGCGCAAATAGATTTAGTCTAGTTCTCTAGTATATATACAGTAATCTATGGTCTATAGAGCAGTGCGGCTTTTATTCACCGGTGCCCTGTGCTGTGTTGCTAAACACTCCTCTGTTCTTCGGGACAACTAAATATAAAGCTTAGATTTATATTTAGTTTTTTCAAGATCCAGAAAGATCCGAAATAGGAAAAGATTCGGCCCACGCGATTTGTTAAGATTCCATTACTTCAATCATTTATCAATTTCTGTTCTATTAAAATATCGAATGGAAGTAATGTAAATACTTACATTGAAGTTTTCATCAATATCTCCTAATAACTTTAGAATATTACGTATCAGCATATTGGGAAGAGTTTTTTGAACAAAATACAAATCAGATTAGGCAGTATGGTCTAAGACTTTCGCTTATCATAATTGGGGAATTGTAAAGACAAAATGAAATTAACTTGGGTAAGGCCGGCCACATATATACGGATTTCCGTTTCGGGAATCCGTTTCAGAATTCCGAACGGGTCGACCATATAGAATCCCGTTTTGTCCGCAAAATTTCGAACGGAAAACTACCGTACGTGTGTGACAGGCATAGAGTAGAGTAAGTGACGGGCTGACGGGTTGTAGATTTTATATGAACTTGCTACGTTCGGAATCTTGAATCGGAATTCCGGGAAGGAATCTCGAACGGGTCGGCCACAGACATACGGAATCCCGTTTTGCCCGCAAAATTTCGAACTTTAAACTACCGTACATGTGTGACCGGTCATAGATTTTATATAAACTTTCTGCGTTCGGAATATCGAATCGGAATTCCGGAATAAAATTCCGAAACGGGTTTCCGTATGTATCTGCGGGCCTAGAGTTAGTTAGACACTTGACATTGACAACTTGTTTATTGTTTAGCATTAGCAAGAATTGGTACCTAATTTGCTTTTGCTACCGGGATTTTAAGAACATTAGAAAACCTTTATAAACTTAACTTTTTTATTATACTGCGGTTCCTAAAAAGTGTAGAAAATATGATGGTGAGATTTTATGCCTAAAATATTACAATAACGTCAATTATTATACCTTTTCTTTATATTAAATTAGGGGGCGTACCCGATCATTATTAGAACAAATTACACGCAAATAAAATTTTAATGTCTTCGAAGACTTATCGTATATGAATCATATTTTATTGAGCACAGGTGGTCTAAAGAAATTTCTCTTAGGGAAATTTGTTCTTCTAATAGGAATTATTTTGTGACGTGGATCCTGACTCGTAATTTGTAATGTAACAAATAAGAGCTATTTTACATCATAGAACAGCTTCCTGCATACTATAATGTTATTTAATAGATTTGAAAATTAAAACTATGATAGTTAAGTTTGTACCATTACCATTTCAGTGTGATGTGTGCAATTCATTACCTTTTTTGTTCAAAAGTAATTTAATAGTACTTATTTATTTTTGTATTGTTTAATTTATGTCTGTAATATTTTTTATTCTTTTATCATATTATATTGATAATATTTTGTTTGCTATATAACACTAGAGCTATGTGCGCATGGAAGCTAATATAATCGGCCAATTATGAATTTCATTGTGCATAGAATATTTGTTTTGTCAGGCAACTTCAGAGTACATTGAACATTTTTTTAATGGTCGGTTAGATCAGTACAATACATATTTCACAAAAGATGCATGTGTCTATGCTCTTCTTTTAAAATACTTCAAAACACATAAAAATTGTTTGACTTAGCATTTTATTGGGGGTCATGCCACTTTGATTTGTATGGCCTATAAGGTGTTATTCCAGATCTGTGTGGGGACATGTGCAAATTGAAAATAAATTTTATCTAAGACACTGAAAAATTCTTCTAATCTTACACCTTTTTTAATATTAATTTACCATCTAGGACTGTGTGGAAGAAACAAATCATGATCCCCTTACTGCACCACCAGTAACATCTCCCTCTGCTTGTGAAAACAAGACTGAAAAGAAGAAACCCAGTGAGAATGTCTCACTAGCTGACAATAGCTTACTAGTAAGTTAATCTATAATATAACTAACTAAATGCATATGTCCTTTGTATATGATACATATTTATTGTTGAATACTAATACTAATGCTCTATCAGTATATTACATTCTATAGATTTTAATAGTGTTAATTTGCCTTATATTATCTTTCTGATGACAGGTGGACATATCAGATGCTCTCAGTGAAAAAGAAAAAGTTAAGTTTACAGTACATACTAAAACTACATTACCAGAATTTCAAAAGTCTGAATTTTTGGTAGTTCGCCAGCATGAAGAATTTGTGTGGCTCCATGACAGATATGAAGAGAATGAAGAATATGCTGGTTATATTGTAAGTACTACTAAATTATTCTGATATCACAAATAATTGATTATGCAGATGTGTGTAACCAGATCTGTCCCAAGACCTAAACTGGAACACCTTTCCAATCAGGTATTGAGAAGGTATTAGATTTATTTTCGGTCTGTGTATGACCATATTTCACACTAAAGGTCTAAGCTTAACTGGCTTACAATCTGGCAGAGGTACAAATCCAGAATATTGCTTGTTCTTTTTTTCCATTTTTAATGACACCTAATTGCCTTCTTATCTTAAGAGTAAGTTTCACTATCTCCTCATTTTATGATCGGATTTTATGTTGTCTTATAACAACAAAATGTATATTTTGTTGTATGTATGTTCATGCTCACTTCACTGAATTCTATGGTAACTCCTTCAAAGTTCAAGCTATACGTCTTTGGAACTCCTTGCCCGATGACATAGAAAAGTAACCAATTAGTATGCTTTTAAAAAGTTGGCTAGTGATCACCTCTTAAAGAGTCTCATGATAACACTGCCAAGTCCTTTGGATTGTCAAACAACTCATATTTAGCCTCTGAGCTACGAAGCATTGGCTGCAACCATCTTCAAGCAGTACTTTAAAATGTCTAGAAAATTAGATAATTCAATAAAAATGTACTAAAAGTTATTTAGAGTCAATATCAACTTTCGGGAGTTCCTACCACAAAGTGTAGTAAAATAATTGTTTCCTTTAAAAACATGCCTCAGGTAAAAATTTGAATTTGGAACGTCTTTTTTAAACACCGCAGCACTTTTATAACCAGTCAGTAACATTTTCAAATTATTAAAACCTTTTTCGTATTCTATTTTGATCAGGAAAGAAAAAAATCAAATTCATTTTTAACCGACTTGAAAAAAGGAGCAGATTCTTGATTCGGATAACTTTATATATATTTTTTATGTATATCAGGCATAACTCCGTCATATATAGACGGATTTGCAAAACATCAGTTTTTGTTTTGAAAGAAGTTTATTCTGAAATGGTCCCATTTAAATTTCGTAAAGATCAACACAACAGACAGTGTAAATTAAATGCCAGCAAATGAACCACGATTGCTGCTATCGCATGTCTATGCATTCTTTACACAATTACTGTGCTGGCCTAATAAAATTTTGTATCTGTCTATCTAGTTTATGTCTTATATACAGTCCTGGTCTATTTCGCCTCTTGAAGCTTTGGACTGTAAATGGAATATCCATGATAAAAATGTCCAAAGTTAGTAATGACAAAGAGGAGTATCTATTTTAAAATAACTAGCGATCAGCCCCGGCTTCGCACGGATGATTTGTGGATCTCAACCACAGCGCCACCTACCAGGTCAAACGGTGAATCTAAACCATCAAGGGACCCACTCAAACGCACACAAAAAATCATCAAAATCGTTCGAGCCGTTTTCGAGTTTTAGCGAGACTAACAGACAGCAATTGATGTTTATATATAGAGATACTTTGTGATTACTTGCCAAATGATTACTGTGGGTGCTGCTTTTTTTGCTATTCCAAGTAAGCCCTGACTACTATCCCACCTGATGGTAAGTGGTGATGCAATCGAAGCTGGTAAGGTTCACCTTGTAAAAGAATAATGTTCATTACTCCGAGCTATGTACAGACTAATAATTATGAAAAAATACATTAAAATTATTTAGGTGGAAAAATATTTTTTGTTGAATATTGCTTTCTCTTACATTTGTAATCCACCATTCATTCCATCTTAGTCCGCAAGGGCAATAACTGATAACGCATCTAAATTTCGATTCCATCCATTTCCCATCAGGTACGACATGCTATTTTTTTATACGATAGGGTGACAAATGAGCACACAGTCCACCTGATGGTAAGTGGTTCCTTTGACCCATAGACATCTACATTTAACCTCGATAAAGAATCAAAATGCAAATACATCGTCACCCGTAAGGACTAAGATGGAATGCCTGTTTTCCAGTAAAATATGTCTCCGGTTCTTTACACTCACCATATGAAACACAAGTGTCAAGCTGCCATTTTACGCTGGTATTCTGTGAGAGCATGGCCCTTCCCCGGTTGAGCCAATCCATTTGTGCTATAACTATACTACTAATATAGCATGCATACTATATGCAACATGGCTCTACTACGTATAAAACATGCACATTTACGTATAAAACATGTACATTTGCCACCACCCTTCTATAAAAAAGTGGTTTTTTTAAATAAAAATCGTGATGAATGAAATACAGATCCCTCCAGCGCCACCACGGCCAGATTTCGATGCGTCGCGTGAAAAACTTCAACGGCTTGGTGAAGGAGAGGGTGCGCTTACACGAGAAGAATTTTTGAAAATGAAGGAGGAGTTAGAGGAGTGAGTACCTTACTCTATTATTATTACACAAAATATAAACAAAGGTCTGAACAGCAGAATAATGGTTTCTTGTTAAATCAATGGTTTACTAAATATTTTTAATAACATTAGTGTCTAACGAGCTAACAGTACGCCTGATGGTAGGTAGCTGTAGTCCATAGACACTTGAAAAACAACTTCACAGAAAGAAGTTCACACATTCCTATAAAGACTAAGTAAGATAAGATCCTTGAGTCAGTTATTACGCTGGTTCTCACACTATAATCCAGAACACATCAGTGGCAGCAGTGGCTGCAGTACTGCTTGGTGGCAGAAATAGGTAAAATGGTGGTACAAACCCAGATATGTATATTTGATGGTTTTAAAGGCTGACTTCTATCATATGACCTAAAATTACAGGAATTGTATAGTGAACATGACAGATAAAATCCAATGATTTGTGTAAATAATTAAAAAGGCGTCGGCGCGAGCGCACGCGAAATATCAAACAGACCACAAGTGTTCATGTACAAAACAATGTTACGGAAACTAGAAACTAGTTGGCGGCTGTGTAAAACGGGTGATGTCATTAGTTTTCACGACACACACAATTCCCCTGGTGTTGCAGTTGTTCATAGCCACTTACCATCAGGTGAGCCACAAGCTCGTTTGCCACCTCTTATATAAAAATAAGATATATTTACGTCAAAGTAGTCTTTTTTTCCACGAGGAAATGTCTGCGCATACCCCCCTTGCGTATCGGTAAGAACGGGATAGGGAGGACTGCTAGTCCCCACCCACCCCTCCGAATTCGTTGCGCTGCAGACTATGGGGTTGGCCCCATAATTATTTTATTAGTATTACCCCATAGTTATTTAAAAAAAAATAAAGAGAATTTTAATATCATTGCCAGTATTTAAAAAAAATATAACTTTTCTATACTAACTTTTTATTGAAATGTATTTACTAATTAAAATTACTTATCAGTGAGTATCTGGCAACTTTCAAGAAGACAGTGGCGATGCATGAAGTTTTTCTACAACGTTTGGCCGCGCATCCAGTGTTCCGCAACGACGCACACCTCCGTGTATTCCTTGAGTATGAACAGGATCTGTGCGCCAAGCCACGTGGTAAAATGGAACTCATTGGTGGATTGGTTAGTTCTTATTTGATTTATCTATCTTATAAATAGGGAAATTGTGTTTTATGTATGTTACTAAAAATATTTACCAGAATACTATAATGCTTTTTAAAAAGCTAGTATATTGTGACACATTATCATCACGTGTGAACTGACAATTCTAGTGACAACTTTAGTATTTAATTGGAACAAACACTCTAACCAAACAATTGGTAATTAGCTATATACAGAATATTTTTTTTTTGGATTCGCTTATTGATGATGTCATCACTTGATTCCTCCTTTACCCTTCCACCATCGGCCAACCAGACACTCAGCGGGTTCGTTCAAACTATTTACAGAAGAAGAGTGAAAAAAATTGCCAGCGTTTTCTCGTCGTCGTCTGTCTTTCTCTCTGATTACTACATATGTCTTCAAGACTAGAAAAGGCTTTTATTATGTTACGCTAAGATAGTGAGATTTACCACCTGGGGCGATATCACCACTTACCATCAGGTGGGATTGTAGTCCAACACTGCACAATATGTGAAAAAAAGATGTGCTTCATTTGACCTATACGCACTTACCTTGTAGCATTATTTTATTCCAATTATTACTCTTTTTATCCTCCTCTCATCCCCGCAAACAGTCCACTGGTGGGCATGGGCACCTCCCATAGTAAGGATCTCATTATGTAGGAAAGGCAGATTAGTGATCACAGTTGGGTCAATTCAGCTCTTAGTCATGACATAATTTTCCTTTGAGTTAATCTAATGAATGCTGTGAGTTATTTTATGGGCTTGTGAAAAAGACACATTGATGATTTTCAGATGCGTTCCATGACAACAACCACCGACGAAATTTATTTGGGCGCGACTGTGCGCGACGTGAATGACTTTTTCGAACAGGAAACCGCTTTTCTACAGGAGTACTACTCGCACCTTAAAGAGGCCGTTGCAAAAGTCGACCGTATGACGTCGAAGCATAAAGGTGAAACTTCGTTCAGTATTATTTGTATTCTTATTCACAGCCTGTACAAGCTGGAAAATGGCCTCTCCCGTTGTAGGATTTGCCTTAATCGACATGCACAGATGTTGCTCTCTGTAGCCGGTCTGGATATTTTACACCTAGCGTAACCAAAATTGTGATGGGACATTTATGGGAAACTATAAGATCTTTCTGGTATTAACTTATCTCTGGTATTAAGTTGTCTCTTACGACACGGGGCGAAATAAGATAATGGGTTCTTTTACACCACCATCCCACGTGTAATTGCATTATTATTTAAGCATATTTTTTACTATAATATCCTTATTAGCTGAAAATATGCCAGGGCTTTTAACGTTTCGCTCCAACTATCTTAGAAATGTTAAAAGTTTCAGAAATCATATAATTAAAGAAAATATTTTCGTACCCTACTTTTTTGCTTTTTACTTATTAGTTTTATTATTATCTGTGATATAAGACTTACAGATAAAAAGCTTCTGTTTCTAAAGCGAAACTACTACTGGGTACCTAGCATGTTCTTTAAAAATTTAAGATCCTAGGAGTTACTGAATGAATTAACATAAAATATTGTTATTTGTTTTTGTATACCATGACATGACCTAATCGCTGGTATTAACTTTTGAATGATTCGCACTCTAAAGTGTATGTCTAAAACCAAGCAGTCAGAAGCGATACGTTCAGCGTTTAGGAGCGCACACCGTGGAAGACGCACATATAGATTTACATTTATATGTCAGTCTGGAGCGTGTCAGTTTGGAACGTGGAGGCTGGAATCGGCTACTGATCGTATCCGTCTATCCATCAATTACAGCCTATGAAGTCCACTGTTGAACATAGGCCTCCGATATAGATTGCTTCATAGGGAGGATTTTATTATTTAGAGTTGTTATCAGGAAGATGCTGCTGCCCATCTCCTGTTTTAGTTTACCTCTGTCGCCTTTTACGACACCCACGGAATGATATGGGGTAGTGGATATTCTTACACCGCCACTACACGGTTTAATTGGTTATTCCACCCATGCCTAAATTAAAATATAACCCGGGATCCGCCGATTCTATACACTACGCCGAACTGCGTGCAAACCTATTGAAACACCTTTAGACGTGCAGTTAGAAGTGCGCGTCGCAATTCTACGTTTTGATTCGCGCACCGAGCTGAAAGTTCAAAAAAGCACACATCAAATAGTCGTTTCGGAATGTTACTCCACGAACGCGCTCTAAAACAAAACCTTCGTATAAAAGTCGCTAATATTTCCGTCGCATTACGGCCTGGTTGGACAAAATATCGTATTTTAGACACGATTTTGACGTGCAAGACTTAATACTCCTTGATATGCGCATACATGAAATACCCAAATTCTTTTATGAATGGATTTTTAAAATAGCGATAGTAATCTAGAAAGAAAAAGAAACATTATTGAATTGCCGGGAAAAAACTTAGACGTTCGATTTCTTAGTTTTGTAAGCGATAACCATATAATTTTTTCGATAATATAAAAGGCAAGGCAGGCACATCTTTAATTAAATCATTTATTTCCTGATAAAAAGCAAAACCTTCCAAATAAAGTAACTTTTTGTCCTCCGAACGTCGCACTTTTACTTCGTACTGGACAAATATGCATGAAGCGGGGAAGGGAGGAAGTCCTTGCCTTAAATAACCTCAAAAATGTACCCAGAAGTGGCAGACGCTCACATCAAGCTGTCGTCGTGCTTAACGCAGCTTGCGACGCGCGAGCAGCCGCCCACCGAGCGCTTCCTCACGCGCGCCGCCGAGACCTTCGACAAATGTCGCGTGAGTACGGTACACTCTATCTTACACAATTTTCCACGTCCACTAACACATGGCCAAACTAATGTATAAGTAAAAGTGTAAACGTTCACTGCTAGTTATGGGCCTCTCCCGTTGTAGTGAGGTTTTTTTTATAAAACTGTGGTAACAAAAGAACATACAGTCCACCTGATGGTAAGTGGCTACTGCAGTCCATGGACAACTGCAAACAACTTTAATAAACAACAAAGGACTTGTGTATATATATGTATGTGTATGCATATTTATATGGATGTATGTATCTAAGGAGCTAAGTATGCAAATAAAAAGGAAAGTTTTCAACATGTGTATACTTCCAGTCGTTACTTACGGATGCGAAACCTGAGCACTCACCAAACACCACAGAGAAAAGTTAGAACGCTGTCAGAGAGCCATGGAGAGAAGTTTGACAGGAATAAAGAAACAGGACAGAGTAAGATAATAAGGGACAAAACCAAAATCGTCGATAATAACCCGAATAGACCAACAAAAGTGGAGCTGGACAGGTCACATGATGCGTGATCCAAAAGAGTAGTGGTGCAAAACTGTTACTGACTGGTATCCCAGAGACAGCAAGAGAAGTAGAGGACGCCAACAAACAAGATGGGAAGACGACTTAAAACTCACGGCTGGACATCATTGGAGGAGGGTAGCGCGGGACAGGTCCCAGTGGAAATTGTTAGAGGAGGCCTATGCCAAAAGGCAAACTGAGCTTCGGGACATATTATAACAAATAAAAACATGTCTAGTATTCATATTTAACCGAGAAGTTCAGAATAAAAAGGCTTATTATTATTATTATATGTACGATGTATATGTATACATAATACAGATAATTAATACATTTTTTTTTATAGGAATAGGGTGACAAACGAGCACACAGTCCACCTGATGGTAAGTGGTTGCTGCGGCCCATAGACATCTACATCTATCCTCGTTTGCGAATCAAAATGCAGATGCGTTTGCCATCCGTGAGGACTAAGATGGAATGCCTCATTTCCAGTAAAAAGGCCTCCGGCCACCTGCACTCACCAAGCGAAACGCAGAGGTAAACCTCTACTTCACGCTGGCATTCTGTGAGGTCGTGGTACCACCCCGGTTCGAGCCGGCCCATCTGTGCGACAGCAAAAGCTGCCGCGTGGCTCTACCACTGTTTAAACATACACACATGAATGTATTATGTATGATGATTGTTCGCGCCAAACGCTGTTGTCGGAATCGACGTCTAGGGGACGCGCGGCTTGGTGCCATACCGGTTTGACAGTTGGATGTGTCGAGCGCGCGCGAGGGCAAGTCAGTCGTCTGTCAGCGGTGCTAACGCTAGCACACTGTCATTTTTTGTTCGGGAACCGCGGCATAGTTTAGACGTCTAGTAAACATCCTGTCTAGTATTTATAACGCGAATTCCTAGTTGGATAGCCTTTCCCGGGACTTATTGGGTCCGACTCAGAATCTGTATAAGTGCATTCGACAAATTAGCTAGTGCGGCCTTTGATATTAACTACTGCTGTTAGTAACTAATATACTATTTTATATAACTGTTGCTACGCGAAACGGTAGTGACCTTTGATCCGGACACTCCGTGTTCGTTTTGTGCGTTAATCTTATAACAAACGCGAGGAAAGGGACTGTGGACAACGCCGCGGAAGGTTCCCTCAATTTGGAGCGGTGTCGACGCCCGGGCTGCTGCCGACGGCCAAGGTCTACTCGGGTCAATTACCATCAGTCACACCCAGATACACATCACATCACCTTATTTCCCTTACGCTACACAACCACATGCGACCTGACCGACTCCGGAGGGACCAGTCGCCTTGGATATAGGTAAGTAAGTTCCGTCTAATATTCTCCTAGTCGAATGGCCGTAGTATAGAACGCTCCCCCATATAGTTTATTGTAATTAGAGAAATTCCACGTGGCCATATTCTGGCCCCGTCCCTCTGCTGCTCGTCGATGGGATTACTCATGGGCCCTAATCCCGTCATCCTTGTTTGGGGCAGCTAGGGGCGTGTACAATCTGGTAGCAGAGCGTGGTTCCGGGTTCGATTCCCCGGTCGATCCCGACCATAGTGTTTGATAAAAATTAAACAATTCTGGTGGCAGGTAGCGTTGGTTTGATTGGTTTAATTTGTATCTACAATCACGCCCGTCCGTAATACGTAAAAATATTTGTTTGTACGTAATAATAAAATTATTTTCCTTTGTTGCTTGCCTTTTTTTTAGTTAGTGGGTAGATTGAAAAGCCGCGCCCTAGGTTGCGCAAGCGGGAGTTTTTCTAGAGATATACGTCATGTAGGTAGATGGTTATTTTTACGTAATCGGTTAATTATCGTTGTCGGATAGTTGTAATGGATTACTTATCGAAGGGTCGATTTCCGAGCTAGGCATTTTTTGTTGATCGACCGTGATGTGTATCTTCGTTTGTACTGTAATTTGTATTTGAACTAAAGGGTAGTAATTTGTATTTGCGCCATTTGAATTTAACTTGATTTGATCGCACTAGTATTTGTTATTTGTTAATTTGATTTGTGTCTTTTCTTTTGTGCTAACTTGTATTAGGTTGATACGTAGTAATTCGTATTTGTGTAATTTCTATTCAACGCGATTTGATAGGAACTGCATTTATTAACTGTTAATTTTTTGTTGTATTTTTTATTTGTTATCTTTGTAATTTGTGCTCGAGCCGCGTCGTAATTTGTATTTAGTAGTGATATCATCGCCCAAGCTATTAATCCATTGCCTGCGGACTGAGTTACGCTGGGCCACAAGCGCCCGTGCTTTGATAGGTCCACCGGATAGGGTCCATAACTTGATGAAGCGGTTCGAGCAGGTGGATGCTCGAAGGGCCGCAGTGGAGGAGGCTTACGCTGAGCTCGAGGATTCGGATGTGGAGAAGGGAGTCCTGGACTCCTGCTTCGCGGACTATGAGCAGTTCTTTTCGCTCACGGACGAGTTGATCGAGACTGAAGGCAGGTATGCCGAGGAGGCGCGTGAAGCTCGGATGAGTGACCTGCCCGAGTCCTCTCGGAAGCAGCTTCAGCCGGAGCTGTTGGGACGACTCCCAACTCTGGACCTGCCAAAGTTCTCCGGGGTCCTTTCCGAATGGCTGACCTTCGTTGGTCTTTTCGACAGCCTAGTGGACGTCCGGAGTGACATGACCCCGAGCCAAAAGATGGCGTACCTCCTGGCCTCACTGGAGGGAGAGGCCCTGGGCGTCGTCGGCCACTTGAGATTGTCGGACGACGCCTACCAGACTGCTCGGGACCTCCTAGCCAGAAGATACGCCAACGTCCGTCGAATTGCGGACGAACATGTTAAGCAGCTTCTAAGCCTCCCGCTGCTTAGTGACCGGGCCAGACTACGTCCGGACCTGTTGGATCCAGTCTTGGTGGCCTGTAATACGTTGAGGCGGCTGGATTTACCAGTGGGCGAATGGGCTTTTTTGTTGCTCCGCATCGTGCTGTCCCGTCTACCTCTCGACATTCGAATCCATTTTGAGAAGAGGTACGGCGGGGACGAGGCCTCCTATATCCCGCCCTTTTATGACCTGCTGCGGTTTTTGGAGGAGCAGTGCCGGCAGATCGAGAACGCGACGGGCGCCGTTGACGACTTACGAGTCATGCCCAGTGAGAGGCTAAATCCGCCAGGCAAGTCGTCGTCAACCCCCCCCCCCCCCCCCTGCTCCTATTGTCGAGCATCTACCCACCGGGTAACGTCGTGCCCGAAATTATTAGGTAAGCCGGTTCCGGCGAGGCGAACTATCGCCAAGGAGCGCCGCTGGTGCTGCTCATGTTTGGAAGGGCACCAGCGAGACTGTCCGCATCGGCGGCCCTGTCTGCATTGCCAGGGCAATCACCATGCAGTTTTGTGCCTGGGTGCGAACGGCATCTCCTCTCGGGGCTCTGCCAGGCGCTCAACCCCCACGGGCAGGGGCGCTCAGCCACGCCCTCTGCCGGGCGACTCTCGGCGCCCGCTGGCCAGCCACCGGGCCCTGGGTTTGAAAGGGGTCCCTCCCCCGACCAGTCGGGGGGTAAATCCTCCAGGGGCGGGGGTGTCATCGCCCCCCCCCCTCAGCGTGTGGAGAGGAACTTCACGGCCACTCATCGGTCCGCTGGACCCTTCTCACTCCCGTTAGCTGAGTGGCCGCGACTGGTGTACCACTGTTCCCCATTTGATGGAGGCGGCCTTGGCTAGCTGCCGCCTTAGCTCCCACCACGGCCGCCTCCACTGAGCCTTAAGCCGTCAACAGTCCACTTGTCAAAATGTTCTGTTGCCGACGGCCTCAGTGAAGGCGTACAACCCGAGTGGCGACTGTTAGCGGTTCGCGCTCTATTGGTCTCGGGTTCACGCCGTGTGGCCTCTTCTTGGTGGTGGGAAGATTAGGGCCCCCCCTGGAGCGTTGAATCACGCTGTCAAGGGGTATTAGATTTGGTTTGGTCGAGCACTTAGTTAAAAATTCTTTGAATTAAAATTAAAAAATGCTTTGGGCTTTCCACGAAATTTTCCTATTTGTAGCGGTTGTGATTAAAAGAATTGAATTTAATCTACTCCTTTAAATGTTGCTGCATATGTTTTGTAAATATATTTAATCACTGCATTTGATTGTTGCGCCTGGTTGCTGAAAAGAAAATTTGAATTCATTTGAAATTGAATATCGCGCTATTTGGAAAATTATGTATATGTTTTGTGACAGTGTTTAATCATTTTGCTTTGTGAAAAAGAAGTCTGAAATTAGATAACCCTATTTGTGCCGAGGTAAATAAAAGGCAATTCTCCTTTGGTTTACATTTTGTTGGCACTGTCTAAGTTACGTAAATGAGAAATAGGGCTGTCTCTTACGTTATTGTCTTGTTTAATTTGTCAAGTTGACCTATGTGCATCGGTGATTAATTTGGTTGAATTGATTCTGTAGTTGAACATTGATGCTTTGAAAAATTAGTTGAAATATGAGCATAGGACTGCTTGTCTAACAGGCTAGCTAGTTTGGAGATTATCAGATTGAAATCAGCTGCCGCACTATTTTAGTAAATGATAATATGGTGGGTGGCCTGGCTAGGCCTACTTGTTGAAAATTCATACTAGGGACTATCTGTGCGTTTCGTTCGGCTCTCCACAGACGACGTTCATGTGGAATTTGTGGGTGCTCTCTGCACTGAAGCTTAGGAGGCCGCTCTGGGCCGCTTCGTGTCGCGTCGCTGTTTGCAGACCTGATCCGGTCGGATTGCGGAACTAATCGTAGGGGCACAGATAGGTGTTTGAAAGAGGTCGTCGGACTTCTGTCTAGAATAGGACTTATTTATGGGCTGCGATGTCCAGGAAGGGCATCCAGTTCAACCCTCCGGCTTGCCCACGTTGGGGCGGTAATTTTGAGGCGTTGGTTAGGGTTGCAAGATCTGATGGGGTGCCTAAGGTGGCCTAGTTTGGTTGTAGATTCGGTCTTGCAACTTACCTTCGCGACCTTGTCCCGCTGACCGGTTTGCTCGCGGACCCAAATCCTTATGTCCGGGACGGGGGTTTGTTCGCGCCAAACGCTGTTGTCGGAATCAACGTCTAGGGGGCGCGCGGCTCGGTGCCATACCGGTTTAACAGTTGGATGTGTCGAGTGCGCGCGAGGGCAAGTCAGTCGTCTGTCAGCGGTGCTAACGCTAGCACGCTGTCATTTTTGTTCGGGAACCGCGGAATAGTTTAGACGTCTAGTAAACATCCTGTCTAGGATTTATAACGCGAATTCCTTGTTGGATAGCCTTTCCCGGGACTTATTGGGTCCGACTCAGAATCTGTATAAGTGCATTCGACAAATTAGCTAGTGCGGCCTTTGATATTCTAGAAATAACTGTTGCTACGCGAAATTTTAGTGACCTTTGATCCGGACACTTCGTGTTCGTTTTATGCGTTAACCTTATAACAAACGCGAGGAAAGTGACTGTGGACAACGCCGCGGAAAGGTCCCTCAATTTGGAGTGGTGTCGACGCCCGGGCTGCTGCCGACGGCCAAGGTCTACTCGGGTCAATCACTATCAGTCACACCCAAATACACATCACATCACCTTATTTCCCTTACACTACACAACCACATGCGACCTGACCGACTCCGGAGGAACCAGTCGCCTTGGACATAGTAAGTAAGCTCCGTCTAATATTCTCCTGGTCGAATGGCCGTAGTATAGAACGCTCCCCCATATAGTTTATTGTAATTAGAGAAATTCCACGTGGCCATATTCTGGCTCCGTCCCACTGCTGCTCGTCGATGGGATCACTCATGGGCCCTAATCCCGTCATCCTTGATTGGGGCAGCTAGGGGCGTGTACAATGATTATTATAATAGTGCACAATTAATCTGGTACTTTTTGGAATGTCCAGTATCAGGCTAGCTCGAAGAAATTTCAGTATGTAATAATCATTGCCCTTGTACAAGATTGTAAAAATAAATAAATAAAGAAGGCTTCAGATGTGTTGTCACCTCTGAGGACTAAGATAGAATACCTTGCAAGCAATTCACTACCTATACAAAGATAATGAGTTCTATCACCTGTGATTAGAATTTGTATTGATCGTCATACGCCAAAACAACATATGCTCTAATCGTCATTGCGACTTACACAGGACGAAATAGGGTCTTAAGCCACCACTAAACGGCACAAGTTTTTATCAATTACTAGCAACCCGCCCCGGCTGGATCTTTTACTGGGTGTTATTTAGATTGACCGACTTAATGACATGCAAATACCCTCCAGAGATCGATAGAAGGTAGTTATTTTGATATTACAGACATGTGAAATAAATTAACAATATGTTTTCATAAACATTTGTAGTCACTACAAATGTTTATGAAAACAGTGGTAGAGCCATGCTGCAGCTTTTGCTGTCGCACGGATGGGCCGGCTCAAACCGGGGTGGTACCACGACCTCACAGAAAACCAGCGTGAAGTAGAGGTTTATCTCTGCATTTCGCTTGGTGAGTGCAGGTGACCGGAGGCCCTTTTTACTGGAAATGAGGCATTCCATCTTAGTCCTCACGGGTGGTAACGCATCTGCATTTTGATTCGCAAACTAGGATAGATGTAGATGTCTATGGGCCGCAGCAACCACTTACCATCAGGTGGACTGTGCGCTCGTTTGTCACCCATATCCTATATATATATGAAAAAAGTCTGTATGACTGACTGATTTTTTTGTAGTTTATTGCATTTTATTGATTCCAATGACAAGTTGGACTGAAGTTATAGAACGTACGAAAAACGCATATCGCAACTTATTTTTTTGCAGTCTTTACTGGCGGGTGTGGGTATAGGTAGCCACAGTGTGCAAGCGAGAGGTGAATAGAGGCGACACCATTTTCAATCCCATTCTTTAACCGCACGGGTAGTATGTATATATAGCTGATGATAACAGCAGTGCGAGCGTGGTGAGTATTGAAATTGATCATTAATTTTATAAAAAAAATTTTTTGGTGTTACAGAAGATCGAAGGTCGGATGGCTTCAGACCAAGATCTGAAACTAGCGGATACTCTGCGCTACTATATGCGGGATGGTCACGCTGCTAAAGCCGTGCTCGTGCGGAGACTTAGGTAAGATTTCTTTTTATTATGATTAGGATGACAAATGTGGCTCATGGGAACCTACCCCTATGCTGTACAAGTTGTCAGTGTTGGTAACTAGAGTTAATGAAACAATTTTTTACTTGGTAGAAACACACTGCAGCTATATTAGGGTTGTAGCACGAATGGGTAGGTTTGACCAGGGTAGGACTACGCTCTAACAGAATACCAGCGTAAAATAGCAGCTTGTTTTTTTTTTATTATTATTATTTTAAGCCAGCGTTTAACTACAATCCCAGCTGATTGTAAGTGGTGATGTGTCCTAAGATGGTAAAGCGCACTGACTTAACAAAAGCTTATTCACTCTTGCCTTGAAGACACCCACACTGTAATCGGATGGAAAAACCGAAAGGCTGGATACTTTGCGTCTGTGTTCGAGGCTGGTAAGATTAGTTTTAACCAAATTCGGGTCACCAATAAGCCTCTTAGCACGCTTTTCCATTGACTCCAAAGCTGCTAGGTGGCATTTTGCAGCGCCAGCCCATATATGGCAGCAATACTCCATGCACCACCGGACTTGCGCTTTATATAAAGTAAGCAGCTGTCCCGGCGTGAAGTATCACTGCACCATTGCAAGGATTCCTAGCTTCTTTGCAGCTGCTTCAGTTCAGATTTGAGGATATCTCAAACACAACAACTGAAGGCGGTTGGTGTATTCCAGTGATATATTTCGGAAAGATGGAGCTTAGGTGAGCTGGCTCCTTTTTGCAGTGAAGAGACATGCTTGTGTTTTGGAGGCGTTGAATTTCACAAGATTGGCATTGTCCCATTCGGAGACTGCCTGAAGTGCGAGATTCACACGCTCTACCTTAGCTTCTCTTTTGGACTGGATTGATCCCGACTGGCCCGAGGACTTGGCTGGTATCTCTCCACAACTGTGCTATCATCTGCATACCCATAGATACCGGGCATTAGCAGGTCATTAACATGCAGCAGGAAGAGAGTTCGGAAAGAACGGACCCCTGAGGAACACCGGCGTTAGTCGCCACAGGATTGGATGAGCTATTTAGCATGTTGCTGTGTTCGAGTGTAGAGAACTGGAAAACTATGATGAAAGATGGATTCTTTTACTGGAAACCATGTTTCCAGTAAAAGAATCCATCTTAGTCCTCAGGGGAGACCACGCATCTGCATTTTGATTCTTAATCAAGGATAGGTGTAGATATCTATGGGCCACAGCATCCACTTACCATCAGATGGATAAAAAAAATATTTTTAAATTATGCCATTAAAATGTTTTTCGTCATACCTTATGAAAAATTAAGTTACTTCCTGCAAAATGTTTTTATTGTGAATAGTAGATTGAACGGTATCATCATCATCATCATTACAGCCCTTCACAAGTCCACTGCTGAACATAGGCCTCTCCCAAAGAATGCCACAAAGCACGGTCCTGAGCCACCTGCATCCATCGACTTCCTGCATGTCTTACCAGGTCGTCACTCCATCTCGTGGTGAACCTTCGTTGAACGGTATAGACCGCCTATATAAATCCCACGTTGAAAACGGTATCCTTTCCTTTCTGAGTGTTTGTCTCATTGTAAGTTAGCATGCTGGTTTTCCAAATGTTATATAATATAACCCACACGTCGTAATTTAACACTTGAAATTTCAATAATTAATTTCAGTGGTGCCAGCGGGAATTAAATGCAATTTGCTTGCATTCTGTGAACGTTTTTTTTATCTATGTTTACTGCAAATAATAATAGTTATTCTAATCCATTCTATTCCAGGTGTCTTGCTGCTTATGAAGCAGCAAATAGAAATTTGGAGCGAGCTAGAGCTAAAAATAAGGATGTTCATGCTGTAAGTTTTTTTTTTATTTATTGTTTTAATAATCTCTTACACCTTATACATTTACGATACCTTTAAAAACAATTCAACTTCTATATATGATCTTCATATTTTGGACACAATTTTAATTCCATATCATAGCACTATGCAAGAAATTAATTAATACCTGGATTTGCAATGGCAAACAATTGTTTGTCGATTAAAAAATTACTTAACAATTTTAATTGTTCGACTCACACATGGTTGAAAATATTTACAGTTAAATTGGACTTTATATTGAAGTTTGCAAGTCTTAGTATGTAATTAATAACATAACTTAAATTGAAAATTTAAAAACCCTCGAAAAGGCCGCAGCTAACAAAACAGCCGATGATCTTAAAACGGTTGAACTGATTTTATCTTAAAACGGTTGAACCGATTTTGATAAAACATGTTTTTACATTGTAGATAGTTGTAGCACGAATGGTTCGACCGGGGAACGACCACGCCCTCGTAGAATACCAGCGTAAAATTGCAGTTAAATGTTGCTGTGTGGTGAGTGTATAGAACCGGAGACCCTTTTTACTGGAAACGAGGCATTCTATTTTAGTCCTCACGAGTGACAACACATCTGCATTTTTGCCGTTTGTCACCTATATCCTATTAAAAAAAAAACCTCTAAAAAAACTGCTTTTAAATAAAAAAAAACCGCACGTAAATCAGTTCACCCGCTTAAGAACTACGGTGCCACGGAGAGAAACACATACAGATACACACATACACGTCAAACTTATAACATCCCTCTTTTTGTGTCGGGGGGTAAAAATGAAACGCTCCTCAAATCTTCACATAAAATAAATAAATTGATTCGGACTTACATTGAAAGTTTCAATATTGATAAATATATTATGATGTCCATAATTTATATATATTGTGTTTAATTATTTCTACTCAACTACTACTATATGTATATGTAAATTAACACGAAATAAGATTAAGTCGTGTAGTGGCTATGTAAGAGAATCCATTAACTGAAATGATCCTGTGTGTCGTAAAATGCGACTGTGGAAAATTAAACTTACATTAATAAAATTTTGCAGCAGTATCTTACTTATAACAAATTAAAAATTTGCAGTTTTTATCACAAACATACCCCCATGAGTAATGACACAAAAAAACGACCACTCGTCGTTACTTCCATGATAGCTTCGGTGGCGACCCGACCATGATAATGGCGGGGCTGAGGATGCTAAATTTTCAACCATGGTCCATGCAACATTTAACGCACGCACCCTGAGGACTGTCGAGAAGATTCTGAAACTGGAATAAGAGATATAGAATAAAAATAGACTAATAATTGTGCTGAAATATCGTAGGATTATCTGTGGTTCGAAGACAGAGGGCGCGGTAACCGAAATCGGAGGGTATAAACGAATTTGCGGGACACATTTAACGACTTATTTCTGTATTTATTTTTAATATTTATTGCATTCCCTTTAAGACAGGATACAAAAAAGTTCTTGCAGCTTATTATCACGTTTATATAACCATTTCTTTTACATTATAAATCATTGTGTGTTTTTGTATCGTAATCAATTCACAAGATATTAACTTTTATGCTCGCACACAGCCGCTGGAGGTGCAAGAGGTAATACACGCTTGTTCACAATTGCATACATGTTTCACTTGAGTAGATTTGGCATTAGATACTTTGTAATATTTCTTTTAACTATTAGATTATATTTTTGTGCTTTCTTTATGATTACTACAGTTACTAACACAAACTATGATGTATGAGTGTGTACGTATGAACTTCTTTGACATCAATACAAGTTCATTGCGTCACTTATTGAATTCTTATCTACCGCATGTATTTTATACTATAACATTCTTAGCCTTGAAATTATCCTAATGTTTCCCTACCTAACTAACCCTGAAAAAACTGATTTTTCACGGTTACTACAAGGATATCACTCAAAAATTGCAATTACTCCATTTCAATTATTAACAAAATGAGATGGTTATGGCCTTTTTAAACATTTTGGACCATCTCTAAACATATTGGATGAGATGTTGTTGAACGCTTTGTAATCGTTTTTCAATAGCCACCAACCGCTTTATTCCGCACCATAATAATAAGTAAACGATTTCACATTACAAACAGGAAGGGGCCAATCGTATTGCTATTAACTAGCCTAAAGGTTGGAATAAAAATGTTAACATTACATTATTATAAATACATACATATAGATAGTTTTGAAATCTGTCTTGTTTTTTGCATAGTTTATTTGTAAAATCGCTTTCAGAACTTCTATGGAATTTTTTAAACCCGTATATTGCGGGTTTAGTAGAATGGGCTTCTAATTGCATTATTTTATGGCCATGTTGCGGTTTGTTGTGCTTAAAAAAAGATTTTTGTATTGATGTGAATTGCGTGTATTACATGACAACTTCTGTCCAACAAGAAGACCAAGAAGAGAGAGCGTCATTTTGGTCTCCAAAATGGTGTGTCGTTGTCATTTTCAAATAGGTAGGACTTCTCGGTAGCGCATTGGCTGAGCGTTGTTTGTGACGCTGCAAAGCTGCAAATCACAAAAGATTCAAATTCCCACAAGTGTTTTGTAGGCTATAACAAATAATTGCTCCTGGTCAAGATGTTAATCCATGTGTAATTTATGTATGTAAAACACCTCCAAGATACAAAAGAAAATCGTGTGGGGGCAATGTCTTTTTTAAAGATATACGGAAATGGAAATCCGTCATTTAGAGTATTCATTTAGCCAGAAACGTTTGTTTTTTTTTCTTGGTGATATTGACATAAATCTAAGTGTAGCTAAGAAGAAAATGACGCCTTCCATCTTGTAATGTCCTTGTAATGCTATTCTAACAGTACTGATATTCCCATTAACAACGCCAACTAGGCTTAGACTTGCTTGCTTGGGTTAAACACAAAGATAGTAGTCGAATGACTGATTCCAACGTTTTAAGTTTCGTTCCATATCATTAACTTTAATAATTATCTTATTACATTATGCGATTACATTACGTTTACGTTCGTCAAATACGTACTAGAACAGCAGACTTCCTGCTACATAATTACACTCTCAATCTATTGAGAAACTGTGTGTGCCGAATTTCGGTCAGTTGTAAGTGACTGACGCCATTATTGCTGATTTGAGCCAACGGCGATATTGAAAATCGGTCCTAGATTAATTACTCAATCATTAGACCAAATATTGAGGCACTAAAAAGTTTTCACCCTAATCACCTTAGAATTAGTAAACAAGGTCAAATGTAATATCAGACAGAGGATTCGTAATATACTGAAATGACTGATTCTGGCAGTAATTTATTAAGAAAATATAATTCGACAAATTGTATTTTAAAATGAAAAAGTAATTGTTGCTAGGCGGAGCAAGTACAGGCAGACGCGTGCGCTCGTTTCGAACAGCTGTCGGCGCGTGCTAGGGAGGAGTTATTAGATTTTCGCACTAGACGTGTTGCAGCTTTCCGGAAAAGGTGAGTTCTTTTTATATTTCAATATTAAGTTGTTATAATAGTTAAAGTTTTCTGAAGTCTAAATATCTCTAATGTTTTGAGGAGATTTCCCTGTAACCATTACATAATAACACCTGGTTAAGTTTTTAATAAAATTCTTTTTTGAATAATAAACATTAAATTCACTTAGTCATAAAGTGGGAAGATGACACTAAGGCCAAATCGAAATGCTTCATTGATTTGGTGTCCTGCATTTTTAAAACTAACTTTAAAATGGACGGAGGGGGGGGGGGGACGGTACATAAAAATAGCACGTCCGTCTTAGGTGCTACCTATATGTAGCCACCACAGAGCCACAGACTACCGCGTGCCTTCATGTTTAAAGGGTGTTATATGGTCGGATATCGTCAGTCGTTTATAAGAAAATGCGAAATCTTATGACCTCCAGTAGGTGAGGTGGTATAAGTCAGTACTACTCAGTGTAGTGGCAGTGTACGAATATCCACTACCCCGTATCGTCCCGTGGGTGTCGTAAGAGGCGACAGAGAGAAATTGAAACAGAAGATGGGTGGCAGCTTCCTCCTAATAACAACTCAAAATAATAAAAAAAAAACTGCGGTTGCCAACCCGACTGCCAAGCGTGGCAACTATGGCAAAATCCTCCCTATGAAGCAATATATGGCTTATGTTCAGCGCTGGCCTTTTATAAACTAATGGAATGGCCTATGCCAAATGTTAGATTTCCAGACTGCTACAGTGAACCATTGTAGAATAAATGGAAGTCAAACACGTAGAATAATAGTTAAATTTTTTATATTATTTTATTTTTTTTATATTTAGCCTTGCAATTATTGAGTATGGTGTAAAATATAAACGATGGACACAATGGGACACTCCGCTATATTGTGGGAAGTCAGAATATGTCAATAAGGCCACACAATGGCACTTTACAATATTGTGTTAGCCCCCACATTAACGTGTGGTAGTGAATATTTGGTATGAAGAATAGTAAAATTAATTCTGTAGAAATGCGATCATTAAGGAAGTATGTTAGGTGTGAGTGTGACTTTGGAATTCTGTGAGAAGATAAAAGTGTGGTTTCCAAGACTATTTGAAGATTGATATGAGGATTAAGACAATGCTTCGGTGGCTTGGACGCGTAGAAATAATAAATAAGTATAAGTGAGAGGAGCCAAGTTAAGAGTGCTCGTATCGACGGGAATGTAAGTGTAGATATATGGATGTGAACGAAGGCAGAGAGGAATGTCAGGATCATGCCAAATGGAAGTCCGTAGTTCTCTGCCTACCTTTCTGAGTGACAGGCGTGGGAGTTTATGTACGTATATATAATTATTGAACAAATATGATAATAATTACACTATACATTAATGATTTGCACTGCCGGACCTTGTGAGGAAGCTCAAGGTTGCTCAGCGAGCTATGGAGAGGGCTATGCTCGGGGTTTCTCTGCGTGATAAACTTAGAAATGAGGATATCCGCAGTAGAACCAGAGTAACCGACATAGCCCAACGGATTAGTAAGCTGAAGTGGCAGTGGGCCGGCCATATAGCTCGAAGAACCGACAACCGATGGGGAAGAAAGGTTCTCGAGTGCAGCCTCGTACCGGTAGGCGAAGTGTAGGACGCCCCTCCACTAGATAGAGTGACGACCTGGTAAGACATGCAGGAAGTCGATGGATGCAGGTGGCTCAGGACCGTGCTTTGTGGCATTCCTTGGGGGAGGCCTATGTTCAGCAGTGAACTTGTGAAGGGCTGTAATGATGATGATAATGATTTATCGCTTTTAAAAAGTTAGTCATCTCATAGAAAGATGTAAACATAAAACCTGTTCATTAAGTTAAGCAAAATTCGTATTTACAAAAAAATGTAATGTCATCTTTCATATGATTTCAGCTTAATCGATCTCGCGGAGTTGGAGATCAAACACGCGGCAGCGCAACAAGAGCTTTTCAGAAAGTCTCTTCAGGTGCTTGGGGAATGCCAGTAAATAAATTATTCACGAACTGAACAGTTAAAAGATTGATTTCTTATGGCATGGAAATAACGTATTGGCGTGACTGCATGTCCTTAAGCGACAACACGCAATTTTATTCTAATCTATTATATATTATTGTGTATAAAAGTTTATGTACTGAAATTGACATATTTGTTTTTAATATTACATGTAAAAGGTTATTTCTTGTTAATATCATTAAATTGAACACGGCAGTTGCTTTTGGTTAGCGACAAATTTTACATATTCGTCGTATATTATTATTGTCAGCTATTAATTTTTTTTTCAAAGCCGATCACTATAAAGCAGTTTTACACTTCACATAACATTTCAGCTTATACACATTTTTTTTGTACAAGATTTTCTTTAATTACTAGTTCTATCGCTTTTTTGGAGGTTTTTTTTTAGTAAGTACATATATAACGACATTAACAGGAATAAAGAAAAGTTCGATAATATATAAGACGCGCTATTGGAAACACATGTTTATAATTTCCTATAATATATATGAGTGTGTATTTGTGTAAGTAATAACTTGATGTGAAATTGATCTTAATGAAGTAAGTACACAAGTGGCCAATAATTGCGCCAAAATACATTTAAGATGGTAGCGATGAAAGGAATATAATATTTAGTATAAATATATAGTTATTTATCATGTCTGTCAGTTAATGTGAGCGTCGAAGTCGAAGATGGTGGATAGTAAAATATATAAGTTTTTTTAACGAGTTTTTCTTTGGTGCAGATTTATATAAGACTATACAGAGAGTTATTATTGTAATATAAAATTGTATGAAGACCTTTTTTATGTATTTGCTAATAAGCATAAGCAGATTTTTACTTATTTCACCTAATTATGCAGAAAAAATCACCTTTTAAGGCTTCATTCACCAACACTGATTATTTAATTAGAAATTTCAATTACACAAATAAAATAGACTTTTATGGTAGCACTTTAAAAATGGGTAATGAAACAAATTACTTCAATTTTTCTGAGTTATTGTTAGCAAACCCGCAAAATATTATTTTGCGGCAAATAATACTTTTTGAGGAAAAGTTAGTTTATATTTCACAGAAATCTATCTATTCGTTAGTGCTGCCTCTCTGCAGACTTCGCATTTAAATTTTAAATACTACTTTAGAGAAAAAATAACATTTGTTTGAATTGAGCATGCACTTATTTTCCATATTACGCATGATATATCTGCAACACCAAGGCAGTTGTGTGTTGCCGTTGCCGGCTATTTAGAAACCAGTAGGCTCCTGAGATACCTCAATGACAACCACTCAGAAAAATTCCTGAAAACAACAACCAGTGGTGGTTTGCCGACCATGGAGATGATGTGAATTCAATTTCTAACAATTGAACCGTAGTAACCGTAGTGTACGATGATGGAATATGTGACTTAAAATTACACCACTTACCATCAGGTAGGATAGTAGTCAAGAACTAGCTTATAATAGTAAAAAATCAGAGATCTAATGTCTCTGCGCAAAGCCAGTAGATCGTACCAATCTGAAAGAACTCTGTCATCGACGTCATGAGGGTGACAAACGAGCTCACAGTCCACCTGATGGTAAGTGGATCCTGTGGCCCATAAACACCTACATCTGTATTCTCGGTAAATAGGAGGACTAAGACAGAATGCCTCGTTACCAGTAAAGGAGTCTCCGGTTCTCTACTTTCACCCAACGAAACATAGCAGCATTAAGCTGCTATTTTACGGTGGTATTCTGTGAGATCGCAGGCCTTCCCCGATCGAGCGGAACCATAATATAGCTACAGCGTGGCTGTATCACGTTAATTGTTTTTGGATGACATCAAGTGGAAGGTACTAACTCTGGGGTGTCTGTAATCAATGCTGAACTTTGATTTATAAAGTTGCAAGCGGTAGGTTTGATGGAGTATTTATCTCCGCAAGGTAATCTTTTACAGATTTTCGATGATTAGTAATGTCTTCACTAAGAAAAACATAAAGCATTTGTTTCGTTACCCTTTTCTAAAGTCAAGCCTTTTCTTAACAATAAGTAAATATAAATAATACTGTATTATGCTCGCTAAAAGAACAACATATGAATTCTTTGCTCACTTCACTGTAAGCCACGCGGACCAAACATATCTTTTTGTTTTGTATTTAAGTTATATTTGAGCTATTGTTATATCTTGTTAAAATTGCTAGAGAGTTGTGAGCATACCTAATATTGAAACTAGAACTCCTTACTTTAATAAAAGTTACCCTTAATGAGGTATAAGTATTTCGTTTTACATCCGATTGTTTTATTAACTGATGATTGTTTGCTTTTCTAAGTCACGCAATATTTTAGCTGTTGTTTTTTTAAATGAAAGTTAGAATGGTAGGTATGCTCTACATTCTTTATCTATCACTCGTTTTTGGCTATGCAAGAATGTTTCGGTGCAGTCTCGTGTACGAGATGTTATTTTTAAAAGTTTAAATTGTAATACTAAGAAAATATACGAATTATAGATCAAATAATATGTTTTTATTACAATATTTATATTGCCTACAATTGCATGAAATTTTAAATACAAGTGATTAATGAGACTAAGTGCAAGATTTTGCGCAACTAAATTGAAAATCTGCATTAAACTATACATAAAACCCTTAGGAGCCGTGCCCACGAGTCGTTACGAATCGTTTAGCACGCAGAATACGAATTTTAGCTACCCGAACAAGTTACTTTCCGAAAAGGCTTCAAGCCATGTCAGGTCATGTTGAAAACTGATGAGTATAATCGACAAATCTTCTCGTCGAATATTCCTCAGAATATTAAAACAAAAGTGCACAACCGTACGTGAAAAAAAGTGTTGACTTACGGAACCGAAACGTGTTTCTTCACTGCTGATCAAACGAGGAAACTCAAAGTAACTCGGCAAGTAATAGAAAAGGCTATGCTCGAAGTTTCTCTGCGTGATAAGATCTATTCGGAAGGTATCCGTAGAAAAACAAAAATAACTCGCAAAACCCAGCGAGACTGAAGACTCGGAAGTACCGACCGATCAAGTAAAATCCTTCTAGTAGCCTTGTACTAGCAAGTGCAATAATTGACCCCCTTCCCTTCTAAATGGAATGACGATCGGATGAAACAAATATTTTCTTATTCTAAAATTGCACCTATATTGAAAGAATATTCACAATTAGAATTTAGGACAGACACACACAAACAACGAAGACGAAGCTTTAAAGGCTTAGACCAGTATTTCTCAAAGTGGGCGACAACGCTCCCTTGTGGGCGTTGGAGACCTAGAGGGCGTTAAAGGGCCCAGAAAAAAATGGGGGGTATTGGCGTGGTTTAGGGGGCCATGATTGATTTGGAATTTCATTTAGATACTTTATATTTTAAAATTTGTTAAAATTAAGACCTACCTACTACACAATATCGAATAATCTTTACTCGTATATATAAAAATTACGTGTCACATTGTTTGTCCGCGATGAACTCCTATACTATTGAACTGATTTCAATGAAATTTTGTACATTGTGTGCAGTTTGGTCTAACTTGAGAGATAGCATACTTTTTATCCCGATAGGTGACTTTTAATTTTTTTTATTGCGAATTTAAGGATTTTTTCATATGAAGGGTCGTCGGAAAGGGCAGAACAATGTTTGCCTAGGCAGCTAGTCTTTATATATAAAAATTACGTGTCACATTGTTTGTCCGCGATGAACTGCTAAACTGTTGAACTTATTTCAATGAAATTTTGCACACTGTGTGCAATTTTGTCCAACTTGAGAAATAGGATAGTTTTTATCCGGATAAGTAACCCTCAAAAATTTTTAATTCGAATTTACGGATTTTTTATAGGACAAAGGGTCGTCTGAAAGGGCAGAAGAACGTCTGCCTGGCCAGGTAGTTAGTTTATATTTCTGCCCTGTATGATGGTATATAAACTAGAAATACTGAACATAGATTTCGTAGGATACCCCGTACGCCGTACGCAATCAAGTTGTAACAAGTTTTTGTTAAATAGACGCTATTGGCGCAATCCGGTAGCAATCGGCTGGTTCAAAGATACTTGTCGTCGAAAGAGACAAACGAGTTTGTGCATGTTAGTCTTAAAAACTTTTACAAAATTTACTTCGCAAATATCCGCGTTATAAAATAAAATGATGTGTCTTACCTAGTATGAAGAAGCACCTCCCGCCCTCCCTCAATTGCGTGCACTATCCCCGTCACCACTAATCCCAGCACCGCTACTTCCAACACCACTACACTAGGCAAGACACACCACTGACGATAATACGACACGTGTTTCGCCTCTACACGAGGCATCCTCAGGTGATATAGACTCTACGGTGGCTAACCGCTAAGCTTAGCGATAGTGCACGCAATTGAGGGAGGGCGGGAGGTGCTTCTTCATACTAGGTAAGACACATCATTTTATTTTATAACGCGGATATTTGCGAAGTAAATTTTGTAAAAGTTTTTATATAATGGATTTCCGCAAAGTAACGCCTGATTCTATTAATCATGTTAGTCTTATTCATGTCGGTGCGTGCTGTATTTAAATCCTATATAAAAGCTCGTAATAATTTTTATATTTTCATTAGTAGTTTCGCGCGCAATCTTTAAACAAGTATTTGAGTTCAACATTTTATTTACATATTTGTAAAAACAAAGCCATGTCGGAAGCAAAAAGAAGACGCGGCAATATAGTGCAGAATATATTAAATATGGATTCATAGAAAATTCGACAAATCCATATTTGCCTTTGTGTCTTCTTTGTTCAAAAACATTTTCAAACGAGGCGATGAAGCCTTCAAGACTTCAAGATCATTTGAATAAAATGCATCCATATAAGAGGCACAAAAATGTAGCCTATTTTCAAGACCTGGAAAAAAAGCATAATGCTTATCCAAGTATATCAAAACCTTTTTCGGTGGCTGCTAAGCAAGATGATGACGGATTTCGAGGTTCATACAATATCTCTTTATTTATTTTTATATCAAACAGGTAAACCACACACCATCGGAGAAACCGGCAATAAAAGAAGTTATAACTACTGTGCTCCATAAACCGGCGGCAGACAATTCGAAAAATTCCTTTGAACAATAGTTCTGTGCAAAGACGAATTGATGAAATGGCTGAAAACATTGAAGAGTCATTGTGCAATCATCTGAAGACTAGTCAATTTTCAATTCAGTTGGATGAGTCCACTTTACCTACTAATGAAGCATGGTTGCTGTCTTACGTGAGGTTTATTAAAGATGAAAAAAAAAGTCAAGAACTATTATTTGCTAGAAATTTAGAGACAGTCACAAAAGGAGAAACCATATTTAAAACACTGGGAAAATTTTGTGATGAAGAGGGAAGAATATTATATCATCTGCTACAGATGGTGCTCCAGTTATGACGGGGTGTCAAAAAAGCTTCATAGCGTACTTAAAAAACAAAATTCCAGATGTGCTTGCTGTACTTTGCGTTATACATCGACAATATTTGGTTGCTAGTTTAAATGGAGGACTTTTTCAATCATTGCAACGTGTCATAAGAGCAGTAAATAAAATTCGACTCTCGAAAACTCTTTAAATGACAGATTATTTAATCAACTTTGTGTTACTAATGATGAAGATTTCAACCGATTGATCTTTCACACAGAATGCGTTGGCTATTAAAAGGAAATTGTCTGACTCGATTTTACAACCAGTTTGACTCTATCGTGGAGTTCTTGGAAAATAAAGACACAGAATTAATTGCACGATAACCTCATCACATCAAAGAATGATGTCGCATACCTGACAGAACTTTATAAATTGCTTAATGATATAAATCTCCAACTTCAAGGCGATGACTTCGTGCCCAAGCTGCTCTTACTCAAGAAGAATATCGGCAGACGTGAGTTCCATAATTTTCCCAATTTATCGGTACCCTGCAACAACGACGACTTGCTTGTCTACTGCCAACATTTGGAAAATCTCTGCAGCGATTTCATTGAAAGATTACAGGACATTTTGAAATTGGAAATACTAGACTGGGTGTTAGGTCCTTTTTCAAATGTCAACATAGCAGTATCACCACAATTGGAAGAAGAACTTACAGAACTGACAACGAACGAGGAAATAAACATCAAATTCAAAAAGGACTATCAAGAATTTTGGCTAGAAAAGTCGATCCCGCAGTTGTACCTTGGATTGTGGTCGATCGTTCAACGATTTTTGATAGCATTCTCATCGTCATATTAGTGTGAACGTGGATTTAGCGCTGTGACAACGCTTACTAAAAAATAAATCGTTTGTATGTTACCGAACGCGGCGACTTATGACTGTTTTTGAGTAAAATCGATCCTGTTCACGCCCTTAGCTGCCCCGGCAAAGGTCGACCGTACCAGTGCCAATGAGTGGTAGTCGCGACGGGCAACAGAGGACGGAGCCCAATGGCCTATGGGTAAATGTTCAAAAACGCCTGACAAATAAACAAGCACTTACCAATCTCGGAGGTAGGGTTGACCACAGGGTACCAGTCAGGTGATAAGTGAGGTGTATGTAAAGTGGTGTGCGAAAGTGTATATACATGTAACCTGACGGTCCGATGTAATCGGAGAGAAGAACAACAGGCGCTGCTGCTCTCCAAAGGTGCGCTCCCTCCAGTCGTAGTTCACCAATTGAACACTACTGCCTTCCTTTCACTATTTCACTTTATCCACTTTATTGTACATTTAATTAACTTCAAAGTCAACCAACTCAACGTTCTTCGAAATTAAAACAAGTGACACACGACACAAGTAACATACCGTCGTTCAAAGTTCAATATTCAATGTTCCGGGTTCACGTAGCACAAATTTACCCAACACAGGAACGAAAGCGGCCTCTTCTCGAGTCTCAAAGTTCAGCGTTCCACACGACTAGCTAAAATTCTTTCGTACGATATTAAAATACCACTCCTGCAATAAGAACTCAAAATCAGCCTCGCTGACACGCAAAACTAACGAATAGTCAATATACAAAAAGGCACTTAACGCGACGTTACAATTCAACATTAACTTCCAAAAACAATTAACTGGGCCACGCTATCGAAATGGAATGCGAGCATCAAATTCCAGGCCGTCTGTCCACTCGGCGTGCGCACACGGTTCCACGTCACACAAGCAAATGAAATATTGCAAAATGCACTTCAACATGCAATCACTATACAAATTGACGTAAATTACTTGCAAACGAAGTTACTTTAATCACTCAAATTCAATACAAGTCTTGTCACGAAACGTACAAATTAGACAAACCAATTCGAGGCGGTCTACACGAAACCTATTTGGGTTTCAATAGTAAATTAGACGCGCACAATTACTCAAATTCTAGACCATCAAAACCAAAAACTGGCCGCGCGCAACCGATCCAGCGGTCGTAAATAATACAACTAGTCGACAGAGCCGCGGCGGTCAAGCAACTACCTCGCACTCGCGTCCGGCGTTCGCGCCCTCTGCCGAGCGACCCACACGGGAGAGGGGGCGACGGTGAGCTTTACAAAGTC